GTAGCCGCTTCAGATCGTCAATAAATTGTAACTTGAGGAAGACTGGCTATTATATTCTGCCTTCATCTGCCCAAAGAGAACCAGCGACCCACCGGGACTGCGCACGATAGTGAATGAATAGAGATCGACCTTTGGGACGGATTGAGAAGATGGTATGTGTGTGTCTGATTGAGGAATTAGCTACAGTTCCGACCAAATGGTGAGCACAAACACACACTCGTGGACACCAAATCCAGCCCCGAGGGGAAGAAAGCAAAGGCCAGACTCCAGTTGTCTCAACCCTGACCCGCTCGCACAAACAAACAATACCGCACACACGCACACGCACACTCACGCTTGTGGAGCCCGGCTATCACCTCAACTTCTGAATGTCCGGCAGGGTCAAAGTTCATCTCTTCTTCTGCCACCGCCCAGGGCTTCTTTGTGTGACTTTGTGTGTGTGTGTGTGTGTGTGTGTCTGGGTGTGTGCGTGTGCTCAGTAGGAGTGACCTTGCAGAGTCGTTCATTGGTGATACACTGCAGCAGCAGCAGCAGCAGCAGCAGCAGCGGCGGCGGCACGACTGCAGAGCTGATTAGGGAGAAATATTGCTTAGTGTCTCAATGTGTGTGTTGGTTTGGTGGGAGAAAGACGCAGGAACCGATTGTGTTTCGTCTGGACTTTCTTCAGGTTTGAGAGATACTCAAGAGCAGATCAGAGGTTAAATCCGAGGAGGTGTGTGTGTGTGTGTGTGTGTGGGTGTGTGGGTATCGATGTGTGTACAGGGTGTGTATGGGCGTCACCCACAGACGGAGGCCTGGTGTGTGCGTGCGGAGAAATGACTCCCCCCTCCCCTAGGGGCAAGCACACACACGCACGCACACACACACACACACACACACACACACACACACACACACACACACACACACACACAGAAATATACGCAGGTCCCATCCCCCATTGACTACAGAGAAACGCCCCTTCAAGCATTCCCAGCACATACTCTCAAAGACTACACACTGAGGACACATGCACCCAAAATAAAGCCTGTTTTATTTTCAATGCAATGAGAGAGACCAAAATAACTCCAATATGACAGTGTGGTCAAACGATATTAAGGGTGATCATCTCATGTTCACACACATTCAAAAGTCAGTCAAAGATTGGTCGAGCATAACGCTTCACATACACAAAAGCAGACACACGCACGCTCCTATTTTATGAGCTCATCAAGTCCTCCAGGTCACCAACCGCCATCTCAGCCAGGAAATAAAAAGCGGTGACATCAAAAAGCTAACCATTTACACACGCGGGTGTCCGTACAGCACTGGCAACAGTGGCGGCATTCATTTCCTCGTGAATGCACTTGACTAACACATAATAATCCCAAACACTGCTGGGAGACCACCAAGCAGCACACACACACACACAGACAGACAGCCAGGGGGACCACCAAGCAGAGAGGCTGTCAAGACAAGATAAGTGTGTGTCTAGTGTCAGGGTTTTGCCTACACCCTCCACTACACACATGTCCACACACACACAACAACAACACACAGCCTGGCCTGCACTCCTGGAAAAGCTCTGGCTTATCTCTCCCCACAGATAGTGAAATGGATTAAGAGACACATTTGGCACGTCCAGAGAACTGGACAGATAACCAGGAAAACACTCTCTCTAACTGCAATCACTGCTCAACGTGATTTGTGTGTGTGTCTGTCTCTGCGCGTGTGTGAGTGAGTGTGTGTCTGAGAGAGAGAGGATGCATTTTAGCTCGCCCATGCGCCCCCACGTGTAGGCATTGGATCAATATCCGTGTCTATGTGCGAGCGCGTGGGCATGTGGGTCCGGAGGAGTGATGCAGTGGTTGACCCGGGACCCGATCCGTTAGAACACACACATTCATCTTCCAAACACACACAGCGTGCCCAGACAAAGAGCCGGGTGTGAGGGGACGTTCGGCATGTGTGTGATGTCAGCTGGAGACAGAGAAAGGGAGCCCATCATATCCCTTTTATGTGTGTGTGTGTGTGTGTGTGTGTGTGTGTGTGTGTGTGTGTGTGTGTGTGTGTGTGTGTGTGTGTGTGTGTACTGGTCTGTCCCCTGACACAAGGCGTCTGCTCATCGACCTCCCTGGTTATAGACGCCTGCTATGAAGATGATAGGCGGGTAGATTACCTTTAGAACGGGGAAATGATATCCTCGCTTGCGTATAGTCTGTCCCCGAAAATCCTTCTCGTGTTCACTAGCAGGTTGATAAGGGACACTTAGTAGTTCACATAAGGTGAGGAATGAATTGAGATTTAGATTCGGAGGGCCCTCTGTGCTACATACATTTCACAGTCAACATTTGGACGTCCACATGAAGGACAAAGGGTAAATAAAGTGCACTAAACATGGCGTGTTTAAATGTACATTCCTACAGTAGACAAGCACCAATTCCACCTTGTTTCTGCTGAATACGTCTGTGAACATTTACACAACCTCCATCTGCATCCCTGTTTCCTGTAGTGTTATTACTGTTTTTGATGGAAAAAGCCAGTTCAGCTTCACGCGGGACAGAAGTTACAAACGAGAAGCAGCTAATTGTTAAAAAGACAAAATGGCCTTTTCTGTGTCTTTATCTGCACCATTCTGCATGTTTGGCTACTCCGCCCGTCTCTCCCCTTCTCTGTCTATTAGAGTCAAATCTCCGTCTTAATGGACATCTATTGTATGCTACCTCTCCCCCTTTCTCTGTTCACCACACTACCACACGCACGTACACACTCCCTCGGAGGGGGCCCCTTAACCAGGCTCTCCATATGCCTGACCCCCCCCCCCCCTCCCCCTTCCTCCTCCTCCTCCTCCTCTTTCCACAACCCCCTTCTCCTCTCCCCATCTCCTGCTCACACTCTGGCTTATGCTCTGTTGCTGCTGCTGCTGCTGCTGCCCCGTGCTGCCATCTGCTACCAGACAACAGAGGGTGAGAGACGGAGCAAGAGGGAGAAAAGAGTGGTGAAAAAGAGGGAGTGAAAAGAGGGAAGACGTGAGGGGAAAAAAGACTGAGGGGAAAAGCGGAGAAAGAGGGACAGATAAAAGATAAAGAGGGAGAGAGTAGATGTGAACACAATACAGCAGAGAGCAGGGAGGCTGTCCATCTGCTCCCCCTCTCGCCTCCCCTCCCCTTCTGACACACAGCCTCACACACACCACAAAGAGAGTATTTAACCTCGACGCACACACGTACACACATGTGAGAGCGACGCAGGGAGACAGAGAGCAGCCCGGCCTCCCTCTTTAACCCGTTTCTCTCCAGTGAGCCTGCCTGTGTTACACCCTTGGGTTGGCAGGTGATGGGTGGATGGAGGGAAAAGGACGTATGGGGGATGGAGGGGGATGGATGTGGGGGGGCGTGATTGAGGGGCAGAGTGTAGGGAATGAGGGGTTGAAACCGATCTGAATCAACACCAACACATCCCCCAACTCCCCCCCACACCCCGAAGCTCAATAGAGACCAGCTTGCTGCCCCTGTCACTATGACAACCTCTGTCAATCATACAGTAGCAGTAGGTCTCCAAATGGGGACTGATGGCGGATTAGCAATGGCTGCCCAAATAGAGGAGGTTCAACTCACTCAGTGCGCTCGTGGATTTAACATTTTTAATGGTAACCACGCCGTTGCATGCTTTATTTACAGAAAGATGACAGCATACTCATAACCTACTCTGTGGTGAGAAGACACATCCTGCAGACAACAAGCTAAAACTGTGGATGAAGTCAAAATCTTCCTATATGACAAAGCAACATACCTCATGCTTCTTTGCAAGCAGGTTGACTATACATTTGAATCACCACATATAATGTGTCAGATTTGGTTGTTAAGATTTCCACCATGTGGAGCAGCAGTTTACAACCCTTTTCGGCTTACTAAGTAATGAATTTCCTCACCCTTTTTGTTTTTACCAATTCAGTCATTTGAACCTTTGCATTTGAGTCCAACAACAAGAACAAAGAACAAAAACGATCCCGTAGTTTATGAAATCGTTGAGTAGTTTTTTTTTCACCTCTCTTCTTAATTATCTTGTGACCAGAGAAGATTAAGATAAATCTTTCAATTCCTTTTTATTGGTTTCCAATACTGTGTCCGGCTGGCTTCATGATGCGCCAGGCAGTGAAACTGAGAAGCTTCTAATTGGCTGATGACTGTATTTTCTGTATTTTCAGATCTTTGCTGATGGTGATTGTTTTTTTGAAATAAGAACACCTCACAGTCCTGTCGCGTTGCATGACCACTCTTGCAAGCGGACATAGACCAGATATACAGTACATCTGACTGCGCCTTTACCTTGGGAGCCACATGAATTTGAGTTAAAACCACAACAGAACAAAACGCGTCCAAGCATCATGCTGACACGATCCCGCCGGGACATCACTGCCTTTTAGAGGCCTGTCGGGTTTGGACACACACACACACACACACGCACACACACCACTGTGTAGGTCAACACACACTCCAAACACTAGAATCCCCCAAGGACATTTACGTACACAGTGTCACACACACGGTACATCAGTGTGGTGTGTAGTGTGTAATGTAAGGTGTGATGGAGGAGGGGGATGAAGGGGGCACGACCCACAAGAGCTGATTTCAGGAGAGGAGAGGAAAGGTCTCTGTGCATATGACCACAAATGGAGAGAGCAGACACCAGCTGTCACTTGCTTATGTCAGCCCTATTCTGAGCTCTTATGAGTGTGAGAGTGCGTGTTGTGTGTGTGTGTGTGTGTGTGTGTGTGTGTGTGTGTGTGTGTGTGTGTGTGTGTGTGTGCGTGTGTCACTATGTGATCTCAGGTAGCCACAACTGGTTTCAATTACGCAGCAAACTTTGACCTTGTGTAACCAAGCAAGGAAACAAGCTATTGAGAGAGAGGGAGAGAGGGAGAGAGGGAGAGGGAGGGAGAGAGAGAGGGAGCGCAGCAAAGAGGCGGCGGTCAATTCAAAGATGTTGAGAGTTTTTCAAAGGGGCAATGCTTGACTTACCCTTTTTCGGGGGGGTCCTTTTTCATCGTCTTTCTGGCCCCGCCCTGCTCCGCCTCCTGTTCGTCCCGGCCGCCCCCCTTTGCCCTCTCCGACTGGAGGTCTGATGGTCATCCTGATTTCAGGTGGACAAATGTAGTTCTCAAGGTTCTTGGGGGGCTTCTTGGTGCGCTTGGTGGTCTGAATCTTCAGCTTTAGACTTCCTTCCTGGAAACTTGCTTCCTTGATAGAGAACTCCTGTTCCTCCAGAAGCCCCTCCCCCTGTTCTTCCGGGCCCTCCCCTTCGCTTGTGGCACCGTTAATCACGTCATCGCTGCGCGCCAAACCGATGGCCACTGCTCCTTCCTGCGCCCCTTCATTCGGCCCCACCCTGCCGCCCTGTAACTCCGCCTCTTTGGGTCGGGCCAAGCCAACCAGATCCCGTGGCTCCATCCACGCTTCTGCCAGTGCCAGTCAGGATTGGGGAAGCTGTGGCAGCTAGCCGATGGGAAGACAGAGGACAGCAGTCGGTTGGGCGGGTTGCTTGTTGTGAGTCAGCTACTGGGGTCTGGTTGGGTGTCCCACCGGAACACAACGAAGCCAGGGACAGTCTGCAGAGAAGCAGGTGAATGATACGATTAGGAAAAGAAGGACGACTCAGACAAAGTCCTGTCATCCACGCAGCTTCCATGCCGGCGCTGCCGCAACCTCAGCAGCTGCCTGTCACGTATTTGGAAAAACACACAAGCTCACCCCAGAGCTATGGGGGAACGCTGTAGCGCTCTTATTTGCATTTTCTACCTTGAATAAACTCCCTCCCTTTCGGATCTGAAGCCCAGTGCAGCAGACACCAGAGTGATCAGTGCAAAATAAATTTCTCTTCCCTGCTCTTACAGCGGGCTGAATGAGCCCGCGGACACAAGACAAGAAAAAATATAAGGAGCTGACTTCTGTTTTCTTTCCTTTTCACCAGAGAAGGAGGGAGGGAGTCCCACATGGGGAGAAGGAAAGGCAGCAGAGAAAGGCGGAGGAATCTAAATTCTTTCCCCAGATGTGGTTTACGAGCTGGTCTGGAAAAACCTGAATCTGAACTGTTTTACACGTGCATGCAGCGGCATTGATACACGCATGCATTAAAACCGCACGTGCACATTAATACACAAACACATGACAGGGTTGCAGAGTGCGCTTATGCACTGCTGCTATTTCTGTGGTAACCGTTTTTTTTTACCAGGATTCTGGTTTTCCGTTTTGGATCATCGCACATGCCAGCGCAGATATATTTTACATACTCACGGTGCATCAGCACACACACACACACACACACACACACACATGTGTGTATTTAAGCAGGCTTACTAACACACGGGCATATAAACAGAAAGCAACCAAAACAAACACTGGACTACACTTCTCACTGTAGCTCCAGGGAATCCCATCAGTCAATATGACATGAAGCATGACTGAGCTGGAAGTGGGGAATGCCGTCTCCCACACTGAGGCCGACCGCCACCATTCACACTGACGTGAACCCCGACTAGACCACCACCCGCGCACATTACTCAACTAAAAGCTTACTGCAGACTTACAATGTTTACGAACCTGAGAGCACGAAGGATTTACACTATATACCGAGAATTACCCGACTCCTACACATTCTGGAGGAAGACGCATGTGTGCGCATGTGTGTTTTCTGTGTGCGCACTCTTGTACCAGCCCCCGCTACTGTACTAACAGCTGATCCCCATCATAATACCCAACGGGCCGCACAGCACATGCTCACAGTCCATCCATCTAGCTACGCCCGCGTATCCCTTAAGAGGGTCCCAGCTGACACTGGGCAAGAGGTGAGGTACGGGACAGGTCGCCAGTCACAAGGCACAAATAACCAAAACCTACAGGGGAAGGAACTAGAACTAAACTCAGGTTTAAACCCAGATGCTTCTCGTGGTGAGGAAAAAGCCCTAAATACTGCAGCCCCGTGCTAACAGTGTGATGGAATAATCATAATCCACAGCGGTATTCAGTGAAAGTCTGCACGTAAACAGTGTCCAACCCTGAGGTCAAACTCAATGGTTAGTCATTTTTCTTTTGCATTTGCTAGATTAAGTAAAAATGAAAAGGCTTGTTTCTACTAAACCCTCTCTTTAGCCATACAGCTTTTCCATCTGAAACCACAGCGTTTCAAAGCTGACTCATAAGTGGTATTGATGTAGGTTCGGGTAACCCCATGGCGGTTAAGAATGAAAAGGATTTAAAGGACCATACAGTGGTTCTGCATGTTTAATCTTGTGAACTCATACGTCACGTACATACCTCTATCCTGCCAGTCATTTCCCAAAACAAATGGTGCTTTTTCAGATTGTCTAAACTTAACTGTAAGTCATTCATTTTCATTCATTAAGTGCAGTTGCAAAATTAACTTAATTCACAATCATTTTCTACCAAAAAGTTTTAAAATCCTGCTTAAAAACAAAACAGTGAGATAAATCGACCTGGCACACTGACACATAAATAGATGAGGCTGCCCAGATAGCTCTCATCCCCCATTAGGACCAATAGAAACCTCTCGCTGCCAGAAAATCAAAAAAGTGATGTGGTCTGTACGCAACTGAATGGGCTTTGACAAACCACCACTGTGGTCCCTCAGTAACATTTCAGTATCTGTAAGTGTTTCAGGGATGAAAAACAGATAAAGAGACCGGACTTGATGGTACATGACAATGTGCCTCCCAGTCCCTAATGTCACTTTAGTGACTCGCTCTCATGGCATGTGTGAAAGCCACCCTGTCTGTCATATGACGGAGGACAATGACAGGAAAAAGAGACAGCTGCCAACCACAATATCACACACACACATCCAATAGGAACCACTCCACTTTGTGTTGGTGCTCTTAAAACTCAGTGTCACCCTCACAAATATAAGCCAGTTTGACAACAAAATGGTGTCACACATTATTACACTCTTCATTCTGGGCCATTACAGTATAAACCACTTAGCTGGGTCATATTCCTCCTCCCTGGCCGCCGCTCGCTGCCCGATGCTGTGGTAGTTCTCTGTTACTGGCAGACAGGCAGGGAGTTTATGTAAGTCTGACCCCTCCTCGGGCCTCCCTGGCCTGGCCTGAGCCTCACTGTCTCCTCTCTCTCTTACACACACACACACACACACACACGCACACACCCCGACTAGCCTCACACAGCAGGGTGATTGTGAGAGGCCAGACTCGCTGCATAAATAGCTTTATTATGTTCTAAAAACTACCAGCGCTAACCAGCTTCCCTCTCAAAAAAAGCATCAAAAGGTCATCGGCTGTGCCGCATGCGAGAGACCGCGGGACGCTCCTCCTCTACGTTACCTTGCCCTTTGAAAACAATTATGACAAAGCGTCAATAATGGAATACGGGTGGGACAAAAGCATGGACGGTACATGATGCAGACCAAAACGGGACGACGGAGTCCGCGTGAGCGAGAAGCAGAGGGAGAGGGAGATGGCAGCAGAAACACAACCTTTTAAGGCTGCATACCCAGCAGCCCAGCGCCTGAGGTGGACTCAAAAATAGCTCGCACACACTAGCAGACAGATGCGCACGCACACACATTTAAACACCCAAAAGCACACCGAGCGCCCGTGTGATTGCACAAGGTGAAGAGTCTCTCTTGCTCTTTTCCTTCCCTTTGATGTGAGCGTGCGGTGAAGGCTCTGCCGTCCCTGCCTCTAGATGTGTATCTCAAAGGGATGATGAACATTGCCGCTCTGCCATTTTCATTTTTCGGTTTAACTCGTTTTTCTTTGCGTCTATTCCAGCCCTCTTGTGAAGGGGCAATCGCGTAAAGCAACGTTTCTAGAAGGGTCCAATCTGTGGTTTCGGGGACGTATCAAAAGGAAGCGCCAAGGCCTGCTAATGCTTCCAAATCCACTGGGCGCAGGCATGACTTTTCAAACTGGAAGAAGCCCTCTGCCCCCCGAGCGGAGAGCGGAGAGCGGTGAGCGAAGCCATTATTTCACCCTGTCCACATCAAAGAGCGTAAAAAAAAAAAAATGAACCCTAGGAAGTTTAAAACCTGAATTAAAAACGCTTTCCCAGCGTCGGCTGGCACAAGCATGTGTTCAGCTGTGGGGCAGCTAGAGGGACAATCATAAAGGACCATGTGTGGGACAGCCGTGATAGAGAACGCCACTGTGCACACGCCCCTCCGCATGAGCCATGTGCCAGGTAGCACTAAAACCATCCGCAGGAGCAGATGAATGTTAAACCATTTTAACTGCAGCAGAAGCCACAAAATGGCTGTCAGCAAAAAACACCTCCCCTTCTCCCCAACTGTCTTCCTCCTTCCCTTCACCCCCCCTCCCCAAACCTCTGTTCTCCCCCCCTCCTCTCCGTGCTACCTCTTCCCTCCACCTACCTCTCCCTCCCTCCCTCTTTCTGTGTACTCTGCCAAGAGGAGCTCCAGTGCCGGTATTCTGCAAAGGAACCCTGCCAACAGTAAGATTTGTCCTTGGATCCCGTTCACACTCTCTCTCCCCTCTTCTGTATTCTTGTGACGCTACCTCGACCCAAGGTAATCGACTTAGATGGGGATCCACCGTATCGATTTCTCAAGCGTTCATTTTAAAGATGGCACGGTCATCTCAGTACCTGATGTTGGGTTTAATAGTCTGCTTAATTCTTTCACGCCACAAAAACGTTCCACCCGTTAAAGAGACACGATCGACGGGTCTGTCCGAGAGTGAGTGGCCTCCATCGTCGACCCCTCAACCCTTCACACTCCTCTAATCGCCTCTCCGGTACTCTTTTCCACACCGTCACTCCCTGATGTTTTTTCCCACACTTTCCCTCACTCAGCTGGACTTGACCATTTACCTGCTGCTGCTGTGGTGGCGGCTGAGGATCTTTGGGGGCTGCTGATAACGGCGGCGTGCCGTCATTCACTCTTTCCCCTCCTATCATCTGTTTCCACACAGCCAAAGCATGACCAAAATGTCCGACCCCTACGCGAAAGTGATTAGCGATTGATAAATGAAAACCACAGTGGAGGAGCGCTGGCTTCCATCAAGCCCACGTCGTGCAATTTGCATGTACGCTGGAATCTCTGTACTCATGCTACAGTGGCACGCGTGGACTTTGTCCTACAGATGGCAAACGCAAACTCAAATGAAATGCAAAGTGAGGAAGTATGCAGAGTACATGCTTCACGCAGCAACTTCCACGGCACTGGGCACCATCCAGTCGTCCCTCTCCAGCGTCTACAACTCCACCGGAACAAGTACATCCGTTCCCAAGCCCAAATATTTCAAATATGCAACAGGATACATATATGACGTGGCTCTTGACGGGCCGAAGAGGAGGAGAACAACCATCATGCTCTCTGCACAGACTGTGTGATCCTATGTGATGAAGATGCAGGAGGATAACATCTGAACTGGGTGTTAACAGCAGCGGAGGAGCTGGTCCTCCATCGGCGTGTAGTGGACACTTCACCCTGTTGACCTAAATAGCTGTTTTATCTTATTGCCGTCTAATGACCAGGCTGTTACACAGCGTGCACGCAGGGCTGAGCGGCACACGCACTGTTTTGGACGGTCTGCGTCTGCGTGCGCGTGGTGCGCGTTGAGTATGCGCAGGCGTGCGCGTCTATGGTCAGGAATTTGTTGGCATGTAACTACAAGCAATTCTACATGTTTCGCGTCAATTCGGGGATAACTAAGGGCAGAGGCAGGGCGCGCTATTTAAAATGCACACTTCAGGTTCAGAAAAAAATACATAAAGCGAGCATGAAACGCAGACACACGTCAGCCGCGAGCGTTTGCAAAGACATGGAGACATGTGTAGGTGTATGCAGGTGTGGAATGTGGCGAGTCAACCGGGGACTACTTACCCATTTCTAGTGTTGTTGTCACGCACTCGGCTCTTACGCGTAAATAATTGATCAAGATCATTTACAATCCACTGAGACGCATTTTACACACGCGACGGATGGGATGACAGCCTCCCGGGGAGCTGTCAACCGGCGCCCGGAATGAAATGTAGGTAAATATTTTCTGACAGAAAACCCCGAGGAAAATGGCGTCAACGGCGCTTAGGAACGGGGAGGAGGGGGGGGGGTCAAAAATAGGATTTTGCAGCCGATCTGATGACAGGAGAAAGGTCGACACGCAGGAGGAGAAGGGGGGAGATCCAATCGGAATCTTGGCGCTTGTGTCCAGTTCCCTCGCGGGAGAAAAAAAAGGTGTTCGGAGCGGGGCGCGCGGACGGACGGGCGCGTGCGGTCGGGACGCGGCGGTGCGCAGCGCGTCTCCCGGCGCTTTCTGCAGGATCGCGACTCACTCGGGGGGGAGCTGCACCGCGCCGAGGTCCCTGGCAGAATCTGCTACTCGCTTGGTAGGAGGGGAGGGAGGGGGGAGTAAGCAGGACTCTTACTGCAGTCAAAACAAGCCCGCATCCGACTACAAGCCCAAATCCAGCGGGAAAAAAAACGTCAGCGGCCGGACCGCGCTTTCATCCGCCAGCACGGGACACTGGAGGGGCCGAGGCACGAGGCGGTGGTTTGGGTCGTTTTACCCTCGCCGGTTGCATCGGATCCGGGTTCTCTCTCGCTCTCTCTCTCTCTCTCTCTCTCGCTCGCTCTCTCGTTCCTTCTTTTCCGATCGGTGAGTGCCAGGTCCCGGAGCGTGGTGTCTGGTAGTGATCTCACCCAGCAGACTGATCGCTCAGTGGCAGAGGCACAGCAGAGGAGAGAGGAAAGGAGAGGAGAGGAGAGGAGAGGAGGAGCGACATCGCCTCCAGCTGGCCACGGAGACGCTCGGCGCGTCTCCCTTTGCAACCTTCCACTAATTCCCATGGCCTTCTCCTGTGGGGCTCTCAGTGCAAAGGGTGAAAGCAACATCTGGCGAAAGGCCTGCCGCTTTGACTCAGTCATTGCTGGAAGGGCTGAGTGAGGTTTTGCAAAACGAATACTGATACATTCATACCTGTGTGGGCTGCAGAACAAAACAATTTACGGGATAAACGTGTATGAATAAATATAAATGCATTGAACAAGGTAAAAGACACACAGTGGATTTCAATTCGTTAAACATAAAAGTCAAAGGGAATATCTAAAGTAATCTCATCGTAATGTGTGGTTCCACTCTCTGGTCTACAATTGACAGCTATGCATGAGTCATTCCTAAACACTTAAAGTTCATCAGATGTTTCATTGTACATGCTCAAGGATGTTTTTGACGTGAAGCATTTTGCAAACCCGTGGGGTAACTTATAAATAAAGTTTATCAGTTCATCACCGCTGCTTTTATATGAAATTCTTTGCCCATGAACTGAAACTTCTCGGATGACTTGAGATGTTGTTATTTGACAGGGGCAGTGGTTCACTGGGACTAAAGTTGCCATAACACACTTTTGCTTCAAAAGAAGACTGGAAGGGCGTGTTAGCGGGGTTGAATGAGCAAATAGCGGTGTGTGTGTGTGTGCGTGTAGGTGTTGTGTGTTTTGGTGCTTTCCCCTTAATATGTCAAATTACAGCGAGGTGGAAAACCCACACCAACCAAACCTGAACAAGCCACAGTTTTCTCCACTACAGTCAGAAGTTGTGTTCATTATGTGTCTCTTCCCTGTATGGAAAACATCCTTTAACATTAACAAGTAATGCAAATGGAGTCAGATGACCTTTCCCTCTTGGTGCCCCACAGTTACTCGCTGTTACTCATCCCCGGCGTGTGAGTGTGGGTGTGGATTTGCGTGTGCAGGCCCACGTGTAGAGCACTCAGTGGGAGGTATTTCATTAGCCAGGGTGGTATTTGTGATTTTGTCCTCAGTAGCATGTGAACAGCATATTTTGAACTTAAAACGGATTGCAATGCCCTCGGTGGTTTGAGTGTTGTTGCTCTACACTTCCCCTGCTGTGGCACATTGATTGGATTTGTAAGCGTGTAGTGCGCGGGGTATATGTGTCTGCATACTGGAGTCTCTTTCTCATTGGAGTGTTTTCATAAAGGCAACTTATGTATTGCCCGTTTCCTAATTCCTCCACTTATGGGCACTGGGCCAGTGGTGTTTCACTACATGCATGTGTTTGGGTGCATTTCATCTTTGTTGAGGTCCAAATTCAAGATAAACAAATGATGACCATTATTGCTCCCAGCTTTTAAGATAATGGTGTTAAATAGAAGGATGTCTAATGAAGAATAGGGTTTCAAATTCAAAAGGAATATTATGATCACGGTTATCGGGGATTTTAGAGATAAATTAGACTGCACCGGTATGGAATAACAACCATGTGTATGTATGTGTGTCTATTGATTTGGGATGTGTGCAAAAATACAAAAAGACCCCTGAGAGTGAGGGGTCAACAGCTGCTCCCCAACAACCAATCAATTGCAGTGTATCAGTAAACATTACACACACACAGACACACACACACAAGATACAGACTGCACTCTGTTCTTGAATCTGTTGCCATGGATACAAGATACAGGCGGCCAAGAGGGAGCAGTTTTCCAGCTTAAACTGTAAATATTGAATTATTATGAAGAAAAAAGAGACAGCAGAGCAGGGTAACGTTCCTGTCTGAATGATCTACATTTCTAGATAATCCTTTCATCTGTATTCGCTGCTACAGGGAATCTGTTGCATCATTTATGGTCATCAATTTTAACATAAAAAGATCAATCTGTCTTCTCAATCCAGCCATTTATCTAACTCTCTATTATACGGACGGAGAGCTGGCCCCATTCCTTCATGTCTTCCTGCCTTTTTGTCCTCACTCCCTCCAGTGGGATGCAAAGTAAATGCTTAATACTTAAAAGTGAATATCATTCAAAGCCCTTTCACAAAATGCTGAAGCTTTTATGTGGCAGCAGTTCCTCGGCGGTTTCATAGACGAGGAGAATTGAGAAAAAAGAAATGAAGAAAAAATTGATTTAACAATTAATGGTTTAGCAAGTGTTTTAAGTGGGGCCACTGGAGATAATGATCTAGAGAGGGAGAAACGAGGTGCTTTGAAGGTGAATGTCAATAATTGCTTGACTGTCTTGTGAATAATAAGAGCAGTGGAGTCAGCGCAGCCTGAATCGTGATAACACGCTGGTATTTATAAGAAACTTGACTGCGCCGGGAGAGACCGCGGACGCAGTCAACTAACCTTGAGCTGACATTGTGAGAAGGAGGGACTCTCATTCAATCCAAGAAGGGGTTTCTCTCAGGGAGTCCACTAATCTCACAGGGCAGCAGAGGGTTCATCAGTGCCGAGAGACCCCTGGGACCGACAGAGGTGATGGGGTTAGCTGAGAGAGAGGGAGAGAGAGTGTGAGTGTGTGTGTGTGTGTGTGTGTGTGTGTGCGTGCGTGCGTGCGTGCGCAGGAGAAAAGGATGTTGCCGTGAGCCACACAGTAAAAGCGTGCAAGGAACAAGCAATTGTGTCTGTGATAGCGTGCCCTTGTGTGTTGCCGATCAGATGTGAGTAACAGTGCACATGTGTGTGTCAGTGAGCGCGTGTGTGTCAAGGGCCATGCTGATAGAGTGAGAAGGTAATGGGACGTGTGACAAGGTTGATTACTGAGGCCTCAGCGATCTGGCTGGGTTAATGAAGTAAACGACTTCTTGGATAACACACTACTCGGGCTATCTCCCGCTCCTGATACACTCCAATGAACCAGAATGGCTTTTATTCTCCCTTATGTATCTACCTGCTGTTTGAATGAATCCTGGAACACATATTTTCTTCTATTTATGTCTCCAATTTTATTTTCCTCCTGCTCACCATCAATGATCATGAACCAAAGAACAAAATGAAGCAAGAAAAGGCGGTTATCCGCAGCATACAGCGACCCATTAAAACAGCCGCTCAGCACACATTGTACAGTCTCTCTAAAGGACTAAAGTGGCCAATTGCTGTTTGCACATGCATTCATACTTCCACATACATCACTACATACACACACACACACACGCAAACAAAGGGAGAAACAAAGTTATTGGAGGACTTTGTTCCTCACTTGGGGCTGAAAAGGGGATTCTTCTAATGAGAGCGGTAACGACATCTGAGAGGAAATGCAGACCAGAACAAAACAACAACGCAGATGGGAGCTGAGACAACAACAAAGACAGCCCTAAATGCAGTTGACTGCGGGCTCCCTGCTGGCTGCGTCTATGTGAAGAGATGACACTGCGCCCATCCCCCTGCTACTTATGGGGACATTATCATAACGCTGTCCCCGTATGAGCCCAGCGATCAAGTGGCCTCATCTTGAAGTCCCCCACAAGCCTGTGTACGCTGGTGCCGAAGGGAGACAATAGGGGGGAAAAAAACTAAATTTATTACCTAATATTTATTCAAACTGACAGTTCCGGCGTCTAACAATGCAGCCCGGGCCTGACAACACCAATTTGATCATTCTGTGCGTTGGTTGTAAACAAAAAGCAGCGAGGAAGATAACGGTCGTCCTTCTGTTTGTCCTTCTGCTTATGTATTGTCCTGCCAGTAAAGACATCTGCAAAGAATAAACTAGAAAGAGCAAAGTGATTAATGTTGTGCACTGTGAGTAGTTGCCGTCAGGAACTTGAGACATTTTGGGTTCAATCCTGTCTTTAATGCTTTACTAAGGAGAAAACAGGCGTCGCATTCGTATACACGCTGCACCGAATAAATAGTTCTCAGAAACAGATATTGTTTGTCACGACTCGTGTAGAGCTTCACACCTCAAACATCCACCCTGTGACATCCTGTTGTGTTATAACTGTGCATGTGGTCAGATACAGCTGCATTGGTGTTGGTGTGTGTTCATGTGGGCCTATGTGAGAGAGTCAGAAACAGAAACAAAAAGGGAAAACTCCCTTGATGAAAGAACACGGCCACTTCCCCCAAGATTCTGTGAGAAACACAGAGACAGAGACTTCAGAGACAGCAGGTGTGTGATACGGGTCGCTGCGATAACGCTGAATCACTTTTTTACCTACACCGTCAGTTACTGTATTGAAATTCCTTTGTAACCTTTCCGATATATTGAACTAACAAAAGGGCAAATAATATGACAAAAATGTCCAATGGATTAATGTGACCAGCCAGGCAGAAAGAGGAGGTTAATGTACAATAAGCCACATTCTCAAATCTAAATCTTATTACATGTGCTTTGGGCCAACTGAAGCTTTCTGCATTGTGATGTGGTATGCATGGCGGAAGCGGTGGATTAAACAACTCTTGCACTTGTCGGCGTGTGTGTGTGTGTGTGTGTGTGTGACAGAACTAGTGTTAGATAGGGTCATGCAAAGAGGCAAATTAACAACAAGGGACAAACAAGGTCTCCGCTTTACACTCTCAAAAAAAAACTGGCCAAATTGCACCGGCTATACAATCGTACAGTGTTGAATTAAGTAGCCACATACCGCAAGCACACACAAACACACAAAAGACACCTGGCCTGAAATTCTTATTTACTGTACGTTGAGTGAACACTGTCCCATCAGAAGCTGCCTCGGAGCAGCAGGATGTGGTGGTGCGACACGTCCTCGCTCAACAACACCCACTTCCTATGAGTTTGATAAACAGCCCTGTGGTTTCATTCTCCTCCTGCCCGTCAAACAGAGGTAGGCCTAAACACGCACACACACACACACACACACACACACCAGCTCAACAGCATCACCATCTGCTAATGTGACACACATAACCAGAGTGAGTTATTGAGCGTAATGTTACCCATGCTAGCATGAGATTTACTGTGCAAAAACTGTGTAAACGCCTGCAGAATCACTTATGCCTCAATAACTCAGCCGCCACTCTCCGGGTCCACAGCCTCAGCGAGAGACTGAGAGGGATGAGGACAAGAATGCCCTCAAATCGTAAGAAGAATTAGGGGAGGAGATCAAGATGTCACATTTGTTATAGAGCGAATGATGTAAGTTGGTCTGAGTTATGTCCGCCACTGGACAGTTATCTCCCAAATAGAGCCGGCTGCGCGTCCCTAAAGGTTGATGATACAATGCCAGTAAAGATTTAGATTGCTGCTGAAGTCTCCTCTCAATTCTGCATGGTTGCATGTGGCACATACGGTCCTGTCAGTCACATCTGGGAGCTGTCAGCATACAAATGTGCAGGCACGGGCTGAGGAAAGACAGAATTAGGCCTGCTGATCCTTCACACTCCTCTTGTCAAACTTCAACCTAACATGAAAATTGAAGTCAGTGAGAGCAAGAAAGGGTTCATGTGGGTTTGTGTGTGCGTGTTTGAGGCAGGGAGGGTCAAAGGAGGGGAGCCGTACCTAATCCTGTGGGATGTGAGGGTATCTATGTGTATGGAGATAGGATGCAGAGATGTGTTCAGCGGTGCATGGATCACAAAACCTTCCTAACTGACAGAAGAAACTCTCAAGAGACCAATGCCAAACTGGTATCTGCTAAAAAAAAAAAAATAAGACAGGCAAACTGTCTGGAACGTAACATACGCATCATATTTGAAATGTTACAGATACGATTTCAGGTGGCATCTTTTTTTTTGTGATTTCATTAATTAGGGAATCATATGAAGTTCACAAGGATTTTAAATATGCATATTTTTAGTGACTGTAGTAATAACCGTGAAAAAATAACTTTTGTATGCAACTTTATATAATATAAATTTGCTACATAAGTTTGCCAAATTGTTAGTAGTTTGACAGCAGATCATATCTGAAATGAGATTATAAGAAGGAACATATTTTAATATTATCTTTACATTATTATTTAAATTCCTTTTTATATCTGTATTGTTTGTTCCACTCACAGTAGTGCATACAACTGAAAAGGGCAGCAGGGAGAAGAAATTAACTTAATTACTATTAATGACTGATTATTATTTCATTTGTTATTTGTAGTACCAGTGTAGTGTGTTAATACCAATAATGTTCATGAGGTGAATACATGTAATAATAAGTATAAAGTAAAACAAATATAGCATAGCCCCCACAACATAAATAGTTATAAAGAGCGTATTCCTCTAAATGAAACATAGGTATATTTTGTGTTCTCGGTGTGTAATTGAACCGGCAGGTGGCGCTGTTGCTCAACACAAAACCTCCTTTAACCCGGAAAAAGAAGCTGCGGACCTTTAACTGGGCAGGAAGCGTCCTCATGTTACTGACAGTTACTCGCCATGGCGCTCGAAGCAAAATCAAGAAACAAACGATACGAGAAACTGGATTTCCTCGGAGAGGGTCAGGTAGGAAGAGCCCACGGTTGGTCATTTCCCCCCTAATGTCTGTCGTTAGGAGGGGCTCTGAATGGCTGTGCGGAAAGCATGCTAGCTTAGCTAACATGCTTTAGCATTAGCCGGTTGCTAATGTCAACAAAGACTCGCTGCTTCGTGCCGTCGTGCTGACAGCGGCAGCGCTCATGAGACTATAAACCCGTTTTCATCTCTTTCTGCTTCTCTTTCTGCAGTTCGCCACGGTGTACAAAGCCAGGGACAAAACCAATGACACCATAGTTGCCATTAAAAAGGTGAACTAACTAAATGGGCTTTAACTGACACACCTGTTAGCATTTTGAGTGCTATGACGCTAAACACCAAGGTGTTGTCTTTTGTTGTCCTGGCAGATTAAGGTTGGCCACAGGACTGAGGCTAAAGATGGTAATTAAAATGCTGACTGATCATAAGCACACATTTAATGTTTTCACCGCAGAGTGCAGTTCATGCCAACCAGCCAATCAATGCTTGATTATCAATAGGTATTAACAGGACTGCTCTCCGAGAGATCAAACTACTGCAGGAGCTGCATCATCCAAATATCATCGGGGTGGGTAGACATTCATTATGTGAGATTTGTTGTATCTTCTTAAAAATATGTAAATGTTGCTTGTGTAGGAAAACGATGATGAGGTATTCACTAGTATGTCATCTTCTGTGTTCTTAGCTCCTCGATGCCTTTGGACACAAATCTAACATCAGCCTGGTGTTTGATTTCATGGAAACGGACCTGGAGGTGGGACGTCTTCTTCATTTTAAGGCATCTCTGTCAAGACACAAACTGGAATAATGTATAATGTATATGTTATGCCGACCTTTAAGCAATTGACAAAATTGTAATTTCCTTTTACTTCAAGGATTATTTACAGAGTTCCTGGTCTAAGTAATAAATTACAATTTTGCTAAAAGAAATATTTAAATTAAGCCTGAAGTTGCCTGACACACAAAGGAAGGGTCCCAGTCTGTTGACACAGGGAGTCACATAGTTTATTAATTTAAGGCTGGGATGGGTACTTTATACACAGCCTCTATGCGGAGAGTTTACAACATGCATTCATGTTCGGAAAATAACTTTAAGTTGCATTTCTTTGGTGGGCCACCAGATGGAAATTGTTACCTCTTCCTTAATTGAGATCACGATAGAGCAAGCTGGGTTTCTTCAGTGATTTTCTTCCCCCACAAATAATCTGTTTTGATGTTCAGCTTTCAATCTGAATTGCCTAGCTGGCCAAGTAATGAGCAAATAGATGAAGAACTAGTAATTGGGAGGTGTAAGGTCAGACGACATACAGAGCAGCACTACAATTATGAGCAGGATGACGAAGGTAGTGTGCTCCCGTTTGACCATTAAGGAATTCTCTGAGGTCACTAAGGCTTTTATCCCCCCCCCCTCTAGTTTGTTTTAGCATATGCGGCTCCAGATGGGGGCCCACCACTGATATATCAGGCTCTACTAGAGCGTTGCAAAACAAGATAAAAACGGTTAAAAAAAATCAATAACACTCCACTTGGCCTCCCGGTGAGTGGATGCCATTAGTGTCTGAGAGGCAGCAGACAGACGTGAGGATGAAATATGATGCTCATCTTATTACTGGTGCTGGAAGTCTAATTCTTTTCCCACAAGCTTCCATTTAGCTTCAGATGTTCAATGCTTTTCTTACCAGTGGGGTTAAGAAGCAGGGGTCGGTGATTGTGTGGCTGGAGGAACAATAGAGATTCTTGGTGAGAGTTTGAATCTCGAATGTGCTGTTTAGCTTCACTGCAACTGTGTTCAGTTGTCTCTTCTCTCATCCCCTCTGGTTGGAGTAATCAGATGTTTAATGTGTGGCCCCGACTAATGGATGGACATTGATAGTTTCCAGATACGCAACTTTACTTAAGGCTCTTTGTTTTGTTCAGGTGATCATCAAAGACACCAGCCTAGTTCTGACTCCATCCAACATCAAAGCCTACATCCTAATGACCCTGCAGGGATTGGAGTATATGCACCAACACTGGGTCCTGCACAGGGTAAGAGCACTTATACTCCTACCACACACACACCGACTCTCACTCACACTCATTGATGTACATTTTCCTGCTCTGTATGTACAGGATCTGAAGCCCAACAATCTGCTGTTAGATGGCAGCGGAGTGTTGAAGTTGGCTGATTTTGGTCTGGCCAAAGCATTTGGCAGCCCCAACAGAGTCTACACACATCAAGTTGTTACCAGGTCTGTGCTTTTTGTCCTTCTCGTTGTGTTGATAATAGAGGAACAACCATTTTAATTTATTTAGGGGGGGTTGCGTGCAATTGGGGGATCTTGCATTGTCCCTGTATCCCGGAGGGTCCTGACATAAAATGTTCAGGAACCCCCCCTATAAGGTATCACAGGTATATCAACAGGATCTTCTCTCTGGAGGAGTAGTAGACTGAATGCCTGTTTTCTACATTCTACAAAGTAACTCCCTGTTTATTGATCCTTTCTAGGTGGTACCGCTCCCCTGAGCTCCTGTTTGGTGCCAGGATGTACGGTGTGGGTGTCGACATGTGGGCGGTGGGATGCATCTTGGCCGAGTTACTCCTTCGGGTGCACAAACCTCCCTTCAAAGATATCAGAGGATGTGATCAGTCATGAAGCCGGCTGTTGTTTTTGGTTCCGTGCTCATGTCTCTGTGTGTGTCATTCGTTGTAGATACCATTCCTCGCTGGAGACTCTGATCTTGACCAGCTGACGAAGATCTTTGAGGCTCTCGGGACGCCTACAGAAGAGACGTGGCCGGTGGGTATTTTTTCCCAGAGAAAGATGTTTTGTCTTTTCTCACAAGTGAAGTCCCTTGTGCTACTTGTTTTTCCCATCTGTCTGCAGGGAATGAGTAGTCTACCGGATTATGTGTCCTTCAAAATATTTCCTGGCACACCGCTGGAACATATATTTACTGCAGCTGGAGACGACTTGCTAGAGCTGCTGCAGAGCCTGTTCACCTTTAACCCCTTGACGAGGACCACAGCGACACAAGTAATTCACCACTAAAGCACAGCGGATTTTGTCAAAGTTACGTGATAGGAACAATGTGCTCTGGCTAATTGTGTGCAGGTACTGAAGACTGCAAGTATAAAATAAACATTTTACATTTTTAGCTTGAGAGATGTGTTGCAAGAAAATCAAAGGTTATACATGTCAGTTAAAACCAATACACTAATGGTGAGTTTGGCCAACATGTTTTGGACACATATACAGATTTATTTCACAATTACAAGCATTGTTATTAAGCATAACACAACATATTGTTTTTCATGTCATGGGAAAGGTTCATTTGTATTCTTATGTATTGGTATTTTTTCCTTCTCCGTCCAAGATAAAGCTCTTGTAAATACTTGCCGTATACTTTTGTATACAGAAATGTATAAGGACTCATTGCGCACCAGCAGGTGATCCCCTTATTACTGTTGTCTGTTGTGCTCCAGGCTCTGAAGATGCGGTACTTCAGTAATCGACCCGGTCCCACTCTTGGCCCACAACTCCCCCGACCCAACTGTTCAGCCGAGGCCCTGAGGGAGAAGGAAACGATCGGGCTCAAGAGGACAATCGAGGGCCTGGAGACAAGTAATGAACACATTTTAGCCCAGTTGCTATATGAACCTCCTAATCCATGAAGTACCAGCTGGGCCAAACAAAGCCAGTCCATATTATTCTGGTTAAACTGTTTAAGTTTGGGTTTAAACAGTGTCTGCCACAAAATGTTGGGGCCAAATTTTAAAAGAGCTGCACGTTTTAGAACATCCCACTCAGACCAAACTTTCATGAAGTATGTTGTTGGATTTTAGTCTGGTGAACTGATCCTCACAATGTCCACTATGGTCTGAAATCTAGAACAGCACTTGATTGAACCCAGCAATTCAAAGGGTGTTGGCTGCTCATTTAACTGCAGTTACAAGTTCAGAAGGTAGCAAATGAGGACACACACACTCACACGTGCATACAGTTTAGTGGATTGTGGTATGTATGTTTTACTGTAGGAGGACTTTGGTGTTTTTGGGAGGTTCAAAGCTTCTTCAGCTCCTGTGGTTTGGGAAATATGTGGGTTGCCTGTGTACGATGCTGTGTGCTACAATTTATTACAGAGCGAATACTAAATACTTCAAGTGGATGGAAACTTTAGATGTTTGTAGATTTGTCATTAAAGGCTTCTTCCAGTTGCTGTGTTTATTTAAACTACATCGCTGTCTTTTTTTTTTTTTTTTAATCCATTTTTTTTCTTTTAACAAATCTTTTTATTTGTTTCAGCTGTTATGAAGAAGAAGCTCATCTTCTGATGCGTCCTCAAAAATCGGATGATCATCTTCACACCATTCTGGGGCTCCGCTTCCTGCATTGCTCAGGATCGTCCAGCGCAGAGACAAAAGGCTCCGATGTGTTTGACTTTAGGACATTTTAGAGGTAGAAGTTTGTCCCGCGGTGCTGCTGTCCGTTGCAGCCCGTCGAATGATGTACAACAGAGGTCAATAGCGTCTGGTCCTCCTTCATTGTAACAATGATGCATAAGCTCTGGGAGCCTGTTGTAATATGTATATTTATGTGACTGGAAAAAAAAAGAACCACCAAACAAGCACGCCTGATTTATTTTGTGTATATTCAAATGGTACAAATGCTTAAATGGGATTTTCACTGATCTGACTACCTTTGCTCTCCATCAAACTACGTTGGAATATGATTCCTTAGAATAATTCATACTCGGCAAAAGCAAGACATGTTTAATTCACATGGTAGCGTTCATGCCGACCTCCTTTTACAAGCTTATGTCATCTTTGAAGAACTCTCACCTGTCCGATACGCGTGGACAGAAATGTTCTTGTCAATCATTTTCCTCCCCGTGTGTCAGAAAGATGTGTGTATTTGTTACATTGTGTGTTTCTTAGGCATAAGCCTCGTGTCTCGAGGGCAGAGAGGAGGCGACGCTTGGGTTGACAGCGTCATGCAACAATCTGTCCCTTTTCTTCAACGTGGCTGTGATTGAATGCAAACTGACGCGTCGGCCTGATGCGCTGGCAGGTCTTGTGATGCCCTTTTGGTTTTCTGTCAAAAGGTATCAAATAGGAGGAGACTAGTTTGAACGTCTCTATATTTAACTAATCGATTTCTCAGTATTAAAGATAAACTGATTTTTGGCACCTTGCTTAAATTCCCTTTTAAGGGATGCCTGACTAGTCCAAACATAGAGGCTTACACTCCACCGTCCTCTTGTTTGTTGTGACCGCTCTTTGAATCTGGGCACAGAGGATTCCACCTCGTGGTCCCGTAAGCCGGTGTGAACCGTGCTTCTATGTTCACAAAATGCTCACAATGCCGCAATGAGACGGGGGGGATGACTGTGTGGTGACTGGGTGACTTCAGTCAGAGTGTGTGTGTGTGTGTGTGTGGTGGGTAACTGGGTCAGATGGCCGATCTGGCAAATCGCCACAGAGGGCCTTATCAACTCTTGACTCATTCAGAGGCCACGAAAGGCTGTGCTGCAACCAGCCCACACGCTGCTACAGATTACGAGCACATGGTTTGTGGGAGAAGCTCATACTCGCTCATATGTCTGAATCAGCAAGATGTTTACGTGGGATGAATGAGACCATGGCATTAATGATTCAGTGTCATTTAGAGAAGAACTTTTCCAAAAGACTAGAACGTTATACATGTTAATGTGTGTCACAAGTCAGGGGGAATTATACATACTGGTGCCTGTTAGCAACACGTGTTACGTCATTTACATAATGTGGGGCATTAATCACATTAGTTTTTAGATAACTCGATTTACTTATGTAATGTACGTTAAATCGTTTTTAATGTTTTTATTGTAAACCTTTTCTAAATTCCCCTGCTACTCTAATTCATTTGAGATATCTGGCTTCGCGTTTGGCCTTCAGTGTGTGTGTGTGTGTGTGTGTGTGCACAGGGAGGAGAGACAGGAGGAAGAGGAGGAGGAAGAGGAGGAGGGAGTGAAGCACAGGCGCGTTGTTCCTGTGTGATGGTGGTAATTTCACGAGGAGGAAGAAGGCGAGCGGAGCAGCGAGACCCTCGTCGGATTATATTCATTGTCTTCAGCGCAAAATGTGCACGCCGTGTTGTGTGTCGCAGGTGAGGAATAAACCCCGTCTTCTCGCCGCGCGCTCCTCTTTGTTGTTGTTGTTGACGTTGTTGGTGGTCGTCGTCGGTCGCACGCGACACGGTGACACGTTAAGCGCTTCGCGCGGTCTAACGGCCGTTTGAGCCCGTGTGCGTCCTTCGCTCAGGGGGTCGTTGCACCGCTCGGTGAATCCCCGCGACGGACGTCGGCCTCCGTTTCACCCATTACCGTCTCCCCCTCTCCCTCCCCCCCGTAATGAGCCGCCAAAGACAAAGAGAGACGAGACAACGGACGTCAGCTCGAAGCCCGCCGCCGCGGACACGAGCAGCGCGGTCTCACGCGCGCGTCGGATGGGTAATGGAGGAAGGTTTGGGGTTAAAAGGAGCGCAGACTGTGTCTTGTCTGCGTGTTTGGTGGCGATCGAGGCTTCCGCGTTGTTCTTGTCTTTCGAGTAGGACACCGTTGCACTTGTCCCATCCAACGAGGAACATCTCGCTCAGACCTAAAAGTTCAGGCCAAGCAGATTCTCACACACACACACACACACACACACACACACACACAATGTAATGGTTTCAATGCTGTGTGATGATTAGTTACCGACCATACGTTAAAGATGCAGGATTAATTGTGCAGGGTAACTTTATTCAGTGCACATAAGCCGTGCCCCTTGTAGAAACAATATGGTTTGCACTGATGGGAGTCTTTGTTTTGTATCGAGATATATACATCACTTTAAATATCATGGTTGCTTTTGGAGCTCAAATCCAATAAGTCAAGCATTCCTGTTTAGATTGAATATCAACAATTTGATGATGTGTTTGACATGATTGATTTCTTGTTGAGATCATTTTTAAAGCCACATTTCAAAGTTCAGCATCTGAATTGCAATTATTACCGGTTTTCCTTTCTGCTCCAGAGAAAACAGAATTTCTTTAGGTTTTTTACCATTGGCTGGACTAAAATAGTTTGTCTTTTTACACATCGAAGGATTAATCCAGAAAATGTTTTCCAAATTAGTTACTTTTACTATGTAAAGGCTGTTATAACATGGCGTTCGAGACTTTGAAAGGACTGCAAGCGTGCGGTTAATATGTAAATAAAGAGAGGATTTACCTCAATGCTGAGTGTCTTTTCTTTCATCCAAACAGTTGTATTTGTTACCACTGCTGTGCCGGACTGTTGAGGAATTTAATTACACAGACACATTCCTCCTCTGAGAGGGCTCACTTCCATTTCCTGTTCTTTTCAAATGAGGGGTGATGGAAACAGGGAAGGATTAAGGAGGGCAAACAATAAAATCGGTTTTGCGTACGCTTCTGGGGAGCTAATCCCTGTCACCGGCACCCCATTAAGTCGCAGTCGCTATTGATGTGTAAACTTGTGCTTAGCTTTTTTTTTCCCAGTGTGTAGCCCAGCGAACAACGCAAATGTCCGCCCGTAAAACCCCTGGACTCGTGTCACCGTAGCCCGAGCGAATATGTTCACCAAACATCTGCACCAGTCCACGACGGCAACAACTCTGGGTCACGTCGGATGAGATGAACTGGGCGACTGTGTCTACGTGTCTGCTCCTCTCAGCACGACCATGAAGAATTTAGTTGTGTTTGTTGTCCCGCTGGGTTTTCGTTGGCAAGACCTCGTCTCTCTTTCGTCTGCCATGATGCTCCTACACGAGCTCCTTCTTCTCACATCCTCCCACGTCTTTGTCTCTGTAGTTCAGTGTGTTTGAGCAGGCGTTCTCGCTACTTGCGCAATCATAGGAAATGCCCGCTAACTCTTTGCATGGTGTCACCAGGATCGGCTGTAGGAAGCGCACCACGTCGTGCTGCGGTCTAGCGAGCAGTACGCTCTGGGAAGTGAAACGGACCTTTGGCTGAACAAACCATGATGTTGGAGAAATGTGCCCGTTTGGTCGTTTTTCTGTGGCAAACTCCCTTTGCAGACGATTGTTTGATTTCTGCCCCGTTTCTCAGTTCCTCACTCACCGTACCTTCTTCTTTGTCTTTCGTTTCGTTCCACTGGACTTAAGTTGCTCTCTGTTGGTTGTAGCTAAGGGCCGTATTTGCCAAGAGCGAAGCAAAGCCTTCCCTTTGTGTGTAGGAAACAGAGCAGTGATACATTTTGCTGTGTGTGTGTATACAGCTGCCTAGCTATAGGAACAATAGCGGGGTTGTCAGTCACAACATGAGAGGAAATGGAGTCTTGGGTGAAAACAAACCCCAGTATGAGACAGATTCTGCTTTTACGTCCGTCCTACTTTGACTTTGTTTTTGTTTTTGTTTCTCCTCCCCGCTCCCTTCAGCCCTATGCTTTGTTTGAGATAAGAGGGTGTGTACTGGGATTTTGGTCTGTTCTGATTCATAGTGGTAAATGTTATCCACAGTGGCCACTATGATTAAGCTCCAGCTGACACGCAGTACCCTCAGTTTTAGAGCAGGCCGCTACAGCATAGTCTATTTATGTGAGGCAGAATGAAGATAAGTCGGGAATGTGTTTGATGTCTCATAATTGACAGTTTTAAAGTTGTTTTCCGTGGTCATCTCAACTTCTGTTTGTTTTTAGTTTTATTTTTTACTTCTGAAAATGTTATTACCAGTAATAATCAGTCAATATCTCAAATGAGCTGATGAAAGCAATTCCCCCTGTTTAAAACGTCAAATCCCTCCCAGTCACAAGAACAACCGATTGCTTCTTTAGACTCTCGAGCCGAATAGTCTCGTCATAAATGCCTCATTTACTACCAATGGTCCTCACTTCCCCACTAGTTGATGTCGGAGAAACCCTTAAATAGCTGTAATTGTCTAACCTTCCCGATTCCCCCACTGGGATATAATTAGTGACTCGTTTTTACCTCTGGGCGATTTGTATTGTATAAGCAGCTGTTTCTTTGTGGCGAGTCAACCCAGTTTTTAGATTTTGGCTTCCCTTGCATTCTCGGTTGTTGAATACTGCTATTGTTATCATCACTGCTTGGTTGAGGATAATGAAACAGGTCACAGATGTGCTCTTAGGGTTGTCTACACATAGGCCTGGATCACATTTGTTTAAGCATCACTGTTTAACCACCCAAGGTCGCACAGATTCATTCAATCTCTCTTTCCAAATGCTTCATTTTGAACGGCGTTCAGGTAAATTTCCTAATAGTAATCTCGCTGCTATGGCCGGCATCTGTCCCCTCCATCTAAGCGTGTGTGTGTGTGCTCTAGAGGCCTCCTGACCCTGGAACAGCTGGAGGGTAGCTGTGGAATAAGTGATTTAGAGTAAAGGCCAGTCAAAGATAACAAAGAAAGGAGAGTAGAAAAGGAACGACGAGGTGACGGTGGGGGAGGATTGCGAGGAAAGAGATGAAGAGCTTCTCCCTGAGTGAGAAAGAGACAAGTCTTTGTCTCTCGAAGGGTCCCGCAATCACAGCGGAGTGAGGCTCTGGGACCCGGCGGTTGTGGGTTGTGAGAGACTTGGCCCATTTGAAGTCTGCTAACGCCATATTATCTCACAAGATGAATGGCCACAGCGAAATTACACACAAGTTTGAGGGTATAGGGGGGGTTGCTATTGATATCGTAGCAGGGCTGTACAGGAGGAGCACCTGTCGTCGTGCTGGTGGGGCGGGCGGGCAGCGGAGGAGGGGTAGGGCAGCCCATGAGTCGGGAGGGTTGGTGGTGGTTACCATGGATACTTTTTGATTTGGGTACGGGGGAAATTCCTTTTGACAATTCCCGTCTCCCGGCCCCCCCCCCCCCCCCCTCCTTCGGCATTGGCTCTGCTGCAGATTCGCCCCCCCTCCCCCGCTGGTGAAACACTAATGACACTTAAACACTCTCACGCCCTAAATCACTTTCTCCCTCCTGTCTGTTGTGATAATTAGTGGCACATTGAGTAAAGACGCGTGGGAGCAGCAGAGACGGAGGAGAAGGTTTCTCCTGTCAAGGTGGAGACGCGGGGGTCATAATGAAAACAACTTGGTGTTGGTTCAAGGCTGTGAATGCACAAACACAGGAATGACACGTGCGGTCTTGGAGGCAGAATTTTAAACCTCTTCATATTCTCTGTTCTGTGGTCTCTCATGCGTTGCTAAATTCTTTGCATGAGATCTTTGTTTATTTGGCATCAAATAAATCTTTGTTTGTCGCCCACAACCCGAGAGCTAGAAAGTCAAACGGCGGATATGATCTATGTTGACCTGATAACATCATGATTGCATAAACGCTTGGAGGTTTTCATTTTTTGTATTAGGGATGTTTCAGTAAGGCACACGCGTGTCTGCGCCTTAACTTTACTACTGTATTTTCCGATGAAGGATAGACTTACAATGATACCCTGTAACATGGTTGTATTGATTTCTGAAACATGAGCAATCGATGGCAACGTTTTTCTCTGAACTGGGTAGAAACATATTTAGGTTTTTTTTCACATGAAAAAAATAAAAATACTAGAAAACTAGTAAATCAACACCACAGAGCCTGTAATTAAAAAGGAAAGGTCACTGTTGGCCATTCTTCAGATTCAGGCAAGAAAAGCCAGTGAGGAAATCTTCCAGACAGAGAGAGCAGCGAGGCCGAGAACAACTTGACCCTCACAGTGTGCCTGAGTGGATCCACGAGTCTGCAGCATCCCGCACATTACTGGCATCTGGAGCGGGACGCAACACATCAGGCGACGTTGCACACTGGCTTTACTACATCAGTGCACGCTGGGTGGATAACAGATGCCCGGCTTTGGACACCGACCCACACACATGGCTCGGCTGCATTTACCGCCCAGGAGAAAAACTATTTGTGTGTCCGTATATAAATATATATATATATATATATATATATATATATATATATACACGTGTATGAATAAAACTGTGTGTGTTTTTAAATCTTTTAATAAGGACTCTAAAGTCTACACATGTCTCTCCAACACATGTCTTTCATGTAATGCCTACTTAGAGACGGGCTTTCCCTGTAGCTCAAAAACACCCTTTAACCATTTACCTGCCTACCACCTTTCACGTATCCCTGGAAAAGGAACGAGACGCTTCCCATAAGGGGAGCAGAGACGCACCGACGTGCCGTTATAGTGGGCCACACCTCAAGGGGAGACCGCAGCAGAAGCTCGGCTCTGTTCACAGCAGAGTGTGTTCCTCAGGCGAGGAGTAGGAGGCTTATAAAAGCAGGGTGTGGCAGCTACAGAAAAACCGTATACTGTATAATTATAGATCCTTCTCTTTCCCAAATAGAACACCCACTGTATGAAGGCCTCTCAGGAGAAGTAGAGAGTGTGTGTGTGTGTTTGGACAAGGAGGGAAGGATTTGTTGCTTGTGATTTGAAACCATGAGCAAAGAGACACTCGGGAAGATGTCTTCACTCTAAGTGTCCCCCTGTCCAGTAGCTGGCTGTCTTGTTGTCTTGCGGCTCTGACTTGTACAATCAATGTGCAATTAATGAGTTCATTTGTTTGGATCTATTGACAGCCCTATTTTATAGTTTATAGTGTCCCACGAGGGGGGAACCCTACAGGTAGCGCCTTCAGGTGTCCGTGGCGCTTTTGGTTTGGCTGGTTTAACAAACTGTGGTTTATACTACTGCTCTTTGTGTCCACTGCTGAAGGGTAATCCCTCGCCTGATGCTCCTGTGAGGTTCCTCCCCTCTTTTCCTGTTTCTTCTATTTTTGTGGCGGTTTGCTTTAACCCAATTATGGGTTTCAGAATACAGGAAAGAGACCATGTGATTTTTATTATCCGTTTCTGTTTATTTCTTGGTTTGGCTTTTTACATTTTGTCCACTGCTCTCATCCGCAAGGACTTCACTGACAAAAACGTATCTTGGTTATCTTTTGCATATTCTTCGTTCCCTCCTTCCTGGAAAATCAAATGCCAGCCTGAGTAACTGGGGCAGACGGTTTCAAAATGCACACCCAAACCTGCTCTTTCCTTTTTCCACTCGTGGTTTTTAAATGTGTCGTCAGACGGCATATAAAGTGTGGAAAATTCCTAAACTGATATGTTAATGTTTTTCCCGTCCCTCCCTCTTTGCGTCCATCGTTGTCTCTGTGCAGCTGGCCTGCTGCTGCGGCTCAGCGGCCTGCTCGTGCTGCTGCAGCTGCTGCCCCCAGATCAAACAGTCCACGGGGACCCGAATCATGTACGCCCTCTACTTCCTGCTGGTCACCATCGTCTGTGTCATCATGATGTCCCCCACCGTGGAGCAGCAGCTGAGAGACAATGTAAGTGCAAACGGATGTGACACAGCACACCCACACACATGCAATCGCTCTTTTAACTGTAACTGTTGATTTCTAATGTTAATTGGGAGAAGAGAGTTTTGTTTCCCAATGAATACGAATAAAGTCTCTGCACCTGGAATCTATGAACCCGTGTTTGTATAATAAAACCTTTTTTAAAAGGGTTAAAATTATTTTATCTTATCAAGTAAAGGCATTTTTAGGTATGATGGAATTGGAATTGTCAATGGCGGAAAGTATCAACTTAAAAAAACAAAATTAAAGCCATAATCTGTGGTGAATAACAGCAGAGAGGTTTGTAACACTTCCTAAAAGCCTCCATAGTAATGTGATGACTTCTGATCATTTCTAATAAGGTCGACTCAGGTTGGAGCTCTTGATTCCCTATGAATGCAGATGTATAGGAAGCAGCGTGGCCGCTGCCTTCTTATGGTGATACATTCATGTATATAATAAAGTCTTATGTATTTAGGTTTTCAAACAGTTGCTTTTGAAAGTAGGGGAATAAAAGGCAGTCAGATGTTGTTTGTCGACGTATCAGAAAATGTGCTAGTATTGCTGTGCCATCGCTAACCGGCAGAATTAAATAATTCTAACATGTCTGCAGGTGAGGCATCATCTGATTGAGGCCATAAAGGAGGATGGGAAAGTTCAAGCCTGTAGTGTTTTATTTCTAAACGGCCAGAAGGCCTCTGAAGCTGGGAGAAAACGCTCAGCGTTTGCTGTCTTCAAGCCATTTGTGTGTTTTTCCCACCTAACTTACCTTTCTGAATCTTCATAATGCAGCTTTATAATCAAACCTTTTCAGTGGTGCATTTCTGTGGAATTCCAATTTAACTTAAAGGACTCTGTGGTTACTGACACAATGTAGCTCGTTACCCCGGTGAAACTGTAGCGATGCACCAACATCTCATCCTGCCTTTTCTTCAGTCTGAGTTGTTGTTTACAGCCTAATATCTGGACCTTAAGAAATGATGTTGCAGTTGCTGTATCAGCGTTTGTTACCATGACAGTGACGGAACACTTCCTCAAATGTGAGCGTTGTTTTTTCCACCTCCACATCTTCTCCTGCTGTTCTCTCCACTGTTTACTGTACAGTTCTGGAAGGACTCCCCACCGCGTGTCTCCGTGTGAGGGGAAAGCCCTGCAAAAGGCCTATCCAGGCACAAAATGGCCTCTGTTACCCCCACGCAAAGCCCGCTGAGCTACACACCCGCGTATATACACGTTTACATGCACACTGCCAGTCACACACTGAGCACAGTGGGAAGTCCCGGGTGAGAGAGCAGCCTTTGTGCGCGTGGGAGTGCCGGTCTTTTCTCCCGAGATTTACAGCTGTCCAAAACAGCCGGCCCACTTCCCTCTTAATCACGACACCATGGACATGCTAATACGGTCCTCAACGTGAGACAAAAGCTCCAAAATGGTCTTTTTTTTGGTTTTCTTACTCTATGTTGTGATCTGGCCCGGACTGTGGTGCACACTGAGGTGATGACAACTCAATCCGCTGGCGTCTCACCCGTGTGTGTGTGTGTGTGTAACCTCATCGCCAGCAACTAGCAAAGCAAACTCCTCTGTGTTTGAAAAGCAGCATTATTATTTTATCTACTTAATTCACGTATCTGCAGTCAGGAGGCGTCGGAGGAGGGAAGCGATATTTGAGCCGCCATTCTGGGGTTACATTTTCGAAGGCGAGCTCTTGTCTTGGCTTTGAGCCACTGAAGCTTTTCCGCTTTCCCGTTGAAGACCACCGCAAAGTCCTCTTCTGTTCTGTCCAGTTTTCCTCTCGTCTGGTTCACCTCACCGTGGGGAGTAATAAATTGGCTATATTTATTCTAAGACAGATCTGCCAATCCTGCTGCGTTTTTCCTTTCCCGTGTCCTCTGACTTGTCGACCAGAGGCGGTTAATTTATTCATTGGTGTCTTTTGTTTGCGTACACTGACAGTCGGTTGTAAGGCCCCTCTAACAGCCTGTAGAGAATGCCTAATGAAAGAAGCCTTGGTGGAGAGAAAGACGGGTTCTTGTTGCTGCCTGTTCCCTCTTTCTGCTCCTTTAGAGGCGTGACGCGCAGAATAGAAGCTATTGGGCCTTTTCTCTCAGGCCGCGTACTAGGCAAACATCAGCAGAGGTGTGTGTGTGTGTGTGTGTGTGTGTTTAACGCCATAGCGATCTGATACAAGTGTTTTGTGGGTTTGTGTATTTCTTTTTCTCAATCAGATCCCTTTCTACAGTGATATGTGTGAGAAGATGAAGGCAGGGGAGAACTGCAAAACTCTGGTTGGCTACTCGGCCGTCTACAAAGTGTGCTTCGGCATGGCCTGCTTCTTCTTCCTGTTCGCCATCTTCACCATACGCATCAACAACAGCGCAGGCTGCCGGGCGGCCGTGCACAACGGGTAGGAAGGCCGCGCTCCTCCTCCTGTCCGCCCTTTGTCACGTCAGTCATGAGGTCATTTGTATTCACCTGTAATGCGGCGCCGCGACCCTCAGTTGGTGCTCGTCTATGAGAAAGGTCAATGAGAACAAGCGGCGCCGTCCCGCAGCGTCATCGAGTCGTAGTTATCTCTTAAACATTAACACCAGTTGTCTCGGACACCTGCTTTGGTTATTAACAATGTTGTGATCGTTTTACTAAATGTTCTGAATGACTGTATTTAATGTATTCTTCTCACGTTCCCTAACAATGTTTATTCAAATTTGGATCCAGGTCGTATTGAATCTGTTCTGTTGGGAGTTTTTGTTTTGTGTGGTATTCAGTTTTCTTTTTCAATCAAATTGACGGTCGACATCATGGATGGTTTAAATGTCAGGTTCTGGCTGCTGAAGTTTATGGTGCTGGTGGCGTGCTGTGCTGGAGGCTTCTTCCTCCCTGAAGAGGAAACGTTTCTGCAAGGTGAAGAGAACTCCATGAACAGTAAACCTACAGTGCTGTAGTAATATACGTCATATTCATTATGATATAGATCATGAAAACATTTATTGTATACGTCCACCTCAGCCATGTCAAATAGTTGAAGACACTGGAAAGTTATAAGATTGGAAATCACAAGCATGGCTTCTTTATTTTCTGAATAAGCCACATAATTAATTAACTTACTCAAATCCTGCCTTTTGGAGTCAAACCTAAAAATAGCTTTAGTTTGAATACAATCTTGCAGAGCGAAGTGCCACATCTGATGTAAGTATGTTTCATCTCTAAAACTATTTCTCTCCTGCTCTTCACCGGCACAGTGTGGCGCTACATCGGAGCAGTTGGCGGCTTCTTTTTCCTGCTGATCCAGCTCATGCTCCTGGTGGAGTTTGCACACCGATGGAACACAAACTGGTGAGAGCTGTTGTTGTCCTCTCAGTGCGTTTGTCTCTCTAGTGCTCTCAGAGGATGATGCTCTTGTGGCTGGCGGGGAGGCTTGTCCGTAGGCTTTGTGCAGATTCACAGGATGCAAAGGGTGCAGGTGTTTTGCACTCTAGTGTCCCCTCCTCCTCCCATGCAGACTGACACATAGCACAGCAGAGTGTTATCTGTCAACCTTGTCAAACTGTCAAATGTCTGAACACATGGTTGGTGGTACTTTCGCATGTACACATTTGGTTTTTAATTAGAACTTGTATTTCTGGACGCGATGAAATGAATGTGAAAGCACTTCTCTAATAAGTAACTGATTAACACAACTTTCTCTCTTTGAATTTTTCTTTAGGCCAATATCTCCTGCGTCCGTTTCCTTACTTTTTTTGACCCGTTTTACTGTTTTTTTTCTAATATAATTTGTGTCACCCTTGTTCATATTTGGTTTTGTTTCTTTCTGTTCGTTTTCTCTCTCTCTTTGTCTCTGCCTGTCTGCAGGAGTTCCGGAGTGAAGCACAATCGCATGTGGTACGCAGCGCTGGCCTTCGTTACTCTGATGCTGTTCAGCGCGGCCGTCGCAGCCTTGGGGTTCATGTGTGTGTTCTACACCGACCACGAGGCCTGTTTACTCAACAAGGTCTTCCTGGGCATCAACGGCAGCCTGTGCCTCATTGTCTCCCTGTTGGCCATCTCGCCGTGCATACAGAAACGTGAGGACACACAAGAACTTTATCTCATTACCATGTGTGATAGAATTGAAAATACAAGCATTGGCATTTAGATACTAAGGTATTTATAGAGAGCTATAAGGCACATCGCATAGAGCTGTTGTGTTGTATTTAATATAAACACATTTGATAATGAAGGAAGGTAGCAATAAATAACACTGGAAATATATTTACAGTGTTAACGCCTGTATCCATGGTTAATATTGCCAGTGGTATTTAAATCCTTGATTTACCTTTGTTGGGTCCCTGCAGTGCAGCCCACGTCAGGCCTGCTGCAGCCAGGAGTCATCAGCCTGTACGTCATGTACCTCACCTTCTCAGCCTTCTCCAGCAAACCAAAAGAAAGTGAGTGGGACAGAACGCCTGTCTCCACCTGATGGTCACCGCCATCGTTGGGTTTGATCAACCGGCAGAAGCATTTGGGGGGGATTTATTAGCACATTTAATAATAGACATTGTTTGTAAGTCATCTGGTCCAAATTGATCCTAAAATGACTCATCTCTACAGCCCTCCTATTACCACAGTAGCAATCGGGATAATATCCTATGTTGATATGCCATTGTAAAGGTAATCTTACTATAAATAATAGTAACACGTAGAAGCATGTTGTTATTGAGGATGTTGGTGCTTTTGCACTCTCTATCTCTCTATTTCCCCTTTGCCTCCCACTCCTGATGCATTCTGCCAAAATACACTCACTCTGCATCTTTTGCAATATCCGCTCTCCTTACAATACTCCCTCTACTTTGTATTTGGCCTCATCCATCTCTGTCTGCACATTCTGTCCTAGTTGTGGAAAGAAATGGCGTGAACACCACCGTTTGTGTGTTTTCCTTCAACTCGGAGACGGAGAGCGACAAGAAGATTGTCACCGGTTTTGGAACCGTTATCCTTTTTGGTTGTATCCTGTACTCTTGGTAAGACACACGCACCTTTCTTCTATTTTTTTGAAAGTCTTATTGTTTAGACAAATACAAGCCAAGTTTCGCTATAAAACATCTCTCTTTATTGCCACGTCACTAAATTGAAAGAGTCGACAGATTATTGTGTTCAAGGCTACAAGCCAAACCCTTTAACCGCAGTTCTGTTATTTGCAGTGTTGAATAAAAGTGAAGCATTTCAAGGCGGGCCGTAGCGTGGTGGGCTAAGCAAAGAGTGTGAAAAAATAGAACTCCGGCTTGTTTTCGTTTGTTGACACGTGTTTCCTATCAAGTGGAGGCATCACGTCTCTCTGGTTCATCCCCTGAAGGAGAGGGAATTCAACTCTGAAGCCATCTGAAACTTCACATTAATGGAAAAACAAAGAGTAAAGGAATCACAACCTTTCTCTCTGCCCTCCCTTTAGCCTGACGTCCACAACCAGGCGAAGCTCTGCAGCGCTCCGAGTGTGTCGGAACAGTGAGCCGGCGACTGAGGTACATGCACAAACAGTCTCACTGCGGCGTGTGTGTGTGTGTGTGTGTGTGTGTGTGCGCTCAAATAGATTAATAAGACTCGACAACCCCACTCAAAAGAAACTTCCTATTAGACGTCTTAATGCCATTTTAACTAGAAGATGGGATGTGCGTCTATTCCAGGGTAACCCGTACGTTTCTCTCCCTCCTGCAGAGAGCTCGCTGTTGTTTCTGTTTTGGAGACGACACAGGTGAGGAAAGTTGAAGCAGTGTCCCCCCCTCCATGTCTCGTCTTGTTTGTTTTCCCTCCCCCCTCACTCCCCCTGCCACTCCCACATGCGCACAGCCCGTGTTTGCACACAGAGGCGCTATGCTCCTTGCTATTCCGCAGCCAGATTGAGGATGCTGAGAAAGTATTGGTCAGCAAATCGAGATGATGTCACTGTTACTAGGAGGAGAGGGGGGGAGGAAGGTGGGGGGTGTAGTATGACACAGTGAAGCAGGATCAACAGCAAAGTGGGATTTTGGATTGTGTGACAGTGCCCCCTGCTGGAGGTAAACATAGTTAAATAGCATTCATATTCACTCAGACGTGTATGCTGGACACATTTGTAATCGAACAGATCAGTAGTGCACAGAATGTTGAGAGTGAAAAAAAGTGTCCCTCCCTCAATCTTCTCTGAGTGATTTAATGTTTGATTTTTAGATGACGCTGAGGAGAACAGAACTAGCGGAGGCCAAAATGTGATGTATGATGAGAGAGAAGGAACCATCTACAGCTACTCCTACTTCCATGCCGTCTTCTTCCTGGGGTCCCTGTATGTCATGATGACCGTCACCAACTGGTTCCAGTAAGTGATGCCTAAGCGGGTTTGCTCATGTGCATCGGACTGGACAAAGCAGTTCATTAAGTGATTAAAGATTAAATAATATACAACTTGGAACCAGCAATATATTTGAAATCATCCAATCACAGGAGTAATTCTTGTTTGGTATCTTTGTGTCAACATGCATGTATTTTTTGATCCCATATACAAATACATTACTACATGTATTTTACTTAATTCCATGTGTCAAATAGCTAAAATAAAGTCGAATTTAAATCTATCACTGAAAAAATCTTTCTCACTGCAGACATTTTGACATTCCATAGCGTGACCGTCACAGATGTTAATAATTATGTCAATAATCACTGCCCCCAATTTTGATCTTCTTTGGACAGTTAATGGCATAATCCATTATTAATGTAATTAGTTACGGCAGTAACGAATACGGATTATGTTGCTGTACTTTATTGTTGTCTCAATTCACATAGTGAACCCCTCAGCTGTCTGTGAAGCTTGTAGTCGTTGCTCAGTTGTCTCTTTTCGTTTGCAGTTATGATGACCATAAGATTGAGAAGCTGTTGGACGGGAGTTGGTCGGTGTTTTGGATCAAGATGGTCTCCTGCTGGGTCTGTCTCATCCTCTACATGTGGACTCTCTTTGCTCCCATGGTCTGCCCAAAGCGCTTCGAGGCCTAAAAGCCACTAATCTGAGGTTGGGCCGCTCTGATTCTGGGGACGTGGTCGGGCAGACGCTCTCTTGCGCAGAGCCAAGACGTCCACCTCTCCGTCTTACCTTAAACACAACCCCACACTACCCTCAGTGTTCAAAATGGAGGATTATCTGTTGCCTTTTGTTTGATATGCTAGTGTTTTACAACGTTAATACCTTGATGGTAAATTTGTTATTTTTTACTACCACTTTCTCGTGGAGTCTTTTTTTTATTACTTACATATTTGAAATTACATACAGAATCGTGGGAGTTAAGAGTTAAGTTGCATCGGGAAACATGGGAATCATCCAGCCCTTAAATATCACCTCTGTGTGTCACCAGACAATTCAGTTCTGTAAAGTTGGACCATAAGGTTGTAGCAAAGATTTGAAATAATTGAATTTCACCCTAAAGATGTTACAAAAGAAGATTATTATATTTATTTAAGTGTGTCTTAAGTAATTAAAAATAATTGTGTGAAGGAATTTGATTCGAATTGAATTAAATTTGTCCCTGGATCTGTTCAAGAACTCATCTCTCAGGCGCACGTGTGAGCTGTGTATTAGCTGTGCTTTGTTATATTACTCCCTTTTGTAGAAGTTTTCTATGCAACGGAACAAACCCTTTTCAATATCATACCCAGCGTTGTGAAGTTTCCACCGAGTTCGAAAGGATGTTTCAAATTTGGTTAATTCCATTGCTCCCTTTTGATCTTTCTTAGCAAAGTCCATGTCAACGTTTCCTGCCATCCTTGTTGTTTTACAGAGCAGTGCTTTTACAATTAACCTGCCTTTATTTGAGAGTGTCACATGAGGAATGTTTGCCAAAGGTAGAAGTCAGAAAACAACAATCACAATTGTTTGGTCAGTAACAGAGATTTTTACTGAAGTACTTGCGTGTGCAACACAAACGCTTACTTTAACTGTTTTCTGTACAGTTATGAAGCAGTCAGAATAAAGTAGCATAATCACTTTTATCAGCAATTTATTCAATACTGGATGTTGGGTTTGCTGCCAAATTCTCACAAAAACCTCCACCGGTCAACCTGTGTCACTGATTGTTGGTTTGTAGATTACAATGCGTCAACAATTGTTTCTCATTCATCCATCAATCAGCATGTCCTTTTCCTCTGGTATTTGGGCTTAATTCTTTTGATATGTGGTTTTATTGTTTTATGTACATGAACATTTCGCCAGGGGACTTACATTTTTTGGAAACCTGCATTTCGGTAGAAATCGAATGGTGCTCTTCAGTTTTGATATCAATCAAAAGAAATTCCTAAATCTGATGTGAAGGCTGTGTATCACCATAACATACAGTAACACTTTGGGACCAAGATGTACATGTTTGAAATGCAGAGATGTATTGTTTCATTATTCAAACTCTCAATAAAACAGCCGTCGAATGCCACGTGGTGGGTTTTCTTCCTGAAGCTTTCTCTCATACAGATAAATAACACAACATTTTCTTTAATGTTCAGAATGTTACTGTTTGTGAATACATTGGAATTACAATATTAGGTCTTTAACAGAAGTCATTAAATGCTCATAGAATTACATTTGACATTTTGAATAAACATACAACCAGCTGATTGATACAATAGTGTACTTGCTTCAATTAAACACAAACAATTTAACGCTCAATGTTATAGTTTCCTTGCACCCAGTCACTCAAATGTTAGCATTTTCTTCCACAACTCGGCCCTCTAACAAGCTCTGCTCCTCCACCAAGTTGTCCTCTAATGGATCGCTCCCCTGGCTTCACTCTGTGTTCTGGGCACTGAGATCCTTGTAGTCAGCAGGAATAGTGTCTGGTGAGGAGAAAGAAACTAACCATTAGGCCCACTTGGAGTTTTTGTCGCCGATAGGACTGCGTCATGACTTGCAGACACTCACCGTTGCAACGATACTTAAGGTTGGACCAGATGATGTTTTCCTGAGAGAAGCAGAACACACCCAGTCTGCCGCCTCTCATACTCGTGTCAATGATCACGTCTGTGTCCGCCACCAGTTTTGAGCCCTCGAAGAAGCGAGCCCTGGTCCACGTAGGAGGTGAAACTAGTAAAGTCTGCCCACACAGTATGAGTGTATATGAATGTGGGAGGGTTCCTGATGTACGTACCTGATGTATCCAACCTGTGGTCTGTGCTGCAGGAACCAGCGGTAGGACACCTTGTCCTTCCAGCCAACGTTCCTGGGGTCCTTCCACAGGAGCCGGACCTGATTAGGGGTGTCTCCCGTGTGCCACAGGGAGTTTCTCATATACTCACCAGGACCCGTCTTTGACTTAACTACCTGGTAGTGATAAAGAGCCCGACATGAAGACATGAAGACAGAAGGGAAATTACAAGAGATGAAGAAAGCAAACACACTTCCCCAAAGCTGCATCCACTAATCACAAGGTTGGCAGATCATTCCTCTGATCCTCCTGTCAAATTGGCCTTGACCGGAGACATTAAGCCGCAAATTGCTCCTTTTGGTCAAGCGAGCACCTTGAGCGACCTCGCTTGCAGCCGGTGTGTGAGCGTGCGGAACCATTTGCAAGCACTTACCTTGAGTTGTATTCCTGGTTCGGCAACGGCTCTGAAGGGTGCGGCCTGCCAGTAGGTTTGTTCTGTCTGTTTCCACATCACCACGTAGAAGGAGGAGGAGTCCTGGTAGCCGAAGATGAAACCAGTATAGTCATCGTCGGTCACCGTGTTAACGTGGAACGTCCCCTCAAAGTCGACCCCACTGAAAGCTTTGTAGCCTGCCGATGTGGACAGTGGAGAAGAAAGACACAATATATCTGACGCGAAGGGCGAAGACGATGGGATGTTCTATTGTTAAAAACAGAAGACGATGAGACATTATGGAGGTGCTTACCAACAGCAAGGCCAGGGTCAGAGTTCATGGTCTGCACTATCTCCATGCCCTGTCAGCACAAATCAGAGTCGCACCCTTTTATTTCTCCTATTAAGGGACTCATTACATATGCTGTTCTTGAATTCTAACATAAAAACAATATTGTTTAACTAAGACAATTAATAATTGTGTAGAATAAGGACGGGACAGGTATGACCTCTGGACACAGAGTTGCGACGTAACTGTGACTAGCAAAGTCGGTTGAACTTTGACTATTGTTCACCTGATTCAGGACCACCCAGTTGGGGTCAATCTGAGAGTCGCCCTCCGGATCCAGCACGACGGTCTGATAGGCTCTGAAGTCGGTCAGGCTGACCTCAGCGTTCTCCGGGCAGTGGTCGATTATGTCAATGACGCTGTCTTTGTCAAAATCTCCTTCGCATGCGTCGCCGACATTGTTATCTGAAATGTAAAGGTGCAGCTTGGTCGGCACCACATAACGGACCCACACACTGCACACATGCATCTACACACCAGGGCAACATACGTCAAGTGATACTAACCGTCCGTGTCCTTCTGGTCTGGGTTGGGGACAAGTCTGCAGTTATCATCGTCGTCCATTATGCCGTCGTTATCGTCGTCATCGTCACATTCATCTCCCTGTCGAGATAAAACCGAGCCATCTATATTCCAACACGCACGAGAAGAATGGATGAAAAATGTCTAATGCAATAAATGAAGCAGTATGAATGAGGAGATTAAAACCATTCCATCCTTGTCGGTGTCCAGCTGGGCAGAGTTGATGAATGTGGGACAATTGTCTTTTGTGTTCTGGTGGCCATCGCCGTCACTGACAACGAGGAGGTAGGTTCAAAACGTGACACATCGGAATATACACTCAACCCGCTGGACGTGCCAGTGGGCTCTACCTGTCTATGTTGTCGTCGCAGGTGTCTCCGACAAGGTCGTCGTCCGAGTCAGACTGCAGGGAGACGGAGCAAACAGCGTTGGTGAGATTCCTGACAGCAGACGAGTCTTTCTCAGGTTCTTTGGCTTCGTCACCTGGTTTGGGTTTGGTACGTCAGGACAGCTGTCACAGGCGTCTCCCACCACATCGTTGTCTCTGTCTTCCTGGTCTCTGTTGGGGACCCGCTGGCAGTTGTCAAGGGCATTCTTAATGCCTGGAAACATTAACAACGCAGACCTTCTATTCCTGCGTCACGGGTAAAAACGTAAAAACGACAGTAAAGTCTAAAAAGCTGAACAGAGTCTACAGACGCGTTCTGTAAAATGCAGGACCAGATGGCAGTGTTTGTTGAAGAAGAAGGTGAAATAGTTTCCAGTGTCCTTCCATGCCTGGCGTAGGCTTACTGTGGAAAAATACTTTTCGCGGGGAGACGGACATGACCAAGCGCTTAGCAATCCAGCCTTGGAGTTAAAGACATTACCAAATGATCAAGAGGTTGGAGCTCCACGAAAATAAATAAATTAATACTAACAAAGTCCCGACATGCAACATGCGTAAGCACTCAAAGGTAAACACGTAAGCACACATTAACACATTAAGCCAAAGCGGTTTCTAAGGGAACAAATGATCAAATGGGTCTTTAAAAGGGCAACCAAGAGAAGTAAGGGAAAAAGGTTTACGCTGACAATTCCAGTTTTTCTACTGGGGTCTTTAGGTGTTTATATAATGAAAACCAATGATCTACCTGGTAGGATATGAGTTGGACAAATATAATAGCGCAACGTCCACACTTAATAATTAACAGTCTGTTACTGACCGTCCCCGTCCATATCATCATCACAATCATCTCCTAGCCCGTCCTGATCCGTGTCCCTCTGTAAGGGATTTTCAACTGTTCTGCAGTTGTCACAGGCGTCGCCCAGGAGATCCTTGTCACTGTTCTTTTGGTCCACGTTAGGTACGAGCCAGCAGTTGTCCTGGGACAGAAAAAAAAGTGGTTTTACTGTAGAGCGCAGAGGCTTAAGTGAGTGAATTAAATACCTGTTGATTGAAATGTTAGCGCTCATCATAGTTACCCACATCTATGTTAATAATGCCATCGCTGTCTGCATCGTCATCACAGGAGTCACCCAACCCGTCCCGGTCTGCATCCTCCTGGCCAGAATTCGGCACTGAAATGCAGTTATCCTGGAAACAACACGGAAAAAAACACATGTTTCCTTAATGTGTAATGCTAACCCTAACCCCCTGAAGTAAAGTAAAAAAGAGGGTGTTGAAATACGTTTACCTGCTTACAGTTGGTGTCACTGCACTGGAGCGTAATGTCTGGATATGCATCAATATCTGTGTCCTTTCCACACACGTAGCCGTTACCTGCCCAACCAACGCCACACTAACACACACACACACACACACAAACACACACACACGGCAGAAGAAAAAGTCCTGTTGTGACATTTCAATTCAAACCATGACACAGTCATACTTATGCAGACAAATGTGACTTGAGTATTTTTTTTTACCACACAGCTAATGCTGCCGTCTCTCTCCACAACACATTCTCCATTAGTGTGACAGGGGCTGGGTTGACCGTTGGGGCAAAGCCTGGTTCCATGGCAGCCTCCCACCTGGTCACCTGTGAAGCCCGCTTTACACTCCCCGCAGCGGAAGGAGCCCTGGCGTGGAGAATACGGAGTCAAAAGCCCGTCCTTCTGCTACGAGCGAGTGTAAAAATAACCGCCCTCTGGTGTCAGTGTCCTCACTATCGTGTTGTAGCAGTGCGAGTTTTCAGTGCAACTTCCATCCTTCGGCGGGCCCAGACACTCGTCTATGTCGTCACAGACCTGGAAATAACAGGCCGGCGATATGGTTCACGTTCTGCCAACAGGCACTGATAAATGAAGCAGTATGAGTGTTGTTGTTGTTTTTACAGTGTGGTGTACAGTGAGTGTTTATTATACCTGTTTGCGGGACTTAGCATAGGAAACTCCCACTCCGTTTATCTCTGGCCCGTTGTAACCCAGAGGGCATTTCTCACAGCGAAAACCAGGAGCAGTGTTCACACACCGGACACCAGGGTAACATGGATTAAACTTGCACTGAGATATACAAGATAAACACAGTAAAGTTGTAATTACTGATAGTTATACAAGTTGCAGATTCGCATACCAAGGAATGTCGTACATACCTCATCAACATCGTCACAGTGCACCCCGTCTCCTGTAAACCCCTCAGGACAGGACGCGCACTGAAAAGCACCAGACTCTGAAAGGACGCACATGTTTTGTCTGAAGCAGGTGCCAGGTGGGCACTGGGTCAGAGGCTGACTTGCTGGACCCGTGTCAGTTGGATTTCCCCCGAGACCTGCGGGCACAAATAGCTGGATATGAAAGCACTTTGTTAAAAGGTCACTTTGTCAGTAGTGTCTCAATACACCACGAGTGATCGAGATGGTCGTACCTACCACAGGCAAGACACTCCGTGATGGTATTCCTCAAAAAAGTTGTCTCCTTAATCTTAAAGAAACACAGTGGGGGAGTATGAGTCGGGACACACTGTTATGGGTAATTGTGTTATTACTTCATGGCTTATTTCACAAGAGGCAACTCCCGATCTTATGTTTAGATAAAATGTGTCAGCCCAGGCCGCCTCTCGTGATCTTTTTCAATATATCAAAGTCTGAGATGCTAAACTATATAACAAGAAATTTCCAAATGGCTGTGAATTAGCCCACATTCAGTGCAAGTATAACTACTATGAAAGAAAGGGATCTTTGCACAACATTCTCCCCCCCAGAAAAGTCAGGGACTCAGAGGATACCTGCTTGATGAGCAGCTCTTTCATCTCAGAAAACATGCTCCTCAGCTCCTCCATGGAGGCCTGATCGTGTTCTGTCCTGGCTCCCTGGATGCCTGAGGGCAATTTCACCAATCAGAGTTAGAGAATTAGACACACAGCCCACATTTAGCCGGTTTAAGTTCACGTGATGATGTGATGTCAGGCAGTCAGCAGCTGTTCTCACTCAGCAGCTGAAGAGATTCACGCTGATCCATGCTGCAGTCCTGCAGAGTTGCCACATTGTCTATTGTGTCTTCTATGACCAGCTTCAAGTCAGTCAGTTCATCCTTGCAACGAAAGAAACCCATTTTTGATGCAGCACACATCTCTGCCATCAAACGTGAAATATACCGTATTTACCTTCGAACTCGACTGCAGGGTCCTAAGTGCCACCCTGTTGGGACCAGGGGGGAGTGACCCAAACGTAGCGGGCAGATCATCCAAACTGTGCACCAGTCTGCAGTCTACATAGATGTTGAGGCGAGGCGGACCGCCCTGCAGACCTCTGGCATGGAGCATCACATGGTGATCTTGGCCATCTGCCAGGGAACCGTGGTTGAAACTGGTTGTGACAAATCTCCCGTCTGTCCTCTGGTAACGCATGGTTACTAGAGGTGGAGAGAAGCAAGAAGGAAGTGAGAGAGAGGCAGTGAAAGGCAGCAGGAGAACACAAGTCTGCAGGAAAATCATTGTATGTTTTGGTAGAATAATTTACCCTTGCTTAGTTTGGCCTGCACGCTGACCTCCAGGTACTTGCTGTTGTCTTTGGGGTTGATGACACTGTAGAGAGAGGTAGGGGCCTTGCTGTGGATCCTAAAGGAAGAGAGGAGGAATGCCTCATCTCGCCCTTTGTTCTTCAAGCTGCCTTGTAGCAAGTCCGGCAGGCAGTCTGGAGACACCAGCAGGTCGTAGACTAACGGGGAGAGCGTCGTTAAAAACCTGCATTACGCTGCTGTAAACACATTGCACCTTGACTGTGAAATAAATGCTCAAAGAAAAGTCCCGGTTTAACACAGAAAGCGAGGGAAGTACACCAGCTAGTGGTCAGTGTCAATAGCGTGCAAGGAGCTCAGGAATATTCACAGAGCAACTGAAAGCAATCAATCCGATCACACTACGGGTGCTGAGTTTCTTTTTGCCACTAATGAGTTTTCTGTGTGTCCTGGTCGCTACGGCTCACAGTGTTCTACCTATTGCCACTGCATAGTCAGAACACTGTTGTACTTTATTAAGTGTGACAGTGTACCTGTGTGCGAGTGTGCCTTTTTTTTATGGAGAGGTGGACGGCAGCTGCAGAAAGGAGCAGCAGTAAACTCTTTCCATTGGAACAAACCCACTCCCAACACTTCACACGCTCACATGCAAACACACACACACACACACATATATATGCATACACAAAAACACCTGCACACAGCCGTTGGTTGGATTCAGGAATATTAATAATAATAATAATCTGCTGTCATAATAAGTGACAGAAAATGGTGTGGAAACATTTGCGCGGAGATTCCTGGCAGATCTCAGACGGCAGTTAGTGTGTATCTAAAACAGATTTACTCATTTAGGTCAGACTGTGACAAGATCCTAGATGTCAAATTCTACTAACCACAAAATAAAGACAAATGAAATCACCCTGGTTATTTACAGGCTTGCTGAAGACGTGGAGTTGTAGGAGCATAGAACCAATTGTTAGAAACTAAGACATTCACTTGAATCGTGCTGATCTACAGACACAAGGATGATGTTTTCCAGACGATCGATGAGGAAGAGTACTTACTGATGCCTTGAGCCGTGACAGTGATCACCAGCTGTTGCAGCGCCAGAGAGAGAGCTGCTACTCTGCCCCACACGTCCATCATTTAGTGCTTCCGTATGGGACACACCTCAGCAAAAGCAGTATTCCTTTGTTCCCAAACCTATCACAGATTAAGCTCCTATTATATCACAGAATGAAGAAAATCCAGATGTTGAGGCAGAATCTCAGCAGAGGTGAGATGGTTTTGTGGACACAGGCACAGCTTTTAAAGCAAAGGGGAGTGTCCTTGCACTTTATTGCGAAAGTGGCACAGTGTAGGATCTATTTTAAAGGTTTGAGGGAGTGTCCCCTTGCTGTAGTTTCATCAAAAGATAAATCATACGAAGTCACTGCATGTAAAAGCTGGAGTAGTATTACAAACACATTTTGAAGAATAAACAAGGATTTATACATTGCATTGTATTCCATAAAGGTTTGTCAGAATACGACATTACTTTTAAATCAAATTGCCTCATATACGTATTTTCATGTTATTCGTCTGTATATGTGGTTATTTCCTTTAATTCCATTTCACATAAATACATTTGTTATGTTGTTATACCCCTATTTCACTGACTCATCGATTTAGACATGATAACATTTTCATTCCCTGAGCCTTTATGTTAAGTGTCTTTTGGCCATAAGTAATATAGTAGCATTAAAATAAACTAAGTGAGCTTGTACACAGTCAGCCAACTCAGAAAAACGTCTGGATTGGATTGTAACTGGATCTTCAAGGAGGAAAACTCCCTTTCAGCTTGACAATGATTTTAATAAACGTGATGAGCCTGTTAAGAAGAGTGTTTGATCTCCTAGCTCATCAATAGAAAGCCAGTTAAATTGCATATTGGTATGCCAGATGTTTTTTTTGTTTTTTTTTAACTTGTTCTACATGCCTCTTTAAACCTTTTCCAAATTCCATCTGTTGGAGAATATGGGAAGTGAAGGACAAAGAGGCCTGGACTCGCGACCCTGGAAACATTCCATGATAGATGCCTGGTACTCGTCTTAAAACCTTCTCTACAAACCTCAAGTAGATTTCAACATCTGAGCTGCTGGTCCGAGTCGAATGGAGACATTTACCATCCCTCAGGGCATCATCACCGCGCATCCGTTTGTGTCTGGCTGACTCCAACCAAACACCTGGCAGCCTTCAACTGCATTACCGGCTGTCTATCATCGCGACTAATAATAAGTAGCATGTCCCCAAAATGGAAATAACAATTTGATATTTGAGGATGGTTTAATCCCTTTATATACATGTATAACTCACCATAGTGTGACCTTTTAAGTGAAGTAATCATCCTAAATAAATCATCGTACTTCTTACGGGGGGTGAAGCCATAAGCCAGAGACTTATTTCACGAATTATAATGTACATACATATCCCACTGATACTCGATATAAGCCACGTGTTTCATTCATTCGCCTGTGATATGACACCTGCTGACGTCACCACCTCCCTCTATGGATCAAAACATGGCGGCTGCCATGGAGCTGAGGTGCTGGGGAGGAGACTGGGGTTTGCCTTCCGTCCACACCGAGTCTCTCATAGTTCAGGTATCGTTGTGGTCCGCGTGAAAACACTGACACGGTCATCACGTCCACTCGTGCTTTCGAGACGAGGCGCTTCTCCTTCTTCTACGGCGGCGTTCTTAGCGCGTCTCCGGTTAGCTGCCATGCTAACGTGAAGCTTGTGAAGCTAATTCAGCGGCTCGTGCTCTGCTCGGGTTGCGGAATTGAAAATAGTATTTTACAATTTGTTTGCCGAGCTGCTGCATAATGACCTGGCCGTCAGAAATCACTCTCTGGCAACGTAAACGTGATCCTCCCAAGGTCAGCTGGTTGAGGCGAATACTTGAACTCATTATGCGTAACTTATTTACTCGTGTATTAATCTCGCCGTCTATCGAGGGTGATCGATGAAGCGATGACCTTGCCGGTAAAATGTGCAGTGATCAGTTTGCCTCTTTCCGTCGGTCACTCCGTGCAGTTACTGCTTTTACCACAAGGTGACTCTTTTACAGCCTTTAAAGGTTAGAAACGTTAGTTTGTGACATTAATGCGTTGTGTTTTTGGTTGCATTGGTTTGTTGACAGAAGTCATGTTTATATGTATTAAGTAACATTATTTCTAGGTACCTAAAATAACATTGTTTTTTGTTTCAGCAATTTTTCTATGGCATCCAGTTTTGTGTTTGGCTGCTTTTCTCTGTAATATTCATTATGAACATTTGAAGCTTTCACCTTGGAATCCATGCATTTGTATAAAAGATAATCCACAAATGATTTTATAAGAAACGTATTTGAAAGTGGCAATTATTTTTATTTCCTACCTGAAGTTTTTGCTTGTTCGTTCTCTATTTTTTAACCATTTTTATGATTGAATTGTTGGTTTTCTTTCAGGCGTACGCAAAGTTTTCTGGGGCAAAAGTCACCGTTTCTCCTGTAGACTGGACATGGAAAACTCTCACAGGTGGGCTGCAGCAGTAAAGCAGAATTAAATAACAGCATGGTCCAGACTCCACATGGGAGTAGCTTAACATACATAACACATGTGGCTAAGTGCGTATTTGTTAAATATATACAATCCATTTTAGTTTGGAAAATACATCAATATTAGATGTATATGCACAACAGTGTGCATACTTAAAATTACAGAACAACCAACCAGCTATTTGACCATGTCATGGAAATGTTGGGGACCCTAAAATGTGCCAGAAAAGGTGAAAAAACACAGATTGAACGTGTGGGTTTAATGTTTTTATTTATCTGATTGGGTTATTGGTAGCAACACCAGATGCTAGATTGTAATACTTCTTCATGTTGTTCAACCTGCAGCAACAGTCCCAGAGTTGCTGTGTGGAGACTCTGCAGTTCAGGAACCTATAAATATTCTCAACTTCTTGAGAAAACAGGTAACGGTGAATTCCAAAGTGGCTCAGTAACCGTGATGTGGTCATTGTGTCCCCAAATCCCAGATAGCAGAGTCAGTAGCTGTAATAAATGTGATTTGTTTCTTTTTCTTTTAGAGATTTAATGCAGACTATGAACTTACAGCCAGACAAGGAGCCGACACTATGGCATACATCGCGCTGCTTGAAGAGAAACTACGACCAGCTCTGGTAACCCCGTTTCGTCTGCCTGATTCCTGATGAAAATTTGCGTGTAATATTTATAATTCGAGTGATGCTTTGTGTCCCACAGCTGCACACGTTCTGGGTGGATGCAGAAAACTACGCCAATCTGACGCGGCCTTGGTTTGCTTCACGCTCGCCATTCCCTCTGAACTTTCTGGTCCCAAGTCACCGTGCCAACGCCGCCCTCTCCCGCATCCTTCTAATGAAAGGAGAGGCCCCGCTGCACAGAATCACAGAGGTCGAGGGAAAGGTAAACGATTACTTGTCACAAGTCAAACAGTTGTGTCAACTCTGTTTGCTCATCACGTTAAATTTTTTTCCACAACTGTAAGCACTTCTCACTGTCTTCCTCAGATTTACAGTGATGCTAAAGAGTGCCTGAATCTCCTCTCATTCAGACTGGGAATGGAAAACTACTTCTTTGGAAGCTTGTGAGTGCTTTAATGCCATTTGATGGAGCATACAGTAGATGTGCAGCCCGGTTAAGTGCTGTTAGAAAAATGGGAAGATGCTGTTGGGATGGATTTACTTTTTTTAAATTGTAAATCAGTCTGTCAGGATTATATAATATAGTATTATTGTTATTCATTAAATATTAACTTTAGCCTTTTGATTACAATTGATAATGTGCCAATAGGACATCTTTAGATCTATGAATTTGGATTAAAGTAATAATGTGGTTAAGTTGATGTTCATCATGTGTGAGGATGTGGCTCCTCTGAAGAATATTTCGCAATAATTCCGGGATGAATTGGACAGAGATCACAGTGTCTGGTTTTTATTAAGATAAATTAAGGAACACTGAAGTAATCCTACATTTGATGTTTTTATAGCCCTATTATCGCCTGTCTTTTTGTTTTCGGGTTGTAGGCCGACCAGCCTGGACGCCTTTGTGTTTGGTTATTTGGCTCCAATTTACAAAGCCAGTCTCCCCAGTAGCCCTCTGCAGAGCCACCTCCGGCAGCTCGGTAACCTCACAAGCTTCTGTGACAACATCCTCGCAGTCTACTTCAGCTCGGACCGCCCTTGTAAGACCGCCGCACACACTGACAACACTCTCACCTTTGGACTTTAGCTTGTTGAAACCCACACATACAAAGATGCAGGGGACAAGCTACATTATGTACACAAGCACACATCTAACACTACTAACATCATCAGCATTTCCCTTCTTCCCACATCTTCGTTTCACTGCATGCCTGCTCTTTGAATCTGCTCTGTTCCTCGGTGCAGGGATCAGCTTAACACTGTTCCTCTTCAACGGACTCTCTGCTGTCTGTGGGTGTCCGCTTACATCATTTTTCTCCAGGTCCCCCCCCACCTGTTCAGGAAACAATGGATGCCAACCTCCAGAAACTAACGCAGCTTGTAAACAAAGAGTCCAACTTGATAGAGAAGGTGCATCTGCTTTCCTTTTATCGTCTCTTTGCATGGGTGCATGGTTGCATTTGGCAGGTAGAGTCTCAGCTGTACTAAAAGTATATATATTTATATATAGTGTCTCCTTCATGAATCATCGTCATTTTATCTACCGCTTCCACTTGTGTTCCTTCACTAAACTGGACATTTGGTACTGCAGATGGATGACAACCTTCGCAGCAGCCCTCAGCACAAACCCCACAGGCCAGACCCCAAACCCAGCCTGGCCAGCGAGCAAAACTCTACTCCTGCCTGACCCTGACCTGTCAGGCTTAAAGACGGAGGAGGAGGAACAGCCAGTAGATAAAAGGTGCACTTCTGATGCAAGATTCTCAAATCAGAAAATTTTCATCCATGGGAAATATAGTTTGTATGGAAAATAACCTAATAATGATTGGATGTAAGACTGTAACTATCTGAGGCTATTTTATAGAAATATAATTTTGATTGATTTCAAAGATGTTGGTCTGAAAGATGGAAAAGTGCATGTGGGAGGTTTTAAAAAAGAAAAGGCTGAGTGTGTGTATGTGGTTATGGATGGAATTCCATGAAGTGGTGTTTGATGACAGACCGAAAGTTTCAAAGGAAAGTCAAAAGTAAATGAAAAGTCCTACAGGGTATAAAAGGAGTGCCACTGTTTGACCTCTGAGTGGACCACTTAACCTCTCGTTGCTTTTGTAAGAAATATGTTTTCTATTTTTTGTTCCTCCATTTTTTTTCGGCACAGTTCATGCACCATAGGACGTGTGAACATTTCCTCACCTGCGTTAGGTGGGTAATGACATCAGTTTAAGACACATTGATCACTAACATAGTGCAGAGTTGTGCTCAAAATGGGAATACGTGTTTAGTTGGGTTTAAAAATCTTTTAATCATGATGGTGATCTCAGATCTTCTTCCAACTTGTACAAATATTCTGTAGATTGTAATTTAAATTGGTGTTGTGTACAGTAAGTATACAGTCATGACCGGATCAATCTCTTATTTTGCTTTGCTTTCATCTCCTCTGCTTTGTATAACTTGTATAATTGTAAATATTTTCATGATGGAAATCATAATTTCCTCGTGGTTTCCTCCAATAGGGCTGATTAGCTTCTTCACAGCTTTTGCTAGATACACTGAGGTAGTTCATACTCACTATTGACTTCTTCATGCACTAATGTGTGTTTGTTCTCCATCAGAAAAGTGTCTTTCAATCATCGTGTCTTTATTTTCCATTAACAATCCACTGGCAGTTGTTGCCATGGTTTCCACTGACAATCTTACAGATACAGCATTTATTTTGTTAAGATGTTTCAGCTGTGTTGTAATTTGCTGTGCCTACTTAAAACCTTTGTCATCCTGAAGTGTCTGCCCCACTTGGGAATGTCTCATTAGCTGCCTTTTTTTAATTTATTCTCCTGTCTGTCAGAAATTTGAACCGTAAAACTATTTGCCATGTTTTTTTTTATTTATTATTGTCATGCACCCTATATTTCTCACAGCTTATACACTTCCGAATTGTGTCTACTTAACGTTCCTGATGAGTGTCTGTCTTGAGATACTTGAGGCTCTTCAACACCTTAAGGTTACAATTCCTTTAAAGAACCACACCATGAAACGAAGCATTCATTTGTGTTTACATGCGTGTTTTTGTTTTGTCAAATAAAAAATGTTGATGTAAAGTAATCCGGCTTGTGAGGAGCATCAGAACTACAGTGTGCCTTTGTGACACACTGCCACAAAGGATCTTTGGTCATTTCCTCTACTGTTGTTCGTGCGGATGGTTGGTAACGACTGTCATATCATTGAAATACAGATACGATCCAACCACAACCACTGTGTTCTCTTTTTAAGCCACATAAAGATATTCACTTTGTTACATTTCACTAAATGTGCCAATAAACAGTCAAGTGGATCACGTGAGAGTTGTAAGCTAATATAATGTGCTTTGAAAGACGTAACTTGTTTTTCCAGTAATAAACTATTTTACCTGTGCCCACCAGGCTTATTAGATGATTGTTTGTTTAGGTGCTGGGAAGACAGTGAGCTCTTTGTTTGGTTTTGGATGTGGAAAAAATGAGCTGACAGGAGATGATTCATACGTGACATCATAAATTGTCGGGATCATTTGAGGTAGCGGCTTATTCTGAGCCTCTCTGTGGTGGCTATTTAATAAATAGATTTTAACATTTTTTATTACACATTCCATATTTCTATTTTTTTCCATATCACTGATTGAGCAACCCACTGCCGTCCCGTTCTTGTGTTTGATCCAGAGGAGTGAACCTAATTGGGTTGAACGCTGTGGTGTTCTGCTGCGGTGAGACTGGGTTTTAACTTTCAGCTGTAACAAAAAAAACAAAACGAGCTTCAATAAAATATCCTAAACCACGACTGTCACTTTTCAAAGAGCTCCCAGCTTCCATGGCGTGGAAGCCAGCAGCTGTCAGTGTGCGTTTGCTCCTCACCTCACTTCTCCAGTTCCCTCCAAAGCTCAGCAGAGGAGTCAGAGACGAGGGACGATGGAAAAATAGTATTTGGCTCCTCCTGGATCATCAAAAGTTATTTTGGACATATTGAACTACAGTTTCAGGAGTGCTGAAGATTGGTGGAAGAAATACAGTCTGGCCTGATTTTGAGGCAATATCTACAGCATTAGAGTGCTGAAGCCCTCTAGTGGGTGAAGGTGTGCTAGAAAGCTCAAATAATCAGTCCAGTTGAGCAAATAGAAAAATAAATATGTTCATTTAGCTCAGATGTTAAAACGAGTTTACAAGAGAAGGAAATTAAAACAATTCATCTTCCCTTGCCGCTGTTGCACATGACAAAATCTTACAATGGTTATTTACACAAATTCACAATATGAAATACATTTTGAAAGCCTCAGAGCGCATTTCATGCCACTGAGTTCTGTGTTGCAAAAGGCCTTTGACTATCGTTTGTGTGAGTAATGCTTCAGTTTCACTCACAGAGACAAGCGAGGGTTTAAAGAAAGTAAAGTAAATCAAAGAACATTCACGAAACAGTACAAAACCATCAACAACATTTCACCTCTTCCTGGACAAAACAAAACAAAAAAACACACTCACTTGTGAAACAAATTAAAGCCCCTAAATTTCCACCCAGTTGTATTTCACACTGTTATCAGAACACGTCTTTGCTTTTTCTATTTACATTTTAGATAAGATATTAGACAAGACACTTTTGTTAACTGATGAACATTGAATTGATTTACTGTTTATCAGAGAAAATTGCCCCATTGATTAGGTTTGATTTCATCTAAACACACAATCCCACAGAAGAACGGGATTCCTTCTGCTCCCTGTGGGATACCTGTACCTGTATTGTATGTCCTGTCATATCTGCAGTTTTCTCAGTAATGCAGTAGGTCATTTAAAAAAAAAAATTGACATTCAAAATATTCAAATCAAACCGAGTCCAACATGAACCGTAAACCCCTCCGCGTGTGAGGCAGCTGCTGCAGCTATCTGTCATCGGTGAACCCCGGCACCTCCGGCACCATGCTGACCTCCAGGCTCCCTGGCGCCTCCAGGGCCAGTGCCGGGTGGCACGGCCCGGTGAAGTGCTGGCGGAAAGTGCCCAACAGCTGACCGCTTCGGGCATTGTAGAAAGACAAACGGCCCCGCTGGTAATCCAGGAGAGCGCCGACTCGCTCGGGCTCCTCGATCACAAACATACTGGACAGGACGTCATTGTGGAGCAGCTGATACCTGCAGCTGGACGCGCACACAAGAGAGCAGAGACGGGGGTGTTAGAGCACAGTAGCCAAGGGGGTGAGTCGTGTGTAAGAGTGGAGGGACGGGAGGCCCGTGCATACCCTGATGGGGTGGGAACGCACTGCAGGCACCACGACAGGTGGTTCTCTCCCAGTGGGCTGCTTCTGTCGGCCGCGTCGTGCGCCACTCCGAGCCTGTAGGCGGCGCATCCGGACACCACGGTCTCCCAGTAGTAACGTCCCTGTGCCGGCAACAACTCGCCCAGGATGGACGGGCACCTGGAATGCATGCAAACTCCGGTTTACTGATATCCTTCACACGCTCATGAGTATTTGGAGCTGACTGGGGCTCACTGTTTGTCTGCCGGCGGTGCGTCGTGGCGCACGGTGGTCCGGTCCGCCGACAGCTCCAGAGCGGGGTGAGCTGAGGCTTCCAGCAGGTGGAATCGTGTTCCTGAAAGGTGGAGGGAAATGACGCGTGAGTGTGTGCAGGGAACCTACACGAATGGAACAGAATGAGAGTATAAGGTGAGCGTTCTGGTGCCTTTGGTGGAAATGAGGGCGGCCTCGCTCTGTTCGCTGGCTCCACACTCATTCACAGCTCTGATGGAGAACAGGTAGCTTTCATTGGGCTGCAGGAGGACCCGCTGCTCGCAGCTTTTGATTCCTGAGATGGACCTAGGAGTATGTCACACACCACCACACACATGCACACATTTATATTGGAATGCATAAACTCAAGAGTAGATTTTTGTGCCTTTTACATATTTTTTGTGCCTGATAATCTTCAGTTGATCCCAAATTAGCTGGATTTCCCAACATGTTTAGTTTCTGCACTTTTCTATGTGTCTCTATCTGATTCACCTGAGTCCCTCTCCCTCTAGTTCGTACTGGCGACAGTACTCCAGGGTGTAGCTCTGCTCAGGGGTCTGATTTGCTGAGCTCCACCGCAATGTAGCTGAGTCCCACATGACGGTGCACCGCTCCGTTTCAATCACCGGCACTGAAGGAGCTGCCACAGGCAGAACATGTGGTGTCAATAAAACAAACGTAGATGCTGTAATGTAACACGAGTGACCTGAATGATCTAAACACCCTCCAAGACACCAGTGAGGAATAACATCCAGCGTTCCGTAGTCAGAAAAAGTGCTTGTTTCATTGTTGGCACTGACCAGTTCTGAAGGAGAGTCTCTCGCTGGGCAGGGAGCACCCGGCGTAGTTGACAGCCATCACCCACACCTTGTAGGTCTTGTCAGGCTCCAGCTCTTCCAGGGCACAGTAGCTCTCCTTCACTGTCACGCGGTACTCCTCTGACACAGCTGTGGGCGATAGCAGCCACAGCACATGGCACGGTTTTGTATGTATCTAGTAAATCATCGACCTCAAACTCCATCAAATTGGCTGAAGTAGATGGGGATTAAAACATTTTGCAGACCTAGCAGAGCCTGGAAGTATTTACCTCCCCGTGGATGCTCGATGCAGTAGACCTGGAAGCAGTCTATGATATCTCCAGGGTTGACCTTCCAGTAAACCGTGACACTGGTGCTAGTGGCTAAGCCAGTCTCCTGAGGCTGCAGCGTAGGCCTCTGAGGCACTGAGGCACAGACCAAGAGACCATTAAATGCCACATGCATCCGCATGGCACAGGACTTCTTGTAGATGTCAAACGCGAATATACGCGTGTACCAAAGCTACCTGGGATTCCCTTGCGCTGTGCGAGGTGAGAGCTGGAACCGTTGCCCCTGGCATAGTCCTCGAACACCAGTAGTCCCTTCGGCCCCAGCTCCAGTGACATGGCCGAGTCCAGAGTAGCCTTGATCCTGACCACACATGCGCAGTGTTTAGCCTCTGGCCACAATTACATGTCATTGTCAAAAGAAAGTGATATGCAGAGCACAGGTAGCTGTGCAGGTCGAGCAGCAAACCGTATTAGAAACCACACTATTCGCTAAAATCCCATTACCTTGCATTGATGTCTTCAGGTGACTAGTGGGAGAACAAATTGAAGAAGGGTTCTTTAGAAACTTGACATAAAACATGATTATAGTCTGCGTGTGAAAACACCGGTTAATCAGCCTGAACTCACCCGCGCGTCGGTCTCGGCCTCTCGGGCCGTGGTCTCCAGAGTGGCCTTGGCGGCGTCGATGCTCTCCTGCAAGGCGACAATCTGGTCGTACAGCTGCTCCAGTTTGGCCTTCTTCTCCTCTTCCATGCTGACAGACATGTCGTTGTACTGCTCCATCACCAGAGCCTTCATCTCCTCATTCTGGGCCTGCATGGCCGCCTCGCTCTCCACACACTGGTCCTGGTCCAGAGTGGAAGGAAGGAAAACAGATATTCACATTCACATTCCATGTGTTATGAAAGCCTACAAACTGACCGAATGGAAAAAATATTAAAAAGAGAAAGTTTTAAATGTATAAACAGTTAGTTTTTACCTCTACAGAGTTGTAGGCCAATTCGAGTTCAGACACCAGGTCCTCGATGTTCTCTGACCTCCCCTGAAGCTCTGAGATCCAGTCGCTCAGCTTCTCCTGATGATGCAAAATATCACTTGTAACGTATTACATTCACTGCTGTTACTGTGACAATGTCATTTTGAACAGTAATTGTACCTTAACTTTGTCGCATTGTACTCTGCTACTATTAAAAGACCCAAACGCCGTGAAAAGGTCCCAATAAAGGGTTTGAGAATGGCGCAGAAGACGTTGCAGGTGTCGTTCAGACAGATGAGTAAAAATACACAATTTTTGATGAGAACAACCACAACCACTACACTGCGGCAGCAACGTTGTTTAAAATAATCACATCAGATCAGCTTGTTTTATTTTATCTTATACTTGTGTATAAGTGGACATGTCATGTGTTTTGCTTGCTACTTTGTATTTTTTCATTGCACTTATTAATATGTGATTATTATTAATTTAAGGTAACTTAATGGATCTGTTTGGTCAGTTAAACAGGAGATCAAACCTCTCCTCTGTTATTATTTAGAGCAGGTTTTGCAGTGGTTTTGGTAAACAAAGACCGATTTCCCCTCCCTCCCAAATGTCTGCATAGGATTTCCAAATTCTTCATTTAAATTACAGTTGAGCTGTCAACATTTCAAATTAAATAAAACATCCCACATGCACAATACCTGGTTCAAATATAATCTTGGAATTAAATTGAATCATTCTTTGTTTGTTCCTTTGATTTAGATGTGGGATCATTTAATGTAATTGTAAATCAAACATCCGCCACTTGACCCATATACATACCCAAACTTTTAACTTACTCTCTCCTGTCACAGTCAGGTTAAAAAGTGGAAGTAAACATTAACAAAGATGATCTTTAGAAGGTGCTTTCACATAAGGACAGATTAAAAAAGCAGATGACCCCGTACTGACCGACGTATCGGTCTCCACTTGATGATGTCACACTGGACTTTTCCACGGATCAAAACAGAGCATTACATCACACCAGGTCAATGTGCTTGGCTCCGGCCCGCAGCTTTCGGCCTGCCAGTATAAACGCATAACTTATTGCAGTCTAATGTAGGACTACTTACTACAATAAAATGCACCGTAAAGTGTATGTGATCATAACTGTGTTAGAAATAATCTTGTATGATGATGAGCTGCTTTTTGGTGACAGCTTGCCACCAGAAATTAGAAATGCTGCTGCGTAGTTGCAACGGGACACTTCTCAGATGAGCAAACATCGAGGAGACGAAAAACCTGTCATGTGATTTAAAGGATTACTTACACTTAGAAATATGTAAATTATATATATTTGCCCTCAAAATGTCAGTAGGCCTACTTTAAATATACTTTTGTACATTTTGCTACACCCTTTAATCCAGTCCAGTGTATAATATTCATAAAGGTTTTTACTATATTGGAGTGTTAACAAAGCCAAACATTATCATTTAAAAGCCCCTACCGGCCATGACATTTCTGTCATTTAAGCTCTATATATCTATATTGCCATAAATGTGGTGGACACACTTTAGAAACCCCTGTAAGGTTTAATTTAAAATACAAAGGTCCATTTCCTTGTTAGATTTTTACTAAGCTCCTTTTTTATGCAGCTAAAAAGCTGTGACCACTATCAATTTAAACTCTATATTAAATTGCATTATGCACAATACCTTTATCTCCTCATAGGCTTGGTCCAAAGCAGCAACCTCGTGGCGTTGATGCTCTCCAGAGACACAGTCGTCCTCTGACAGCAGACATCCACAGGTGATACAGAACCTGTCCATCTGCTGCAGCTCAGCAGCCAGTCGGGCCTGGCTCTCTTCCTCTGCATCGATTATCTCATAGTCCGCCTCTATGAACTCAACATCAAGGACCTTGTCCTCCTCTTCCTCAATCTCCATCCTCTCATCTCTCTCCTGGCCGGACTCCACGGTGGGTTCCTCTACATTTCTCTGTGTGTCCGGTTCCGGCATTCCTTCGGCATCTTGTTTGGATATAATCTCGTATTCAAGCCAGTCATCAGTCGCCTCTGTGGCTGCCTGGTCGCGCTCCATCTTCGGCTCCACGTCCTCTCTGTGCACATCAATCTCTGTACTCGAATGCGGTGTAACAATGCTGGTTTCTGGGGCGTCGCCCTCGTTGTGAATCTCTGCCTTTTGTTCTGCATCTGCTTCTGCTGACTTGACGTCCTCGCTGTGGCTCCCGGACACATCCTCCTGCGGAGTAACGCTCCTCAGAGTGAGAAAGTCGCCCTCGACTTCCTCGAAGTCGCTCCTCGCCTTCAGCGCATCTGCGTCGGCCTCCACCTGGTGTCTTGACAGTGTGTCTTCCTTTAGAACTTCGTCCGGTGTTACTTCCAGCCGAGGCCGTGCCTGTTCAGTCGGGGCCTGAGGAGTCTCGTGGCACGTTGTCGGGGTTTCGGGCGCTGTGAGTCGTCCGCCTGCGTCAGGTTCATGGAGAGCTTCTGGACCACTAGGAGTCTTCTGTGATAACTGACCGATCTCTATGTCCATCTCTACTGCTTGTCCTCTGGGGACGAGGAGGACTAAGTCATCATCCACGTGTACCTTTTCCTGAGTAACATTCCCAGTGTCCTCGGTGGGTGTTTTGTCTTCTGTCTCGGTTACTGGCTCCTCCTGTTGATGCTGCATGGATTCACTATTTGAAATCTGCAATTTAAATGAATCTTTTTTTACTTCATCCAACATCGCAGGTTCGGTCACTTCAATCTCTGCTTTCATTTCTGTCTCCTGATCACCTTCAGTAATGAATTCAGGCGACTTGGCCTCCTCTGCAGCTCCTTCTGCTAAAACACCAGGTTTTTCTTCTTCTTCGGCTGTGTGAACATCTGTTGTCTCGGCACTTAATGCCTCCTGGAGATCGATCAGAACTTCCGTTTGGATTTCCGTTTCATCCACTGTTTTTTCAATCACCTCCACTGAAGCCTGTACTGCAGAATCACACTCTGCGATGACCTCGAACAACAGAACATCCCCAGGAACGACTTCTGCTGCTTCGTTTTTCTCGCACACAGAGGTTTCAGCAGATGTCTCCATTCGTTTCACTCCAGCTGAGGCCTCTGCTGCGGCCTCGGTGAAGTCTTTCTCCTTATCAGCCGTAGCGGCCTCCTTAGACCGACTGACCTCGGTGATGTGAGGCGCCTCACTGCTTGCAGGTGCCGCAACAGCTGTCTCTCCCGCGGCATTTAAAACCACCTGAGCGTTACGCGGCGGCTCAGGTTCAACAACACTGGTTGTTTCTGCCGGCACTTCTATCTGATGCTCCGCACCCTCCTCCGTTTTCTCATCTTCACCGTCTACCTTCTGAGTTTCATTCAGTGGATTATCAATGCTGCTCTCGAGGGCCTCGACCTTTACCTCGCGTTTCACCCCCTGATCCTCCATCTGATCCTCTCTCAGTGTGGATGCCTCGATGGAATCACGTGAGGCCTCTCCGACAGCCGTCCCTTCAGTCACAATGGACACTTGTATTTCTTTCATCTTATTTTTTGTCTCTGTAATCATTTCTCTCCTTCCTTTCAAAGTGGCTGATTGTAAATCGTCCCTCCCATCTCCAACACTGACATCTTTTGGCCCTGGATCCTCGTCATCTTCTGTCATTACCCTCGTCAGACATCCTGCCGTGTCAAACTTACTCTGGGACCACATCATCCTCCCCTCCCTCTTCTCTTCCACTGACTCTGGTTGAACCTCCACTGTGGAGGTTTCATCCTTCAAAATAAACTTCTCCAGGTAACCGTCTGCCTCATCGGAATCGGACAAACGTCTCTTATACGTTTTCTCAGACGCCATGCTCTCTGCCTCGGAGCGTTCCTCGTCACTCTTCCTCCTCTCGCCGACAGCATCCTCGTAAAGGTCTGAGTACATGAAGGACATGGCAGTGGGCTCATCCAGCAGGATCTGGTCGATGATTTTGGGGGGTCCAGCGGAGATAAAAATTGGCGTGAGAACAGTGTCTTCAGCCCCGAACAACACTGACCCATTCTCCATTAGAGATCTGTGGCTCGGCCGTCTCCTTCTCGTCCCGCTCTCTGCCTCATCCTCGTCTTGCTGCTGCGATGCATCGGCGGGAGCTCCTGCTCCATAGAAGACCTCGTCGAGGTGTTCCCCCGCTATATCCACGTCCGTAACAAAAACAAAGGAGTTTTCTGATGCAGAGGGGCTGTTTGTGTCAGCCTCCTTAGCCGGCTTTTGCTCCTCGTCTTTGGGCTTCGCCTGTGGCTGTTCTGCGTCCTCCTGCAACTCTGGAGCTTGTTCTCCAGGAACTACCACATCGACCAAGGTGAACTTCTCAAAGTAATCTATGTCGCCGGTGCTCCCTTTCTGAGCGGGAGTGTCTCTGAGCTCTGTGTCCGCTGAAGGCTGAGGAGAGTCTCGCTTTGAGGTCTGAGGAGAGATCACAAGCAGAAAGTCATTATAGAGCACAATTAGGGGTTTTAAAAAAAGCATTTTACTTGACAAATGAATAGTTTAGTCATTTCCTGTGGATGGCAGTAAAAAGCAACTCAAATTGAATAGGGAAGTGAATAAAAACCTCTTGGTCATCCAGTAATTCCCCCTCCTTTGACAGTGCAGGATTCGGTTCCAGACTCCAATCTCTTCTGCTTGCGGACTTGATCTTCGGAGTCTGGTCCAAATAAGATAAATTGTCCTGAAACTCTGTGCTCTCTTCCTCATCCACAGTGGGGAGTTTGGAGGGGACCCTGATGTTGAGAATCTCATAGCCTTCTGAAATCAAACTAAACAGCTGCTGATCTTTGTTTTTGATTTCCTCTAAGTCGGCCTCCGTTTCGGTTTTATCCGGTTTGACGTTGGGAAGAGAAATCTCCGCCATCTCCGGCCTCTCCACTCCCAGGACTGAAGCTGATCTTGAGCTACCAGGTCTGCTCAGCCTGTCCCCGAGCCGGCTGCTCCTTCCAGAACTCGTCCTCCTGCGGACTATTTTTTCCTCATCAAAGACGACGGTGATCTTTCCTGCGGCTCCGTCCATGCTGTAGGCTTCAGAGATGGAGCTGGTTTCAGAGGCCCAAGGGGTGGAGCAGCGGCTGGAGGCCGTCTCCCAAACAATACCACTGTCCTCGCTCTGAACCGTTACCATGGAGAACGACGCATCCGCCATCAGGCACTGGAACTTTGGCTTCACAGACTGGTCTTGGACAACCTCTCGCAGACTAGAGGGCCGAGAAATGGACAGTTAGAAGACGTAAAGCAGGCTGTTTGTGCACTTCTCGAGGAGGGAGGGGGCACAACTGCAACAGGAGATCCTTTCGGCGTAGCTCAGGGAAATGCAAGCAGGGAATAAAGAAACCAATGAAATAAATAAAAAGCATAGCCATGCGAGATGTGCCAGCATTGAAACCACCACCACCAACACCACAAAATCCCTTTTTGCACCCGAGACAACCTTTGAGTAATGACAAATGTGCTCTGAGCTGCTATCAATACAGCTCAACCCCTGCAGGGTGGCAGCAAAGTGACGTCCCACACTGTCGCTCATGTAATATTAGTGAAGAGGTGCCTGGCCTTCCCAGATATGTCCAACATATCAGTGTCTTCTAATATTTATGACATGACAAGGAAAACTGGAGCACCAAGTATAAGTATACAAGCGTAATTGAGATGTAGAATATTGTGATTAATATGAAATATGAGAACAGAGCTGCAATCCGTGCCTCTGACAATTCCTAGATGAGAATGAAATAAATCAAATCAACCTGGTGTCACTCGGTCCCGTCACGCTCTCCAGACAAGACTTCTCAATAATGTACTTAAATCTAAATGTATTTGACCAAAGTACACCCGAAACAAGTGGTTCCTCATAGACATATCGCCAAGGATTAAAGCCACGTAAGATAAAGCGACATAAGATAAAGCGTGCTACAGGTGAAGTATTCTGCTTGTGTGCTCCAGTGTGTGTGAAGAACCTGTTTTGCAGTTCCTCCACCTCGTCTTCATCGTCCTGGCTCATAAACTCCCGAAGCTCCGTCACCTCGGAATCCGGGCTCTCACACTCCTCCATCTTCCTGATATCCTTCAATTATTTTGTCCCCAACGTTGTTTTTTGGAGTATTTTAGAGTCCTCTAGATGTTTTCAGCCCCACTCGGAGGAGTTAGTGTGCCTGCCTGTGTCATTCTGACTTGGGCGCCGTCCATCTGACTCAGCCAGGGACAGAAATAGAGTGGGGAGAGAAAAGAGGGGCGCTGGAGAGAGGAGGTAAGACCCTCTCTGGAGACCCCCGCCTCACTGCGTCTAGAGTTAGCTGTTTATGTTCTTGATCTAAGAAATTGTTGGATGTGTCAGAAAAAAGATTATAGATTTGTGGGAGAAAGTCATTAGTTTTGGGGAAAGACGGCGTCAGTGGCCAACAGCCCAATGGGCCAGTGTGACTTTAAGATCAAAATCCCCCGTTAAATATAGGCCATGTGCTGAAACAGTAACCCCTCCTCCTCCTGCCAGTAATCTCAGCCACTCACACACACAAGTCTTGTAAGGCATCTACCCCCCAGCAATACTGGCACTATGTAGAAGTCATAAAACTGGATAATAAGGTGTCAAGCCATATTACAAAAACAAATCAACATGAGAGCTGCCAGAAAAGCCGGCAGAGAACACAAATATATATATTAGATTTACTAGGTGGATTTTTCCTGTGGATAAAATCAGATTGAGGTTTTTAACGGCATGGGTATCAAATGTAATATAATCTATGAAGCATACTTCATTATTGCTGCATTGATTATTTTGGAACTTCTAAAAGAATTTCAAGGGCTTTGAACATAGCTCAAAAATATAAATTCAAAACCACACATCTTCAAAGATTTAATTTTTGTAACAAACCTTTTAAAAGTCAGCAATATACAAAAAATGAAGTTAAATTTGTCAAATAAGGTATGCATCAAGTGAACAGAAAACAAAAAACAAGGTTGTGTCCAAATAAATCAGGTAGGTACTGAATAAACAGGCCTTGCCAGTGGAGGGCAAAGAATAAAAAAATCAATGATGAAGGAGTGAGAACATTAACAGACTGATCCCTTCACAGCCCTCCAACAATCCCCTTAGTCACTCGAATGATGTCACATAACCTCAAGAGTTCAGAATTCAGGTGAACATAGAAACTTTAATGTAGAAAAGGGTATAGCACTTGAACCTGCAACAGCGTGACTACTGACCTAGAAAAACAGAGACAACTTCCATGACTGAAGATGTTCCAAGCTGGTCCACACAGACTGCAGACAATATGCTGTGTATATACTCCGTACGCGTGCGGCAGAAGCAAATTATCGGCCTCAGAACTGAGCAGTACGACGAGCAACTAACTGAGACCAGAGAAGAGAAATGCTTCTGTAAACTACATGAGGTGGTTTCAGGTACTATTTTGTCAGAATACAGCACGTTTACCCCACAATGCAGCGCGTGTTGGGAAATAGTGGCCGTGTCGCATCGATGACTCTTATAACACGGCTTATTATTACCGTGCTTTGGTGAAGTGAGCCCTCTAGTGCCACTCCACAAATACTGAATTTTAAATTAGTAGTTTCAATAACATGGCGAAGTCAGCAAAGAATTTGAAGTCAAGAGCAATATTTTTCAGAACAGGAAATATAATCTGCAAGGCAGCCAGAGCATTCAGAGTCCCAGGTTATCTCTGGCTGTAAGGTGCTGGGGTGGCAGGGCTCCTCTCCCAGCCCACCCAAAGGGTCTTGCTTCGTGTTTTTTTGCCAACCGGCCTGTCTTGAGGTAGAAGACCCTTGCCTGCTGTTCTCATTAAAAGGAGCCCCTCATCGCCTGGATAACTCCTTATTAATGATGGTTCGGACCGGGAGGATCGAGTTCAGGTCCTTCCTGTCCCAGAGTATCCGACATGACTGCTCAAGACACAGAGAGAGGAGAAGCAGCATTAGGAAGAACTCAAAGCTGGCCCACAGCAGCTCGGAGGAGGAAAATAATATGAAGAGAGCGCGATTATCAAGACTGACACACACCTCGGCAAACTCCGCTTTAATGGCCTCAAACTTCATCTTCTCGTGGACTGCCCTGGCAACGTTGTTTCCTTCAAATGGCTCTGAAACACGAGGCATTGCTGTAACTCCGGGTTACCGGGGACATTTCTCACATTGAGGCTCCTGTAAATTGTTCAGTAGTTGTCGCATTGCGTCCACTAAAATGTTTACCTTCCACACATATGTATTTGTTTCTCCACGCTTGAGATTTGTTCTTGGGGAAAGCTATGGCCTCTCGAATGGAGATGACATGCCTCTCCCACCTGCAAGACATGGAAATAATTTAAGCAAGGGCATTATTTACTGCTCATTACAAATAAAATGAATGGCCATGGTCCTCATAGACCAAGACCAGACCTGTAGCGTTTCACATTCAGCTATTCCAACTGCAAAATGTGCACACTCGTTAAGAAACATGGGGGACGTTTCTTCTGATTCTGTACCTTCCAGCCTTCGGATGCTTTTGTTCAATTCAGTACCGCATGGTACTGACAACTGAAATATAACAGTGGTATATTTTCTTCAAAGCTCCAAAGTGTCACGTGATAAACCCAGTTTTGCCTTGACTGAGGCATGAGAACAGACCTTAGCTTATAGATAGGTAATTCATTTATAGGTAATTTGCATGCAAAGAGCTATAATAATATGCAAAAACGTTCAAATCTGACAGGTTTGATACAGTGAAATGTAGAAAGTGTGCATTTGTGTGGCGAGCTTTAGTTCAACCGTGCAACAGTGGTGTGGCAGAGTAACACAAACACTGCCAACACATGGAGCATGGTATGTCATGTTAGTGCTGTGTAAGGCCAAAGGTCCCACCTGCTCCTTTCCCTCACAGAAACGTGAAACCAGAGACAAGGATGCAGGAGTGAGGAAGGAGGGAGGAGATGGGGCACTGGAAAGGGAGAAGAAGTTGGCGAGCAGAGCAGGAGATGAGGAATGGGTGCAAGAAAAAGTGCAGGCCAAAGAACCATGGGTGCATCTGAAACACTACACTCAGTAATGCGATGTCCTACGTAATACCTGAAGTCTGTAGCATAGTATTTGAGAAAGCCTAGAAGCAGCTCTCCCAGAGAGGATTGGTTTCGTGAGATGAAGGGGGGGATGCGTTTGGGTCCCTCTGGAACCATGTCAATGTCCATGTGGGGATTAAAACACTCCTGAAAATCAAGGCACAGAACAAAAGGCCAAATGATTAAGACCGAGCAGCTTTTTCAATTACTTTCTGATGGATGAAGCAAAGTCAAAGTAATGCTAAAATCAACTATTTACAGGAATAAGAATGGAAAGACGTCTGTAGAGCAATTTACTTTTCATGTCATGTCATGCATTTCTTATCATATGGCTGTTTGCATCTCTTGTAATTAGCCTGCTAACAGCAATATTGAATCGCAAAAGCAACGGAGGCACCTACAGGGTAGTCCCTCTGCAGACAGGGAAGGACAGGTTCCTTGACAGCTGTAAGGACAACACATGCCAGATGAGATGCACAATAATCGCAGAGTACAAATGGGACGAGAGAATTGGTTGCGTGTGTGTGTAGGATTGTACTTACTCTGGAGATAGTGCAGCACCATCAGCACAAGTGTGTAGCTGCTCAACGTTCCTTTGCTGGCGTCGTTGATCTGACCGTGCCGTGCCCATTTCTTGACAACAAGGATCATGGGTCTTATTCTGAGATCAGCTGAGAGAGACACAGAGACGAAGCACTTACAACAAGAAACCTCACCAGTCACAGTTGGAGCTCACTTAACAAAAAAAGAAGAAGATATGTTTGTGCCATAAAAATCAAGTGCATTGTTGAGCGTCTCACCCACCATAGGCGTAACTCCTCAGAAGGAATGTGTTCCTGATGCCTACTGTGTTGTTGATATTCAGATCAAACTCCAGATCACTAAAGAAGGGAGGAGCGGTAAAACATATCTTATTAAACTTTCCTCTGACTTTTCAGGAATCAGGAACGTTTGTTACCAAAATATGTCAGACATAAAAGGTGTTTGACTTGGCGGTTGGTGCGTCAGACAAGACAATGGACAACAAGACAACATAGTGCAAGAACACATTAAGAACAAAAGTTACAAATAAAGTGCACCAGCGAACAGAAAGTGACAAGTGTATGTGTTGTATAGAAAGAGAAGCGTAAACAACGTTTGGTCCTACCTGCCTTTCTCTCTGAACTTGAGGATGGGCACTTTGGCTCTGATCAGCTGAGTCTTCTCTACATATGCTGCAAATCAAAACAAACATGAGATTCATGGTCGTTTGTAACCCTGAAACTATTTTTCCATGAGGTAAAGAGCTCCACCTTGTGGCTTCTGAGAAGAGGAAATAATACGTACATAAAATATTCTAGAAAATAATGGAAAGCAGTACGTAGGTAAACGTGAACAATAATGCTTTCATGGTTATAAATTCATTTTTATGTCAGTCAGTCAATGCGCGATTCTGTATGACGTGAGACTCACTGTGTGAAGCAGAGTGAATTAACTGCCTTACGTTTTAGGACTGCGTCCATACATACAAACTGTAACAAGATCTTTTCTGACCTCAAATGTATGTTATGAACTCGTCTGGTGCTCAACATGTTACACAGCATAAACATTCTTCTAACTGTAGCTACTTGGTGAGAGGATTCACTTGTGTCAAATGAAGTTAATAGTGGAAAATACATTCTAAATTATTTTATAAATCAAAAAAGGTAGTTTTATTATTACTTACACAGCGACTTGAAGAGCTTTTGGAGGACCAAGAGTACATGTATAGGATCCTGTCTTTTCTAAAACAGAAAAACATTCGGTGTGAGTGTAAAAGGATATCTGTGAGTGTAAACACTTCTTTGTAAGACAATACACAACACAGGGACAGAGATGCTCACATTCCCTTTGAGGACCAGACACAGATCAGCATCACTGCTCCGGCAGCCCAATCCATTCATAGAAGATCCAGTCAAGTAAAGCCGTGCCACTGTGAGAAAAACTCGGTGAATAGGGACCACAAGGAAAAAGTCACAGCCCACCGCAACTGGGTATTTCAACACACCTGCATAGACTCTCTGTATGTCTTCCTGAAGCCGGGCTCGGCACGTCTCCTTTCGGGCCAAATCGGAAGCTCGCTGTTGGCACGCCTCAAACACCTCCACCATCTGATCACTTAACTAAGGATACAACACACATGTACAGTGACTTCACCCAGCATACCTGTGTGCACAGTCAGGCTTGATGCATATCAGCTGCAGGTTAATACAGTGCAGAACAGAACAATGCAGTACCTTGTCCTTAACGCATGCTTTCAAGATGTTGGGGCTTATTGGCAGAGCAGTGACCTGGGGCTGGATGTGGGCGCGTGGGCTGGGATAAAAGCTATCAAAACCAGCTACGGCTGATCTTGATGACCCTGCCAGCACTTGGTCTGGACGACGAGGTGGAGGGCCTCGAAATAAAGGAGGTTCAAGGCGTTGGCGCTTCACAACGTGGGGGCTGTATTCAGCATTCCGCCTCCTGCAAGAAAGTGTGGCGTAATTTATACTTTCAAAAATACATATGCCTATCGCTGGAACATTGATTAGTCGGAGAAGATACAAAATACAGCCTCCTATATCTGCTCATACGTCCCTGCACCACAATGTTTACTCAAGTGAAGGTAAGATCCCTCTCACAATGTCTGAGAGTTTCCCTGTACTTGTACTCATCTCGGTTTAACGTAGAACAGAATAACACATTATCAATAATTCCCTGCTTGTATTAGTATTTCTCACTACAACACAGAAACACATGAAAAGAAAAGTTACAGGGAAATGTTCATGAAGGACGAATTATTCATTACTGAATAAATGGGGAAATATCATACTTGCGCTCATTGGTCATGGTTGGTGTGTGAGGAGGAACTGGAGCTGGTGGGCTGGGCTCCCATTTATAGGTAGGAAACCTCTCTAGTTCCGGGGCATGGAAGCTACCGAACAAACACACGTTACCGCACAGGACACAAAGGCGCACAAATAAACATTTTGTATTATTATTATTTTTTAATTATGATTTGGAAGCTGCTAATGACTCTCAAGCCAGAGCAGTTTTATTTTGTCGGGCTCACTTGCTGACGCCTGCCAGCCTTTGGTGGCTGTAGTCGTAGCCCCGGGGCACCGGGGTCTGCGGCGGGTACGAGTCGTGACGGTGGTCGTACCGCCGTCTCGGTACGGCGGCGCGGGGAAACATCCTTGCGGTTCTTCAAAGAGCTCCAGCATTAACTCGGCTGGTCTCCTGAAAGAAAGGCAGCATAGGGGCAAATGGGGCTGGTAAACCCTGCCAGTACTGAACTCACCACCCAACGGTGATGGGAACATTCAAGCCACAACAACTTTCTGGGGGGAAACCAAAATGTAGCATAGAGCTAACTATCGTTAGCTTAGACATAACGTTTGATGGCGACCGTTAATTCAACTATCGGTAACGACATTTTAACCAAATTCAACCTGCTTCGCTGTAGATTTGTACGAAGCATGTGTATAGTGGAATATGTCATCGATTGATTAAAACGTGCACTCATAATCTGAACTGTGTAACACTTACCAAATGTAATGTCACATGTAAACAAAACTGGAAGGTGGTGGTTTCCTGAGAACCTACTTCCGCATTGAAGCCGTGACGTCATGTAACTGGATTTAAAGGGGACGTGACCGCGCGAGTTGAAGAGAAATCCACCAAAGGTTTAAAGGATTCGTATCCAAACTAGTTCAATTTGAATGTAGAGCATACATCTTTGAAACAAACGAGCACAGTTAGCAGGAAAGCCAACGTGGCCGATTATCCAATGGAGGCGGAACGGCTTCAAAATAACAGCCGGACTGCTTTACTTTCAGGGTACATTTTTAAAATGTAAATATTTAAAATGAATTTTCCGATGTTGTAAACGTGAAATGTCTTCATTCTGTTTTTGTTTAGATTTTCTGATTGAAAGTCCACTACAGACGAGATAGGAGTAATGACAAAGAAGCAGGACTTAGCACTCAATCTATGGACAAGGGACTGACATTGTGGGCTCACAATATTATTTCAGGAGTATTGTACTGCAGGTTGTTACTGATCCATGGCAACCATCATCATTCCGTTCCTTATGGAGTAACATAGAGGCTACCCGACTCCTAAATGAGTCTACTTATTCTCTGGGCCTTGGGTTATAAGATATGACTGACAACATCCATGACCAATGAACATTTTTATAGTGGCTATAACCTTCCTTAAAACGCTTTCTTCTCAGGGTTGAAAATTTGAAAATAACTTTTCACTTGGATCAAACCGATCAACCAATACAATTAGTTAATCCACACAACAGAAAGCCCGGACATGAGAATATAATGGATGAAAAATAAATAACAACGTGTACAATATCATAATTTGATCCCACATTGTTCAATTGTTTGCATAGTTCAATCATTTTAAATCCAAATGCAGATTACATTACTCTGGATCCTATTAAGTATCCACATTCATAAGGAGGAAACGTACAAACGGGGCATTGCAGTCTTGGATTGCTGTTTTCTTTTTGCATTTGGTGACTATAACACTTTCCAATAAACTTCTTAAAAACTAATAAAGCATCAAATGGCATCATGTCCCCGGAGCCCGGGGAGACGTCACTGCGGAGGACGGTGCCGTGACGTCGGCAGTTCAGTTGCTGACAGTGATCTGAGTAGGAGGAAAGCGATGCATCAGCCATATGTGGAGCGGTTTGGGGGGCGGGGTACGCGTATGGGCTTTTGGATAGGCTTAGCTCAATATAGAGACACATACAGCGTAGAAACAGGATGTTTTAATCAATGCAAACGACTTCACGTACCAGCTTGCATAAAGGTAGCAAGGATTTCTCACCTGCATTAGTAGAGAATGCATGAATTATGTTGCATAAGCCCAAGTTGTTTTTGTCCTGGCAAAATCTGAAATCGGCTTTATTATAGAAATGCAGAGGTAGTGCTGTGTGGAATAGCTGTGAAATAACTGTAGTCGGGGCGAAAGAGTGGGGGTGTAGACTGTGAGTCTATGGTAATGAGAGAGGGAGAGGGAGGGAGACGCGGGTGGACATCCTGATTCTGTACATTATCAAGTGGCTAAATGAGGGTTGTCTTTTCCAGTAAAGGCTGCAGGTCTTCTTCGCCCTTCCAGCAAGAATCGGTCCCTTTTACACGACAACAGCAGGACGCCAGTCGGATCTCCATCGGACTCTGCGCCCGATCCGCATCCGCGCTGCCGCCGCTCCATCAACCAACGGAGGAGGAACCATTCTGATTCCCGTGCCATGTGCAGAACGACATGTGTGTGATTTGACGCGGTGACAGTGGAGGGTGATGGACCAGTTCTTATCAAATTCCTTCAGAAGCACCAACGGCGAAGCATCGAAGGCGGTCGCGTAGAGAAGACCTTCATACGCAGCGGCCCGTCTGAGAGAATAACGTTTTTATTACTAGTGGAAAGGACCAGTGATCGCTTCCATGTCCACCATAACAATGGGGTAAGTGGGATTATGATACAATCCAATTGCATTTCATCCAATTTCTCTCCATATTCGTATATATGGCTCATCACGGGTATATGAACTTCTCCATGGACGCCACGCCACGCACATCACAGAGACCCGGGCGTATGCGTAAAAATGTGTCTCTCTGTCTTCATACGTCCAGGGGACTTGACGGTGGGTTGCCCGAGTAGGCTGTGGTTGATCTTCGGATGGACTTGATGGTTCACTGAGAGAACACATTTTGAGACATTTACTGGACATCTTGCGCGTTCTTCCCTGGAGGTCCGTTTGATAAAATATAAACACACTTGAGGCCCGACACGCTGCCTCACAAATGCCGGTGCAAAATTGACCCCATCATCAAACTTTAAGGATCAAAATAGTTAGTTAATCTGCAATGTTTCCCAAACTGGAAATTGGAAGAGTATTGGATGGGTGTTTAATCCTATATGCAGAAATGCTGTAATAATAAAATATATAATGCACTACAACAATGAATATAAATACAGTTTTTTCTATGTCTCTCTATTTTACTGTTTACTAAATTAAATATAGTTGTGCAATTCTGACAGATGGCATGTATTCTTCTCAAATGTGCTGAAAGATTCATGGTCGGACGTACGTTGCAAATCCTGTTCTAGGGAACATTTGGTAACACTGTAATGTCAAAAACAGGGAAATATCAGTATGTATGATGCTTCACAAGGAGAAAGCGTCTCCGTGTCTCTATGGCACCACAGCGGCCGCTATACCTCCCACCTCCTCAACCGCAGGCACCCATCAGTAAAATATCTGCCTATGGTGTCGAGCCCATGCTCATTTGCATTTCCCCCAGTTCCAAGCTCAGCGGTCCGTTTCCCCCAACCCTGCCGGTCGATCATTAACGTCCGTCTCCTTGAGTTCATTGTGATTAATTGCACAGCAGGAGGTTAGCAATGTGCCACAAGCATGGTGTGATTTCAAGGCACCAGCCCAAACTCCTACATTAACTATTTACAATACACTGAGGCATCCGAGGCTCCCACTCTGCCCTCCTACAGTGTGGGCAGCACATCATTCAGCAGTCTCCCACTCAGCTTCAGCTCTCCACCAGGCTGTGCCATACTGGTGACTAAGTTATTGTTATGCAAGCGACTGAACTGATCCACAGTGGAATGCATTGAATTCGGTGATCCAAAGCACTGTGTTGCATTCAGTGTGTGTATTGCAGTCTGAATATGTTATGTTAGGTGCCGAGGAGACGGAAGCGCACATATCTGTTGCTTATCCGCCTTTAATGGAACTGACCGGTTTCCGACAGGCTGCCGCCCACGTGGCTCTAATTGAGATGGCAAAGAGAGGAACATTTAGCGTTGAACGAGAACTGGAGATGCTTGTCAGAACGGTGTGCTATCACTTCCTTGGGCTAATTCAATTTGTGCACGGATGGACTCTGTTTCTCTCCCTGTCATTGTCTTCTGTCTGTGAGACAGCGTGTGTTCAAGGGCACATCTCAGGTCAACAGAGCTACTTCCAGGAGAGGGAACAACACAGCTCTCTCATTACGCAGCTCTCTTTACATTAATTAGGATCAACTTGCATTCGTGCCTTGTTGAATTAATGAAGAACTCTGGAGACAAAGACAACTTCAGGAGAAAGACTGGGTGGAGTTGGCAGGGGAAAGATAGCCTGAAACGGATTGCCAAATATGCTCCTGTTTGACTGTCTCTCTTTGCCGAAAGAGGGGCAGCATATGGTTAAAGGAAACACTGCAGTAGAAAAGCAAATGCCTTTGGCGATTATGTGCATGTGCATGTTGAAGCTGTTCTATTACACCCTGTGACTCAAAGACTGAGTCACATCTGTGCATTAAACCCCTCAGACACAAGAGGCGCTAAAGGCAACACCTGTTGCAACTCCTGGAACTGCAGATGTGTTTGTGCAGATGTGTCTGTTTCCATGTGAAACGCTCTGCAGGCATTGGTACAGGCAATACTTATATTTCAATCGAGATGTGTGCCATATTTCAATGGTTATAGCAAGCATACAGGAAGTTTTAGTTGCACATTTGCATTCTTAGCACCACAATATCCTCTAATATCACTCTCTCTTTGGTAGAATATTGTTTAAATTACAACTTTTTGTGGATTTTCAAGAATAGAAGGGATATTCACTCAGTACTCACTTTCCAAGAACACATTATTTCACATAAGAGTTAAAAACTGTATTTATTACTAAACCACAACGTACTGTATATCTACATACTGCTATTCTTGATATGGCTCTTACACCATCCATCCGCCTGCGTTACCATCATCATCCTGCGAGTGAGCACACTACTTACTCATATAGATATTTAAGCACTAATATGCTTTTTCTTTTAAAAACATCTTATTGGATTTGTGGAAGTTTGAGTTGAACAGCCATAGCTCACATAATGGTTTATACACGCTGAGGGGCAGTTTAAAGCTTTCCACTTCCTTCATATTCTTCTTGGAACTCCAACTTCTTTAACACATCACCGCCTCTACATTTTTCTCTTCCCTCCTGCCGGCCGCCTCTCTCTGTTTTAACATTCATGTTCCATCACCTGCCCTCGTGTAACACCGCACACTCTGCATGCTCAACACCTCCTCCTCTTTCTCCTCTGTGTTTTTCCTTCCTCCTCCACACATTCTCCTGTAGTCCTACCAGTGATGTGTCCACTTCAATGACCCCCTGGCTCACCTGCTTAGTTTTCCTCTCTACTCTCCTATCTCCTCATCCTTTCCCTCTGATATTATTCCCCCGTCCATATTGGGGCTGTGAAACTTCTTTTTCACATTCACACTTGGCACTCCTTTCATGCACGGATGGGAGACAGCCCCCCTCTGGCTCTCAAGCCTTTGTTGTGTCCTCATAACTCCATCTATGTAGCTGCCATGCAGCCTACTTGTTACTGCCAGAGATCATCGCTGGAGTGCAAGAGGATCAACGCGCCGTGAACTGACCTCCATGCAATCCCCCAACCGACAACTCTGGCTATTGGCTCAGACCGGAATCGCTGTCTACTGGGAAGCATGCGTGACCGGTGTGATGCCTTTGCCTACATAGAGATGCCCGTTTTTTGAGGAAAGAAAATCAACATAGGAATTATTGTTGTATAATTTTTGAGAGAGCAGAATGTACTTTGATCTACTTTTACGGCGTCTGTTAAAAGTGGAATTGTAGGAGATAGCCCGAGAATGTTGCTGTGATTGGTACAAACACCATCAAGAAGTTTGCCCGTTCTCCATCAAATTATGCCCTGAAAAGTGTTGACAGTTGCCAAGCGGTTATTGCACAGATCATACGGGCAGGACGTGGTGGTGCGAGTTGAAATGACTCACAGTTCCGCCACTCACGCTGCTGTCGATGATTATGATAATTCGCGCGCAGCACTCCACAAGCAGCTTTGTAAAGCGACGTTAATCATCACAGATTCACTCTGACTTCCTACACTCTCCACATTCCCCATCATTCTCTTTCCTCTCCTGTCATACTCCCCTCTTTCTTTGTGTTTTCCTTTCCTTCCCAGTCTTGGCTAATCACACACAGGAGGGGTGCTGCTGCTGAATTTTAATATTCATTTATACAGCAAGCCTTTGATGTCGCCCATCACCCCCTCAGTGCAGTGTAAGCACTTCTCTATCTCCTGCTCTGCCAGCACTGCCATCCCAGAATATCTCCCTCTGCACCCTGCACTTTGTGTGTGTGTGTGTGTGTGTGTGTGTGTGTGTGTGTACTGACTGTAGATATTACCTGAGAAGCCCCAACAATGCTGGAATATATAAGGGGAGGGTACGAACTAAGTGAGGAGTGAGGGATACATTGACCAAGGTGGAAGGTGGCACAGGAGTGAGATAAATGGATGGTCAAAAAACAAGCTGAGTATGGATATTATAATAATATATTGTAATCTCCAACATTAATAGGAGTGAAAAATAACTGGGTTGAGTGTCATACTGGGATCAATAAGGAATTACTTCAACTTAGAGCCCATAATAGAGTTTTGATCGTCTACTGATCGGAGACACAAATCCAGATATAAACTCAGACCTAAATACCGATTTATGCCATACTATGTGTATGTTTGCATATGCACATGCATATACTATTCCACTGTGTGGAAACTGCAGCTCTGTGGTGCCGGCCTTTGGAAGTTAACCGTAGCCCACTGTCTATATTTAGCCTTAAACCCTCTCCTTTCCCTTCTGTGCTCCCCTGTGTGACCCTCGCTCACTGCTGGAGGCATTTCCATATCAGAGCATGGACGGACGACGCTGGCTTACAAACAGTGGAAGACAGGGAGAGTTTCTGTAGAAAACCTGCGTGCATTTATGTGGCCGGGATGACATAGAGGAAGATTAGACTTAAGATGTATGCGGGAACTCTGCTGTAGTTTTACGACTCAGTCAGCTTGTTTTTCCTGTGTACAGTACGAGGCGATGAGTGCAGGTAGTCGTGGCTTGACTGCCTGTCTTTCTGTGGCGTAACTATGGAGGATGGCGAGTTGGTGATTCGGTTGCCAGGGCGATCTGGCTCCCCGGGAGGCAATAGGAGTTGCGCCGCTGGCGGTGGGCTCGGCGAGACGTTGGTGCTGCGGCACAAAGAGGTTCACCACTTCTTCTTCCTCCCCTTCAGGGAGCAGCCCATCTACAGCACGAGGGCCCACGTCTTCCAGATCGACCCCAACACCAAGAAGAACTGGCTGCCCACCAGCAAGCACGCTGTCACCGTCTCCTACTTCTACGACAGCACGCGCAATGTCTACCGCATCATCAGCCTGGATGGTACCAAGGTGAGCGGCTGATCCCACACCTGACAAAAACATTGTGCCTCCGTTGTTATTATTCTATTGCTGCCGGCCGACGTGGTTTTGTTAAGATGTGAGACGCTGTTAACACTGGGACTGAGTGTTAATGATGTTAAACAGCACTGCAGTGGAATCTAATGTGCAAACACATCTCAAAAGGGAGCAGCTCTGAAACCAGTCCAGTCCAGACTCACGGCTCATGTTTCATTGTGTGTAGTCATGCAACTGCTGTGTTTGTGTGCGCATGTCCGTCTGCACTTCAGAGTCCACACTTTCTGTCTCCGGATATTCTTATTGGAGAACCGGGAGGGGTATTTCTGCTGTGATTTATAGGCACGGGGCAGTCCTCACCAGTTATGGAGAGAGGAGGGGGGAAGTTATATGAGAGAAACAGATGACGGAGTCAGAAGAAACAAGAGCAGGAAATACAGAATATGTGAAGTTAGGAAATCGAGACAAATGTGAAGGATCGATGAAAACTAAGCACCTAGTGAGTGTGGACAATTTGTGATGATCCTTTGAACCAACACCTCGTATCAAAGGGTACTTGGTAGATAGTTGATCACTAAATTCAACCACTGTGTAACACACAATCACAGACTGCTACCCACAGTATTTATTGATCCCAACTAGAACGCCAACCATTACACAACACTGCTAATTGATCAGACATTAATTTGATCTCCATTTGGGTTATTTACCAACGGAGGTTGGATTATATAAGATCTAGAGATGGCCTTCTGGATTTGTTCTTGTATATTAAAAAAATATATTCTATTTGCAATAAATCTATTGGAGGGACAAGCAAATGTGCTCATACAAATCTGGATACTTTAAGATTTTTTCCGACAATCCGGTCGGTTGCACACCGCTGTTGTAAAGTGATTTGTTTAAAAAAGATCTTGGACAATAATACAGGAAAATGTCATAGAGGATTAAACTATACTTTGAGTAGACAGGCAATACTTGTTGTTGGGATTAATACATTGGTTTTGTTGGCAATAAGGAAAATATAAAGTATTGCCAGACTAACTTGAACCCAGATCTGCCAGTGAGCCTATCTGCCATCACTCTTTGCACATGCACAAGCTAATGTTGTTCCAGGTCTCGTATAACTAACCACAGGACGCTTTGAAAGTCAAACTTAGCAGCCCTCTATTAGCTACACAAGCATGGATTTTATTGTGTTGGCGTGTCTAAGCTGCACTTCTGACGAACAGAAACTATCAACTGTTCTCTCAGGCTTCCACTGCTACACACACACACACACACACACACACACACACACACACACACACACACACACACACACACACACACACACACACACACTCAAATTGTCCTTCGTTTGATCCTCTCTCTCTAGTTGGCACACATTACACTGCAGTAATTAAGTTCATTTAATGTATTATTAATGTATAAAGTGGGTTGTCTATGTCCTGCAGGCAATAATCAACAGCACCATCAGTCCCAACATGACGTTCACAAAGACCTCACAGAAGTTTGGCCAGTGGGCGGACAGTCGAGCGAACACTGTCTACGGCCTGGGATTCTCTACTGAGCATCATCTAGCCAAGGTACCTCCCCCATCCAAGCCCCACACACACACACACACACACTCACACGCCACGCATCAATCACACAGAGGCTTCTCTGTTCATCCTCGCCCCCAGTCCCAGAGAGAGGATGGTATTCCAGCTTTGGTTTTACTCTTGTCATTATAGCTTTTTTAAAGGTGTAGAATCTGTTTAGCAGTTACTTCTAATGAGGTTTTATGAAGTTATGAAAGTTATATCTGTGTGTTCACTGTTTGTGTGTGAGGGTGAGGGTGAGAGTAGGTACTGATTCCACTCCTCTGCAGTTTGATTGAAATCTATCGTGAATCGTGGAGGCTTTATTACCACTAACACACACACACATGAACACAACAAGCCAACTCAATACTATAAACAGTGATGTCCTGAAATCAAAGACATCTCCTGAATCCTATCACATACTACACACCCTGTTGTCCCTCATCTATTGCCTCACCCAATCGTCTCCCCCTTTGTACACTTAAGATGGACAAAGTGGTGAATGCTTCAGAGTTTAAAGGTGAACTCCACCAATAAAAAAACCCAAAAATAGGAGGTACCAATAATACATGATAATGTAACATGATGTTCTTATTGTTTGACTCTGTTATGTTCCATCGATTTTCTTAAATTTTAGACCATATAATATATTGCCTAATTGTTTAAAGTGCTCATAAATACAACTCAGACATACTGTAGAGCATCCCTACATAGTAATTAATCATTTGAATCAGTCAAACCAAATATGCTACATACATTTGAAGACGATTTCAATTGTGTTCTTTTGATTTGTGACAATGATGTATGCTTACAGTGTACATTTATATGTTTCCTTTACAGTTATTTAGATAAAAATATACATGATTTAAAAGAAACAAAACATGAAGAAGGTCATAAAATATCTCAAATCTATAGCATGTTTGGTTTGATTGATTCACAGTGTAATTACCACATTGTCAGTTTGTCACCCAGTCTGATGTTTAAATAATCAGATTCACCTCTCAGAGAACTGCAATGCCAAACTATTCCCGGTGCACTTACACCGAGAACTATTGCATTTAGATCACTAGACCAGAACTATTATATTGCAGTGAAGCGAAAAGATATTGAGTTACTTATTGGAACTCCACTAATAGCGGACACAAGACGGGCTCCAGTAGTGCTGCCAATTTGATTTCCTCGCCACTAAGCCCTCTGCAGAACTGTACTCACTAAATTACTCTGCAACACGGTGGGAGTTAATGTTGGTGATGAACCACACCCTAAAGGGACATTGCGGAAGCGTGCCAGGGTGTTTATATTTGCTCAAAGCTCCTCAGCTGAGCTCACCTTACTGCAGCAGGATCACTTGATGTATCTTTGCCTTTGATTAAAATAACCGTGCAGATCAACTTCAGCACCATGTGGAGAAATGTAAGAGAAGAAAACTCAATATGAAAACACAAAGGCTACTCTGTTCTGTGTTTGTGTGTGCGTGTGTGTGTATACGCCTTTGATATAGAGGTTACTAACAATGACCTAGTTAGCTCATGTTTCTGCTGAGGCATTATGGGTAAGGGCTATCTTTTTTAGGTTCAACAGTACAGGCAGCAGATTTACCTCATCCTTCCCCTGGCATCACGTCTAACCTATTACACACTGATCTGTGTGTGTGTCTGTGTGTGTGTCCATGCACAAACAGATTAAACCACAGCATTGTGTGAATTACAGTCAATACTTTCGTCTGTCCTCTGTGTCCAGTTTGCAGAGAAGTTCGCAGAGTATAAAGAAGCAGCACGGCTCGCTAAAGAGAAGAGTCAAGAAAAAATGGAGATGGCCACGTCCCCTTCGCAGGTACGTTCAGTCCACAGCACCTTACCCCCCTTTAAGCCCCCCTCCCCCCAATAACCTTTTTCCTAGCCTGACCTCCTGGCACAGCCACGGTGTGTATAGTGAACAGCTGGTGAACTGGTCAACCAAACAATGTTTTCTCCCTTTGGTGTTTTTTGCATGACCCATTATCAGAGGAGGCGTAGAGGAAAATTCATGAAATACAAAATAACTTAGATAGAAAAAGTGTATTTTTTTGTGTTGGTGTTTAAAATAGCTGATGCTAATAGTGGAAGAGTTAAATTCTTTACAAATACAATACAATCTGATTCTGTGAAAATTCTCCACTACAGGTCCTTAGTTCACAATAATACGTTTATATAATTAATAATAATAATAAATACTAACACTAAGTTACAGCACACAAATATTGTCAAAAGAAAAGTTTAGACGCTAAATAATTCTTTAGTGGAATTACAAAAGAACTCGTTGTTGTATAATGTGAAAAGGGGTCCCGACCAGACAGCAGCCAAAAAGGTTAAAAATCACAAAAACTTGTAATAAATAATATGAAATTTATTACATATAAAATTTGTAATAAAATACCGCTAAAGCTAAACAATAACCAATAAATATATATGTCGAATCCACAAGGTTTTCTTTTGAAATGTATAGTGTGTGTCTTTGATCTGACAGATAAGCTCTTTCACTGCACTGGAGCCCTTTGAGGTCCCGACACTGAGGTTAAGAATAATAGTCCCAACACAACATGGTACATTTTCTCTTTACGTATCATAACGTGAATTATAAGAAAAAGACTCAGCTGTCTGTGGACTCCATTATAGCCAAGCCATTATAGCATAAATTTGGCCGCATAATTAGCTTGTATGTTAGGTACTTGTTTGTGTGGGTGTTTTAGTGCACATCTATCTGCATCTGCAAGAAAAAAACCTGATTTCAGAGGACAATCTTTAGACAAATCTGTTTTGTAATCTAAAGGTTGTTAACAGGCTTTGTGTCATTGTCTGTTACGCTCTATTACTTGTACTATAAATGCTGAACCGCCACAACACCTTGCGCTTCGCATGTGAGGAGGTTTTTAATGAAGCCAAGTGGACAGCTTTGCTCCCATCAGGGGTTGAAGCAGTGCGCTGGTCACTTCCACAATGGTGGAACTGGAATGATTGCTGTTACAGCAAAACTGCAGGCTTCCTGCTACGCGCCTGCAGTGCTCGACTCAAGCTGTCTGCTGTGGGTCACTACTGGAAGTCATTGGTGCTCCTGCCCGCCCGCTGGCTTTGCTTCCAACCTCCAAATATTCTCTTTTCTCCTCCATTAATACTTGAAAACAGAAACTCGAAAACACGAGAGTGGAATAATTTGACCAAAACAAGATGAGAGAACACAGAGCTAAATGCTACATGCTGGCCTCAATAAGCCAGACCCCAGTGGACGGGCATTGGGAACAGATATTAAATGGTATACAACCAATGTGGAGTGCAAACTGTTACGACTTAATCGCTCACTTATCTCCCCCTTCCTTCCTGTCCATTAGAGACACACAGCCAGTGCCATTGTGCCGTATCGTGCCCGAGCCATGGTTCTTAATAGCTTTGTTTTATGTGCAAGCAGCAGCTAAATGATTTGTCTCTCGCATAATTCTGTGGTTGTATGGGATATAAAGATAAGCATTAATCTGCCATTCTGCTATTTCCCAGTGCTATAAGCTATTTAATGGCCTATAGGCACATACAGCTGTTCAGTAAGACGCTTACAATCTTAACACCACAATAAGAGCTTTATGAGTGTGAGAGACCCCCCCTCCTCCCCTTTAAATACATAAACAAACCTCCATCAATTCTCATGTCAACTCCTAAAAGGAGATGGATGAGTCAAATTCAAATGATTTGTTGTCATCTCTGGCCATAAGTGGACTGTCACATCACAGTAATTATTGCACATTTCATAATATAACTCTTAATTGTGTCAATTACGGTGTGGTTATCAATAAAGAAAATATGTTGAAAGCCATTTTGATATTTGTTTAAATATAAGGGGGAAAAACCTTGAATTTCACTGGCTTTTCTTTCTCAAATACAAGTTGCTTCTTTGATCTGTTCTCTGTTTGACACCACTATGTTTGAGGCTGTTTCTCTGGCAAAAGCTGCCAGACGCCATTAAGAACTAATATTGTAGCAGATGTCAAAGCTTCATCTGACCTCCAAGGTTTAATCATTACTATTTAATTTTACTGACATGAGAGAGTATCGTACATATATTTATTCTTATGGAAACATCACAGACTTTGACAAATTTGACAAGAAAATAAATAAACTAAGGTTTAAAAAAAAGATTTGGTTCATGTAGAAATACACAGACATGGATGGATATTGGTCCAAAACGCAATTAAATAGTTACAGTTACAGGCTAACGTGGCCTTACCATAAAATATTGATCCCAGTCCCTTACACAGAGTGCCGCCTACAGCTTATCAATTAAACCCTGGTATCGACCTGTATCCAAAGCCAAAGTATTGGTATCAGGATTGATGAGGTCAGAAAGGTGTAGTTTTCATTTAAACTTAAAAGCTTTAATAGGTTTATTTATGTCTATCTGGCAGTAACAGCTGATCAACTTTGTTTCACACGTAGGAGTCTCCAGGAGGCGAGCTCTCGTCACCTTTGACCCCTGTGACTCCGCCCATGGAAAGCATCAACGGCTCGGATGACATGTGTGACACGACACCAAACTCCGACACCCGCCCAGAGCCGTCTCAGAACGCACTGGCCTTTGCTCACAGGTACATCCCGCACGCTGACGTTTTGACTGTCCTGCGTTGTCGTGCTCACCACAGTGCAGATGTCGCCGTCTGACCACACACTCTCATATTTTACATAGATTACACTAAAACACAGAATATTCTGAAATTAAAATACTGAAATACATCCATTGTGATGATTTATATTCTAAGGATTCACAGCTCTTCTGCTTTGTCTTTCTCTTTGTCTGCCTGCAGCAGTTCATGTTGCATGTAAGTGTGGTGGTGAACTGCTCCTTTTCACGGCTGCTCTCTCGTGTCTTTCCTCTCTAGGGAGCAGTATAAGACTTGTCGGGTCTGCTCTCTCTGATAGGGATGTCATTTCGAGTCCTGACTACTGCAACATCTACACAAAACAAAAAGTGTTCATGCGCAAACATTTCCCAAAAAATAAGACTCTTGATGCTTGTTTACTAACGGCTGACGAATAAGGTCACAGCCCGCCGTCACTCCAGTCAGGGAGGAATGTTGGTTTATATCCTTCTTAGTCACACGCTGACACTTTACATGGACCTGAAAAATGAGTTACTTTAACAGAAGACTCATTCCAAGTTATTGTTTTGTCCAATCTGAGCATGCTTGGTAAAATAAAAAAACCTCTTATATATTGTAGTATTTATATGTCTACCTACTGCAATGCAATAATATCTTTTTAAATGCAAATTCAAATCTTTTGACTTTAATGTTGTTTGGTGCATTAGGAATATGTGACGGTGTCACTTCTATGCATGCAGCACTACTGTTACACTATATACATTCCTGCTGTTCTTGTGTCCTGTCACTTGACAGAATATTGAAATGGATAATTCATTTTTACTTTTGAATGTCAATACCGGTTCATATACAGTAGATTGTGTAAGATAATAGCGTCAAAGTGACATGTAAATATTCTTGATTTGTATAATGGCTTTCTGAAGAGGTGTGGCTGTGTCAAAAAGGTGTTGATGAAGCGTTTATGTAAGACTTATATAACATACTGTGGGTAGTGGGAGGCAGTGAAAGAGTAAGACAGATGGACACACACAGAGTGTGTGTGCGCGTGCGTGTGCGTGTGACATGTATGTATCAGAAGCTGCAACGATGGAACGACAAAGAAGTGTATTGTATAACATCTTTGCATGAGTCACCTAAACTGCACCACACACTACAACAAATAACTGAACAGAAGGGCGCGGGTAATGACTGAATCCTTTGAGTGAATGAAGAGTGTTTTTCTCAGGAAAGGGAAATGTTCCTTTTATCTACTGTCACCTGTAGTCGACTGTACACGGAGGTCTTTTCACTTGTAAAATCTCTGTAACCTCATTTCGTTATTTCTCTGGCTGCGATTCTTATTAATTAAAGATGTCAATCAATCGCTTAATGTATTATCATTCTTTTTTGCTTAACGGTGGGTGTTCGTGAGGAGGCCTGAAAACATTTTGAAATAGTCAAACACCATTGTAGAGCTCTTTTGCGAAAGAGTTTTTAACAAGTCTCTAAAGCAGTGAAAAAGTCAAGAGAAAATGCTTAGAAATCCCTCCCGCTGCACCATGAACTTGGTGAGGCTGCACAGATCTGAGTGTGCGATGGGAGCAGAATGTAGAGAGGACACCCACTGCCTGCTGCAGCCCTGCTGATGTGTCTATTAATGCTGCATGCGTGGGAGACCGGGTCGACTCTCGGCATTCACGATGGCAAGCATGGGCGTAACGAGCAACATTTCTCAGTGGCATATGCAGAGAGGCTAGATGCTAGTTCAAATGTTTCCCCACACAGCCCTCTCTTCTCTGCCCTCACTATGATTCATTGTTCTTGCATTTAACATATCGAACAAATGCTTCATCTCATATGTCTATCATCTTGTGCCGTAGCTTCTTCAGCCTTTTATGAGCCTTAAGAGGCGGCTAAAATGTATTTTCTATGCATTTATTTCATAGTCAAAAGTAAATAATACAAATGTTTATTTGTATGAAAGGCATGACGGCTCAGACTGTCACATATTAACAAACAGGTATTTGCTGTCTTTTGCCCCAGACCTTTCTGATCTTGGTTTGTCTCTTTGCCATGTGTGTGGATGGCTTGCAGATGATGACTTATGTCCGTAACACATACAGCACTTCTTAGTGCAGCTGTGTAAGTAGGTTTGTGTGGGTGCACAGGACAGAGGAAGAGAGAGGAGGATAAGATACAGCCGTTTGCGGGGCTGGGAGAGTTTTTTTGTTTTATTGTATCGCAGGACGTAGGCGTGTTTGGCAGGTCTGCGGTGGAGTCGTGTTAAATGGTTCCGTGAAATACTGGGAGACGTTTTGTTCGTGGCTGCTGCTTCGTCTGTGTGTGAATGGTGCTCTGGTCTTGGCGGATGTAGGCGTCTGTCGGCGGGTTTGTGGTAGGCTTGTGTGAACGGAGACGCTGCAGATGTCATACGTCATGGTCCTACAAGCGCCTCCGTTCATCCAGTGCTGCCATGGCAACAGCTCTGGCTCTCAGCTCTTGAAGTGCTCTGTGCGGAGGAAGAACCGACCCGACCACGCACAGTTGTTCAGGACAGGGAAAAGCAGGATGGAGCTGTAGAAAAACCTTAAAGTTTATGTTTTGTGATTTTTATCTTCATTTAGCCGGTTAGGAAAATTATACATTGTGAAGCAGTAAAACACAAAACAGCGTGTCGATGTTTTATTCAACAGTGAGAGCTTACTGGCAGTGTACAGGTTGTATTATGTACAAACCACAAAATCCATCCTTAATTCACATTTTAAAATGAACAAATATATTTAAAAACACTTTAAACTAAACAAATGCAATAGAAAAGTAACCTGACACCACTGTGTCCTGTCTGTAACACATGCAATCCTCTCTAACAGACATTTTTGTTATTATGCCTAACAACCCCAAGTTGATGCAAGAAAAATATCGCTTAAACAGTTCAACATCGCAGTTGGCTCTTGCATAACTAGAAATGGAATCAAATTAGGTCATGATAAGTAACTAGAAAATCTAATAAGCAAATCCTCATAAAAACATTCATATTGTGTAAATAATCACTTATAATCTTTACAAACAGCAGTTCATTGATAACTTACCCACAATGCTTCTCACACACCTTCTGCTCTGCTGTCCTCAGCCAGAATTGTGCTCAGGTGCCCCCCTGAGACCTTTCAGCCAGACTCATTTAATGGAGACAAACACCGGTGTCAAAACATCTTGCACTCTTTTCCCTCCTCTGATTCGCCCTCTGACGCTCTCGCATGCTTTCTCGTCTGTCTCCATCTTCACATCTCGACGTCTGGCTTGCTCTCCCGCTCTGCGAGGCTGCCGTGTGGGGTTTCTACACTGCCGGAGCCGTGTGCTTTGGTGACAGCCTCGTGCTCCGCGCTCGTATATGTGTGTGTGTGAGTGGTTCAGTGTCAGTTGAGATGTGCATGTGTAGGATGAAGTGTCGTCTCCCTCCTATGCGTCACACACACACACTACTTGCACTCGTGGAGGGGGAGGCAGTTGTATAAGAGCTGAGAGTGGGAGTCCTCCTGTGAATTGGAGCTGGGTTTTCTCTCTTTTACACTTTGGAGTGGGTGTTGTAGCATAGTGGACTTCTGCTGCAGTGTGAGTTTGTCTATGTGTGTGCCAGTTATGGGGAAGAAAACCTCCAAAAACACCATTTATTATGGGTCATACAAAGACCCTTGACATTTCTTGAGAAAGCCAAGCTTTCTTTTGTGCCTTTCTGTGTATCTGTTTCACCTCTGTGAAGAATTACTCTGAAGTGTGTGTGAAGTGGCTTCTTTTCAAAGGTACTTGACTCAGTGTCGACACTCAACGTTTAGGTGTCTCATGCAATCTTCAGACATTAGTCGGACATTATGTGAGAGACAGGGAATGGGATTTATGATAATCTTAATAGGAATGCCTGCGGTCCTCACATTCTTCAGGGCAGAAAGTTGAGTTTGAACGTATATCTGACATTACAAAACAACTCATGTGCTAGTTTTTTTTTTTCCACCAGCCTCTTTCTCCCCCATATCTTTCTCCATCATGCAAGTCAATCACTTTTTCCTCATCTCTCATCTCATCTTCTCGCCTGTGAGTAGCTGGACCAGATTAGGCTCCAGCCAGACCGACAGTATAATCTCAGATTACTATTATAAACTCATGTTGCAGACAGCTAAAGGCCCGGAAGTGTTGACTTCCAGTTTGACTGCCCACTACAGGTAACTTTGTTACCTTTCAGTGCGGGGGCCAAAAATGGATGGATGGACGGCGGGATTTTTGAATGGTCCCCAGCTGCACAAACGCCCAGGGGCCTCTGCGGATGTGTGGCCAGCCAACTACTAACAAAAACACTCAAAACGCCCTGAAAGAGCTAAAAAGCACCACTGTGACATCACTTTCCCACATTCTCTATCCATAGAATGAAAACATGAAAAACGTATTGTCTTGTTGCTCTTGGTAAACTGACAGTGTGACTCTGTGCTCTGCAGCCCCGCCATGACAAAACACTGGGAGGCCGAGCTGGAGGCCCTAAAGGGGAACAATGCCAAGCTAACTGCGGCTCTGCTGGAGTCCACAGCCAACGTCAAACAGTGGAAACAACAACTGGCGGCCTACCAGGAAGAGGCAGAGAGACTACACAAACGGGTGAGGCATGAGGCACACAATGATGAGGCTTGCTCGTTTAGAGGTAGTCTGGAAATGAAAGATGGGTTGAGATCATGATTCTGATCATCTCCATCTTGTCCTTTTAGGTGACGGAGCTTGAGTGTCAGAGCAACCAAATGCCAGTGATCAAATCCCAGAAGACTGAACTCAACCAAACCATAGAGGAACTAGAGAATACACTAAGGGATAAAGAAGAGGTTGGTTTGCATGTGATTGAAAGATGTGCCGTCCCCCACATTCATACGACACAGTCCTTTAAATCTGCTTTTAATGTCCTCTAGGAAATGGAAAAATTAAAAGAGGAATTGGAAAACATGAATGACCTGATGGAGCAGAAAGACACACTCACCCAGAAACTTGAGGTGAGCGATACAGATGTGCATTAAACACATCACATGCCACACTACCATTTACCTCCGAGTGACACAAACCTGCCAACAATGGCGTGTCCTCCTTCTCCAGGAGACAGAGCTACGCGGGCGGGTGCTGGAGGAGCAACTGATGGGTGCCGAGCAGCGGTTGGAGGATAACCAGGAGGAGCAGGAGAATTTCAGGAAGAGCCTGCGGACGCTGCTGGAGCTGCTGGACGGAAAGATCTTTGAGCTGACGGAGCTCAGAGACACCTTGGCTCGCCTGATCGAGGAGGCCAGCTAGAGGAGGAGCTGCCTGATCTTCACAGACAGAGCCGTGTTATAATTTACATCCTGACACTTATTGATTTTTAACCTATACGTCCCCACTACACTACCCCAATTCTGATTTAGCTCAAAAAGGCAGCTAACGCCCCTGTTTTCGTTGAAGACATCAAGCTCTACTCCTCATCTTGCCTTCTGATTGGCTATTGTAGGCGTAACCTTGGTTGAGTTGATCCCTGCAGATGTGGAGATGCGTGTTGTAGCACACCGCAACTACCCCCCCGCTCCCACACCTCTCCAGGAGTTCACTTTAGACTCGTGCATCAGGGCCATCTGCTGTTTGGCCGGGGAAGCTGCACCACAGCTCGCAGCATCACAACATCACACGTACACACCCCTTTTATTCCTCCCCCCAAGGGGAATGTTGAAAGTCATGTGGAAATAATTGCTGTTAAGACTCAGAGAACTGCGCCAAAGCTGCCAAATCCCCGCCAAAAAATATTGTGCTAACTAGCAGATGCTTTGATCCAAAGTGACTTGCTGTACAGTGAAGTGCTGAACAGAGAAACAGAGAAACAGAGCCCCATGTTTGTGTACGGGCTGCCAGTGTCAACGGGAAATTAAAGCCTGACTCTCTACGAATCAATCAGTTTTACCAGTAGGCCAGGCCACACAGGGCTGTTGGGAAATAAAGTTTGGTTTATTTATTATTTATTTACTGCTCGTATCCACACCCTGACATGATGCATACTGTAAGTATTGAATTTCCAAAGGCATTGTTCATGCTACATTTAAATTTTAGAGTGCATGTGACCAACTTGAGAATTTGGGTATCCAGACTGCTTCCACCCTCACAGACACCTGACCTGTCTTCCTGCCAAACTCAGTGTGGCGTGTGTCCCCAAATAAGGCCTGACCTTTGACATAACGTGTGCCTTCGAAGCACACATGCGTTGACTAATGTTTGTACATAATGTGTGTGTGTGTGTGTGATTTGTGCTGCGAAAGAAAGACCCTGTTTTTGGACATCGAGGCCCCCAAACACACACACACACACACACACACACACACACACACACACACTCACACACACACTGAGCAATACCCGACAGGCTCAATACGACACCTCTATATTATTCTATCAGGTACTCTACTCAGTGGACTCGTGCAGATAGGTCCGATGCAACTCAGCCCACCCCCCGCCCCCCCGTCCTACAGAAAGTGAACTACTGTTGACCGGGAACCTGTGTGGCCGCCCTGTCTGGGGGAAGTAGTGCTTGGTGAAGGGCTTGTGGAGCGTCATCTACGTGTTCGTAATTCTCAACCCTCAGAGAAGCTGGCCACAGATTTTCACTCCTCACGCGTGAATATATGGAACTGTACTCAGTTTCTATTCGTTTTCTACCTGGAATATGACACTGATCATAAGTGATTATAGAAGTGTATAAGGTAACTTTTTACTCATGACATTGTAAATGAATAGATGGATAACTCCAACGCAGTAACGCCCTGCAGTGGCTTATTGTTGTGTATTAACCAACGGAAAAGTGTTGCAGCGTTATTATAGAGGATCTATTCTGTAGTTGAACAATGAAAACCTCTTCAATATATACAATGTATACACATGGTGTTGAACGTACCGTACCAAAACATCCACTTCTCAAGCAGCTAATGTACCCGTGAACTCCCAAAACTGCATCTTAAAATTTCTAAAAAATGATCTCCTCACATGAAATGCTGCTTGTCCTACCTTTCAATTGAGCACCCTGTTTGCACTATGTTATTACACTACATTATATATCAAGAGATTTGCATTTATACTAGCACAGCATAATTATATAAATAAAAATTGTAGTTAGTTGCACAGGTTAATACACTGGAATAAGACCCATGTAAAGGAAGTTACCCATTTTTTTCTTTCTAGTTTAACTCTGATAGTCGAATGACAGAGATGGAAAACCCTGATATTAATGCTATTGTTAATGAATGCCTTTGTACAGTAGTTGATAAGAAGCTTTTTTCTCCTGTTTTGTAACTTATGGTATTTAAATGTAGGGATTATTATTGTATTTAGAGGTATGAAAAGACTGGCAATATTTTTGACTATTTAAAGTAATTTTGAACTCATGATATTAAAGAGGTCCCTCAGGCTTATGATGTTCGTGGATTGGTCAGACTTGTGTGTTTACAGGTGGAAGGATTTACCAAATGCTGGGGAAAAGCGACCAGGAGACACATCTGTTGGTGCTTTAGCCAAACTAGATCCTTTGTTGAATTACAACAAACACAGCCCAGCAGGCTGAGAACACCTCTGTGAACTGAGAAATGCTATGTTTTATATTCAAATACAGAGACAGCCGAATTCAGTGTGTGCAAATTCCTTCTGTTCTTTGTTTTTCATGAAACGCATTACTGACTCAATTATTCAGCAGTGAAACAGTCAATCTCAAAATTTGCTTTGCAGGGTTTTATTCAAATGCAGGGGCAAGGTTTTAAACAAACAAAAGGGTTTGAGGGAGTGAAAGTGGAGGGACTAAAGGCAAAAAGATATATTTTGGAACAGCATGTACACTATTGTGTAAAGACAACTGCAGCAGTTAATAAGTTGATTGTTTAAGGCAATTCCTTTGAACCCCCCCCCCCCCCCCATTATCTTGTTTCATCCCTTTCTTGTACTTCTCTATATTGATGTTGCACTTCTCAAGTGTCGGGCTGCAGGCATTGGGTCATGCAGCCTGCCTGTGTGGATAACCGGTAGATAAAGATCAGTGTAAAACATAACAGTGTGTTTCTAAAGTCAGGCAAGTGGCCGATAGTTGATTCATGGAAAGGATTTAATTTCCTGAGCCCAGTTTCCCAAAAGCTTTTCAGTGGAGCAACGTGAACCTTAGCATTAACTGATTTTGGGAAGCTGTGACGTGATCCTGTATTGGGACATCAAATCAGACAAAGTCTGTGTTGGGAGTCAGGTCAGGGTTAGATCTCTGACTGTGCTACATGATGAGGGCACCATGGATGAACATCGTGCTCACAGTGACAAGGGACACGTAGAAGGGCGTCTCTAGCAATGAGCTTCTCAAGTTAAATAAATGTGACACGGACTTCCATGCCTGTTCTTTCTACATTAGTGAGAATTCACAATTAAACAGTGAAAGGCTTTCAACACAATTACATGGAACAAAGCACAAATATTTGCATTTAGGTTTTTAGAGACAGTCCTTATGTATGTGTGTGATGTCTTTGCATCACTCCTCTTTGGATCCAATTTCACATTTAAGTGCTTTAACACTGACTCATTTACAGCAGATATAATGTTTCACCAGTGATAGAAAATAAGTTCTTACTGTACAGATAAAGCGATTTAGAGCCATGAAAGTGCTGAAATCCCTTTTAAAAACGAATCATGAACTATGGGTGGAGGCCGTTGCATCACTCTGTCTCTGAAACGTTCACGCACATGTCGGCTATGAGTTGAGTCCACGTGTGCGTGAACATTTCTTCACTTCCCGCACTGTGAGTAACAGACCTCCTGCTGTGTGCTTCTGCCCTCTGAGTGCGCAGAAAGAAATGAGAAAAGATGCATTAAAAACCCCATCCATCACGACTGCCTGCTCCTCAGCCCACGGAGGCTCCCCGCGGCGCTGAGAGAATCTCGCCTCCCACCGACCATCCATCATTCAAACGAGAGGGAAGAGTTTCACAGCTCTGCTGTGACTATCCCACATTCGAAGTTAAGGAATCACCAGCCAAGTCTTCCTACCCTTTACAAAGAAAATAACCATGACCTCCACCCAGCTAAGAAACTCTGCACCTCTAGATCCGACCCACCATCGATCTAATCCTCTCCCACTCTAGGTGGAAACCTTCTGCTCGGAGATGTTAGTTATAAACCTACTGCGACGCTCCATGTTTCCCACCAGCACGGCCATATTTAACAGTCAAACAGACGGGTTGATCATTTTTTCCTCAGCCAGATAGATGGTGAGAGTTGGGGATGGTGAAGGTCGCAAGGCGACTAGAGCGGGGGGAGGGGCGCCAGTCTGGCGTGACGGACTTAAGGACTTACAGTCTTTGTGCAGTGTCAGATTAGAAAGGAGTGGTCCTGTCGGCTATTAACACATCCACATGTGCAGCCCAGAGGAGTGCGGTTCAGTCATGGTACAAAAACTACGAGCGCTTCAGCAGAAGGGATTGTGTCATGGTTTCAAATGTGGACATTAAATCCAGTTCAAATCTCAGTGGGATCTTTTCCTCCCACATAACTCCAAATGATCAACCACACATATTACATATTTGGGTTACAATTAAAGTCTTTCACTCTTATGCTTCGGTCTTTTGGACCTCACCTCAGCACAACCAGCTTTTGTGAGGTTTTCATTTTCACAATTAACCCTCTTAAATAGGTTGTGTGCTGTTTTCTGAATGTTGAAGTGGCCACAAAAGGCTAGTGCAGAGCACAATCTGAATACAGGAATAAAACCACAATAACATTATCAGCAGAAATAAAATGGCTAATCCTGTCCTCAGTGGTGGAGAATTCAGTGTGAAAAACAAATGAACAGTCAACTTCAGACCTTCGGAGCAGTTGGTGAGTTGGTGATGTGTACGACTCAATGGGCAATGGCATAACTGCATAACGTGCAACTGGGCTTTTTGTGCTTGAGTGTGAGAGAATGAACACAGCACTTTGCAGTACAGCGCAATGCGTCCAGTGCCGGAGTGCGCAGGCATATGCGTCAGTTGTTCAGCCCCAGCTGTCCCAGTCGTGGGCGGCCAGCCCGTCGTCGTCGTCGTCTGAGTCGGACTCCGGTGAGGCCTCCTTAATGCGGCGCAGCGCCTCATGGATGCTCCTGGTCAGCGGGTCGGTGGAGGTTGGGAGTTCTCCAAAGTCGTTTCTTTCTTTTCTTGGGACACGCCTCAGTTTGACCCCCTTTCGGATCTGAGCGAGGATGCTGTTGGGGTCGTCGTCATCCGCGGAGGCAGGCAGGGACCGCTGGTCGACCTTCTTCAGGTGGAAGCTGCCTCTCTTCAGCGAAGCGAGCACCTCGTCCATGGGCGAGCTTTCTGCATATGGGGAGAGAAGAGGGAGACGACTGTGACGGGCTACTGCCACTGGCTAAATCTAAAAGCCGACTACGGCACAGAATGATTTGAGTACCTCTCCTGCTGTGGGAGTCCAGCTCTGGAATCCTGCGTAACTTTTTCCGGGCACTCAACAGCTGGCTGCTGTCAAAGAAGCGAGGGATGAACGGCCCAAGTGGGGAGATGGAGAGTTCTTCCGCTGCATTCTTCCCCTCCAACTTTTGCCCGTGCCGCTCCGGGCTCCCGGAGGGCAAAAGCTCATCCTTAATTGGCGGGGGAGGCGGAGGGGGAGGTGGAGGAGGAGGGGACATGGAGTATGCCAGTAGTGAGGACAGGGAGCAGGGCGAGCAGGAGTAGTCTGCGGGACTGGGCACAGGCAGAGGAGGAAGGGATGCTGTGAGGACTGTGACGGGCTGAGTGGTGAGTGTGGAGCTGGGGTCCGTCTGCACGCTGGTACTGAGACACAGCGGGGGGTCTCGCGCCCGTACACCGTCAACGCGCTCCTCCCTCTCACTCGCGCTACTCGTTTCCATGCTCCTTCCGCGCTCTCTTCTTCTGGTGTGGGCCACGCGCTGTCGAATGGGCTTCAGAGTCACCTGACCCGGGTATCGCTAGATAAAGACACAGAGACACACGGAGGTCAATCAGGGAGAGTTTATCTTTTGAGATGTGAGAAGCGCTGAGATATTGACATCGATAGGAGATCAAATACCTGCTTGAAAGTGCGTAGTCTGTCTAAAGTTCTCTGCCTCTCCTGACTGACTCTGCTGTTCTTCTTTTCCTCGTCTTCCTCGTCTATGTTTTTCAGCTGACAAATGTTGAGGAGAATGTTACTGATAATACTTTACAGTAGACATATTATTATGAAAAAGCGTAACCTTGTAAGACCTGATAAGATGTGGAGTCCTTGTGGATGGTTTGCCCTGTCTGCTGTTTCTTAGTGTGGTTGGATATGCAGATTTCCTGCAACAAGTTCAGAGGAAAATAAGAAAGGTCATCACACCGTTTGACAAAGTATCATTCATACTAACAATACCAATTTAAATGCATTCATTTTAGGAATTCCCTGATGGAAAATGTTTGTTTGTGATGTAGCAGAAGATGTTCACAGGCTTCTGCTCTGATATGAAGCCCAATCAAACAAAAACCAAAATACACATAGTATTCAAATAGTGTACACTGACTGTAAAGAATACTGAATATGCTGCAGGAATGGAAATAGGTGTGAATGTGAATAAGATCCACGCACCCTTTTGTTCTTCAGATAGGAGCGCTTGGTAGTGATGCGCCCCCTTCTCGCCTCCAGCTGACGGGCGCTGACCTGAAGTCTGTGCAGCTCTTCTCTCTCTGAAGTATTGTCCTCTCTTATGTCATCTGCACTTTCAAAGGTGTCATAGTAAACCACCTCATCTTGAAACTCTGAAACACACGTAGATAAATACAAAAGACTCGTGTGGATACACAGGTGCAGGACTGACATGTGTTTCAAACACGGAGGTATTAATTTAGGTTGTCTTGTAGAAGGTCCATGCAACTAATGATAATTATATAAGAATCATTTGGGAAAGGTAGTGTCTTTTTCCAAATTATGCATCTTGAAGGGCTTGTCTCGTAAACTGAAATATTACAAAAGTAGCTTATGAATTCAGCCAAAATACCTGACATCTGCCTGCGAATGCTGTCTAGTTGAGCTGAGAGGAGCAGCTCTTCACACTGCAGTATTTCACCCTGAATGTCGTACAGCTGGAGCTGGCGTTCATAGTACTGTGTCTCCATGTGGTCCAAGAGGGCCATGGCATCTTTACTGCTACACAGGCTCTGCATCTGAGGGGACAGGACAAAAAAACTCACAGCAAACAAACTGTGTGTGTGTATTTATGTGTTTTGTATGGTGCTTCCACCACACCTCCTCTCGAAGTGTGCGTTTCCTCTGCTCCAGACAGATCTCCCTGGCTCTCTGGAGCTGCAGGGTTTCCTTTGCGACAGAGTAGCGGAGTTCCTCCATTCGCTCCACCGCCGCTGTCCATGACGATTTTCCAAATTTACGCTGGTCCACCTTCATGCGCTCGTACACCCCTGCACAATCACACACACACACACACACACACACACAGTCAAAAGGCAAGGTGGCTTCCTGAAACTTCCATGCTGTTAAAAGGGATGCTTTTATCACAGCAATGTAGAGGGAGACATCTATTGGCCACATTTGGACATTACAATGTCTTTCACTTGATGTCGCTCACTTATCGGATTTTTCATCTAATAAGTGTAAACTCATAAATAGACAAATCAGCAGTGGAGAAAAACTGAGACAAGCATGGGCCACATTTTGGAGTAATCCCGCGCTGGTAGAGATGATCAATAGGTTGCCCTTGTTTCCTCCGGTCCGTGTCAAACCATCGCTGTTTGCACTTCCTCATTAGTGCCAAATTACATTAGCCCTGGCACACACAGGTCGATAGGAGGCCGAGGTACACACGCACACACAGCGTGTGCGTGTGTACTGTGTGATTAGTAGTCATTCCTCTGCTGATGTATTGACTTGACATTGGCATGGACGGTGATGGCATACTGTACCTTTTTGGGCCTTGGCAGTGATCTCAAAGTATTTTATAGTAAACTCCTGGATGTTGAGGACTGCCTCTTGAGCTTTTTTCTCCCAGTCCAAGTCTTCTTTTTTTAGGGCTTCAATCCTCCTCGGGCCCAAGTAGTCGTTCTCCATGGATATCTGTTTAGAGAGGATGAACCGATGTTTTACTCAGCGAAGATAAGAATCACATGCCTCAGTGAAGGAGAAAAGATTTATCCTGTGAAAACCTCTTTTATATGTTATGCAGATATTAAACCGTGGCGGTGGAGATCATGAATTACACTTTTATTTTTCATTTTAGGTACAGCCAGTACAGCCAATGCAATCTCACATCCAAGAGATACACTGCTTCATTTGAGATTCAGGGGTTGTTTTAACCAAAATTAGGCAGCAGTAAAGGGGCTTAACATAGAAGTAGAAAAACCTCTGTGATGGATATGTTAATACTGAGGAGTCATTAAGTGGTGGTTTGCACGACAATGCGCTTAATCATCCCTAGTGGTCTCATCAGAGAAGGTATAGGCCTGCAGAGGGTCTTGTATATGGAGGCAGACTTACCCAATACTTCTTGTGCGTATTTAAACCCTCGAGAAAAACACAAATAAACATATTTTGTCCTACAGACCAATTGTCAAGAAACTTAAGAAAGCATTACCACCAGATCTTTCCATCTGGAAAATAGGATAATGATATTGTAAATTATGTAAACTATCAAATGTCTCCTTGTAGTTTGTTCTCTGCATTTCATATTGTTTAATAACAGAGCAGAATCACCTTTCCTCGTTCTTTGTATTAAATTCCATAATAATTTGTCAATTGAAAATGACCACATGATACCATTTTGTTGTCATCTTTAGTCTCTGCGTCCGTATATTACAGCACATTTTTTCACTAAAATTATTATATATATTTTTTAATATATTATATTTATTGTTGCAATAGTATTTTGATATAACGCACCGCTCTACAGCGAGGAAAACATGTAAAAAACCCACAACTACGGGATTTCAGAAGAAGATGAGAAAGCAATGTGGCGCCGCAGATACTACAGCTATGAATAGACCCGGAAGTGGTACGTCAAATACCCGAGCGCCCCCTCCCGATGCTATGTGGTTCTATGGTGTAATGGTTAGCACTCTGGACTCTGAATCCAGCGATCCGAGTTCAAATCTCGGTAGGACCTGATCTTTTGCGAGTACTTTCACGACCTCCACAGATGAATTGCGTGAGGTTTTCCAGCGGCTAAATACTGGTACTATGACAAAAGCGGAGAATTGTACAATATAGAACCAAATACTCAAAGAACTTAATTTGCTAGTAACCTTTAGCAGAGAACCGTTGTATTATCCTGTTCAGGTAAACACAATTCAGAGGGATTTTATAATTAATTGGATATAAGATTTTCTCAAAATTGACTATAGTTCCCATTGCCACTTGATTGATAAAATACGTGTTTTATGTAGTTCTGTATTTCAATTGATATTCTATCAATTTTGGAAAAATCATCTGCTTTCATAATAAATGTAATCTATGACAATCTTCCATCTCCTAGTTTCTGCTGCAGGCCTGTGGATCTCAGTGAACCAGCAGCATCATCCTGCACCCGCAGTAAACCAGTAGGACCACACACAACATGACTTATTCATGTGAGATCCATGGGGCTCCATTCCAGCTTGCAGTATGTCACTCAACCCCCGATGGCAACTGCACACAACTCTTTTAGATAGTGTGGCTTAACGCAACACAGCAAGCCCCTGAACACAAATACATGAGATGGTCTCATTCATTTACAACCAATCTCTGAGCTTCTTATAAAATAGTTTCAGAATCAATGAGCACATACATGCTAACCTTGCCTGCTGTGACTATGTTAAGCCATAAATGCCTCAAATAACTTATACATAATGAATCAGTTATAATAGCCTTTGATAAATATGAATCCGTTCTAAGTACGACTTTATTTGACTATTAAAAAAGAAATTGAGATACAATAATAATAATGAAATGAAATAATGAGTGTTTCATTCGGCCACCAAACGGCTTGAGCCTCTATAGTGCAGTGACAGTCGTGATTACAGTGGCTTTTCCCTCAGAAATCTCCTTAAATTTAACAAACAACCTGCTTGGTTGAGTTTTGTATCAACCCTTTCAGACAGAACCGTGGCCTCCTCCCTGAGACTCACTGTGACTCCCCTTCAGCCCGAGCTTTACCTTGTTAAGCAATCACATGCTCAGTTATAGGCAAAAATACCAAATCTCACATTGTGTGTGTTCGAGCCATGTGCCATTCAGGTGTCTCACAGAGCTTAGAATTTCCAGCAAGTATTTTATTGTAGACTGATGAGAAATCGATCTATTGAACACAACAGTTAAGGTTAAAAGATTCAGCTGGTACGTCACCTTGATCTGCTGTCTGCGCAGCATTGCTAGTTCCCGCATGTCTCTGAAGGGCTGCAGCAGGTACTGGTAGAGCTGTGTGGAGGAGTCTAGCACTCCTCCGTAGGCCTCATCTTCCTCCTTATACAGCTCCAACAGCTCCACCATACTGTCCATGGTCTTGTGCTTCTCCAGCAGCTGCGTTACATGAACACATTACATGTCATCGTCAACAAATAACCATCGGAAAATCAGAACAGATGAATATTTAAAGCCCCTTATCCAATGTCTGTAATGTAAGGCCTTGTTAATAAAGCATCCATTATGATCAGTATTGAATATAGTCTAAAAACAAACATTACGATAGTTAGAAACCCTTGATGAATAATAATATGGTATAGGTGTCTGTTATGAAGTTAGTTGAGCAGAAGGTAACATGTTATCAGATATAAGTGTGCAATGAGCCATGAGAACATTCTTGTTTGAATGTCAGTCAGCAGTAAATGCAAACTTGCACCTCACTGTGCGAGTAAGAGGATACTGTTAGAGGCTGTAAATAATAGGAGTACATATGAGTGTCTCATTGCACAGCCGTTGGCTGGGAGAGCGGAGTCCTTGCTGCTGCTGGGAATAAGATCGATACACACACGCACACACAGTGAACAATCCTGCAGGCTACCAGCAAGCACTGAGATAGTCATTAACTCAAATGGAGAGGAAGGATCAATAGGCAAGTTTGTGTGTACGTGTATGTGTGTGCGCATGTGTGTGTGAACAATCCTACGACAAAACTAACTGTGTTTGAATGAGCTACTGAACACAATATTTGCCATGCGCAGCTGAATATGACCAGCGGCTGACATTTATTGAACCGATTAGAGCAGGTTAGTTTGGGTTGGCTGGAGCTGTTGAAATGGAGATTTTTTGCTTAGGAAGGGCAGTAAGGGCAAAGTTGCATCTGTTTTTCTGTCTTTGTATTGTGTGTGTGTGCGTGTGTTGCGTGTGTTTCTGAGGGAAAGGGTTTGAGCTATTCTTTTACTGCCAAAAGCAGAACAAAAAGGAAACGCCTTGGTCAGCAACACAGAATCCACGGTATGGATTTTGTCTATTGAGTCTTTCTTAGATTTAAAAGGACCGCTAACGTACAAACCGATTTAAGATGTGCAATACTGTGACCTTCCGTACATGTTTGGTGAAAGAGGACGCAAGTGACCTCAGTCGTGCTCTGATGCAAACTCTTCCATGAATGCTCCTTCTCAGCTGATCTCAGAGGAGTTCCTGCACTCTCCACATGTCAAGGCTGCATTAATCCATCATAGGACAACGTGAGAGCCTGTGAGTATCAATAAAATGTCACCTTGTATTAAGAGCAGTTCATGAATCACTATCTGTAATGTGTAAAAGGAGCAGTGGGGTATTCCTCCAAATGTTAGAGCAGTGATATTGTTTGGTTATATTTCACACACACAGATGTGTTTTACAGACAACTTAACGAAACATATTTTCTGACAATTAATAGTTATATTCACCACCACAATAACCACATCGCCCATTGAAACACAAGGATTGTAAAGTATTTGTTGGGTTGAATGTTGTTAAATAACATTGACTAATCTTTCTCAGAGGACATTATTTACATGCTGATCTCTAACCTGTAGATTGCTCTTTCCAATGTATCCCCACGATAATTGCTCCAAACCCACGGAGACTGAACAGGGGACAGTGTCCTGCTCAGCTGTCCCCGTGCACCTCACTCACCTGCTGCAGGTGTCGCGTCGCGCGGCGCAGCGCCGCTTCGTACCCGCAGTGCCTCAGCTCGCTCAGGCTCTCGTAGTACTCGTCCGGGTCGTCGTTTTCCGTGAACAGAACCTGCGAGAGGATCTTCCACCCGCACGCATCGAGCGCGTGACCGAGGTACGCCTGCAGACGGCAGCACAGCTCATCCGTCTCGGTCTCGGGCACTCGGGCCGAGCCGAACAGCACCGTCCACGCGCCGGCCGGTTGCTCGGGGAACCCCGGGAGACAGGGCTCCAGGTCCGAGTTCACCGAGCACAGCTGCCGGTGAGCGGCCCGCAGGTCCTGGAAGGAGAACAGCCCGGCCCAGCTGTAGTCCTCCGGGCCCAAGCTGTCCAGCGAGGGGAACGAGAGGACTTGGAAAGGACTTAATTTTGTTTCTGCGCACAACTCGCTCTGCTGCGGGCTGCAGCCGCAGCTCACCGCAGCCCGCGTGGCTCCTCGGCCCCCAGATGCCCCGACGGGACATTCGGGACATTTTGTTTTGTCCCCGTCCAGGCCGGTCTCCTGCCCCGGTGCGTCCCTACCGAAGCTTCTCCTCTGCGCCGTCCGGTTGTGACACGTGACGGCAAATTTACCCTCCACTTCATTCCAGGCGACGATAAAAACGAATTTATGCCTTTCCCTCTCCTCGAATGCATTCGGTCTGACGGCCACCCATCCCGACTCCACGTGATCCTCCATGGCGAAGGACATGTCCGCGATGAGACACAAGCAAGCAAATAAAAACACCGCCGAGGCTCTGCACTAATATGACGTGTTCCGCGGATGAAACGCGCACTTTACCAAACACTGCCCCCCCCCGGTATTTTGCCAGGAGGCTTATCCCGCTTCGCTCAAGGGGGTGAACGTGGAGCGGCGCGGTGTCGTGTCACATCCATCCGTCAGGCCGGTCCCAGCCTCCTGCATCTCCATCAAAGACTCAAACTCTGGACACGCACATCAGCCCGCCGCTTGTTTACCAGCTGACCCGCCGGCTCTCCGGCGGTGATGCGCGGCGCGCGCGCTCTGCTCGTCATGAAGAACCGGCGGAGGGCATCTCGCTTCAGATGAAGCAGTCTGATGCATCCGAGCGCGTGACGGGAACGTGTCCGGTCGCGCTGTCTTCCGAGAGGTTCATGACATCACCGTGTTTTCTTTTGCACAAGAAGCTCACATACCCAAAATAATAACGTTGGATTCACGCGCTGTAGGAAATATCATAATTCCTACGCATCGTGTACGTCTATATATTTTTGCTGGCCTTCGCCATATTAGTGATATCGCATTACCTGTTCAGCAACCGTACTAACAATGGCCACATTGAAAGTCAATTATAGTCAATGTGCATTCTAGCAAAAAACTTCTAATAGCAGAAGATATTTGTGTGTCCGAGGATCATTTGAAGGCAGCATTGGTATCTCAACTTGAGCACGGCACGTAGGGGCGTGCTTACGTCACCAAGGGATGCTGTGCAGAGCAGCAGCATCATCGAAAACAACATGCATTCAAGACTTTAGAAAATAATCATCTAAATAAAATGCACACATTAATATAAGCATTATATTATAGATATTTCCACTATTTTCCAAACACAGTTTATTTTAATGCAGTTGTGGTGGAAAATAATGGGTGCTCACTTAGAATGGTGCTCAGATAAATACTTACTGGATTCCAACAGTTTGCGTATGCTTTGGTGAGCCACATTGCATCATGACATCATTATGTGTTCGCGTTCTTAAATTGAACCTTGGTGTAACTAACTCATAAACATGTCTTAAATTCTGGCATATGACCATCTGCCTTAAATATTAAAGGGGAAATTAAATTAAATGGTGAAGACGACAAGCCACAAGACAAAATAAAAAGAGCAAATCCTAAACCTATAGTGCAACGACCGGTTAGTATCCTTTAATTTGAGCCAGTGACAAATAATATCTTGGTTAAACCTTGAGCTTTAGAAGCTGTGTGGCTTACACATGTTAGTATACGAATAAATTAACTACTGTAAGTAAACCTGTGTGACTGGTAATGAGGAACGTATGAAATGAACTGCAGGTGAGGGAGAACTGACTATGTCCTGTTAAACAAATCAACAAAAATATCAGGCTTTCTTTTTATGTAAAGTATTATTATTTTAGTAGTTCACAGTTTTTATCTGGCCAGTCATAACACATTCATCAAGATTGTATGATTACACAGAATATCGCAGCACCATATACAGCACATGCTATTGATGAGCCTCATTATTCATCAGCTGGTGTAGCCATGGAGGGGCATTTGGGGCGTCCAGAAGCAGGTAAAAGCTTTTCCCAGTACTCTCGACGAGACCTAAGACACATTCTGGTACATTAGTTGGTTGTACATCAACAGTTTCAGCTGACTATTAAAACTTGGTGTCTTTCGTGAAAACAATATCTTTGCTGTCGGGCCTCACCTGGCTCTGACCCACGGTTTAGTGTGCATCTCCAGAGCAGCTCCCCACAGGCCGTGCTTCTCTGACGCCGGTGGGAGGAATCCTCTCTCTGCAGCCAGCTCCTCTGCTATGGCTCTGATGTGGTAGGCCTCGAATCCACAGCAGCCACCGATGTAGCGAATGCCGGCGTTGTAAGCCTCTCGGGCGTATTGATGGACGTCCCAGCGGGTCATCGCTCTGGTCTCCAATGCTGAGAGAGAGTAACATATTTTATATTTATAAGTTTTGCTTTTTGATCAACGCCAACAATTTGTGAAATGTTTTTTTTTTATCTACACAAAAGAAGACGCTGACCGAACGGGAACTCGGGTAGCGTGAGATATCCGCTGTGGTTGCACTCAGGTGTGTGGAAGCCCAGAGGCTGGATCATGAGATGAGCTTTGAGACCAGCTTTCTCTAATCCTGCTTTCATCAACTTCACCGTGCGAACACACGTCAGAGGATCCAAATGGCAGTTTATTCCAACAATGTCAGCTCCTACACATGGACAAAAAACACACACACATATTCAGGTTGTTGAGCTGAAACACAAAGTCAGACTTGAGGTATCACAGGAGGCCCGTTTACCGGCTCTGACCAGCCTGACAGCACACTCTCCAGGCGGGACTCCGTGCATGTCTCCCTCAGGGGAGATGCACAGTGTTGCACCCACTGGTTTACCGCCGGTCTTCAGCACCTCCACGGCCCACGCCGCCTCTTCCACATGCTCAAAGAACTACAGACAAAATGCAAACCAGTGAATCCCGCACACAATTTGCCAAGAAAAGAAAACTATTCACTTGGGTGTAGTTCACGTCTGGTCTCCATCAAGCGATGGGAAATATATAGCTGCCTCTTTAGCGGCTTACACGCTCAAACTTAACCAGTTTATGACGTTTTGTTAATGTCAATGAGGACGTGGCAGGTGACACATGGGTTTATCAAAAGTTATCAGAACCGCAGAAACAGCGAGATACAAAATGAGAACAGATTGAGGAGAGGCATAGGCATTGTTTCATGATCACTATTACTACAAACATTTGATTCATTGTTGAGATGAACAATACATATCAATGGAGGTTTAAGCACTTAACAATCAATTCAACTTAGTTCTTCCCCTTGTAAAGAAATATCCAATTATTCATGTTGCTGGTGATACCTCTGCAATAAAGAAATCAATCTCCTTCTTGAGGAAGTCGTCCATCTGTTTCTTAAAGATGGCCTTGACTTCAGTCTCATTGTGAGTATCCACATAACAGGGAGTCTTGGACACGCAGCCGGCGACCAAGGCCTCCCCCTCATTGGCGACCTCCCTGGCCAGGTCACAAGCTGCCTCGTTGATCTGAGCCCCCTGGATCACACAAGAGCAGAGCGGACCGAGATTTGAGTCCTTTTCATCACGTGATGCAAAGAGGACGATGTTGCTGTTTGGTTAGAAAGGTTTTGTACTGACGGTAATGTTGGGGACATTGCCGCTGATCTCCAGTTTATCCTCGCTGCAGTAGAAGGTGAACGTCTGAATCACATTGGCTCCTGCTCTCAGGAACTCCCTGTGCAGCTGCCTCACTGACAGACAGGAGACACACAAGTAGATGTAGTGGGGGGAAAAAAAGGGATAAACCCTGCAAAACTCTGCAAAAATTCACATTGCATGTTCTTATAAAGAGGCGAGTATAGTTTTAGTTTATATTAGGATTAAAGGGTGAATATTAACAGTACACTTGAGGCCTAACGAAGTACTGCAGGATTACTGATTGATCGGCGTAGACAGCACACAGGTGAATGCCATTTATAGTCTGTTGTTTAAACATTAATAAAAACTTGGAGGTGAAAGATTAAACGTTGCCTTGTGAGGCAGATTGTTGCCACGTGTTCATGCAGCCAACGCTGAGGGTTGTACCTGCTTCAGGATGTTCTACAGCCGCCTCAGGTGTCCAGTGTCCAGCCTTCACATAGCCACGGCGCTCCAGCTGCATCACGTAACCTCCATCACCTACAACCACCTCCCCAGCATTTAGTCGCTCCAAGATACCCTGAACACACACACATTAAAACACTTTGATCAAGTGGTCAATTACTCAGGTGTGACACACACGTCTTTTGTGCCGGGTTCCCTCCAACCAATTGAAATGAGATGTCTTCTGGTTTCATTCAAAACAGGTTAGCCGTAATCAAATCAACTGATCAACGAGTAAACCATGTCTGATACATAGTGTTCGTTATCTAAAAATGGGCTAAACAATCAATTTCAGGAAACATCCTAGAATGACTTTAATGCAAAACCATAAATATATTATATATATGTTATATATATCATATATGTATATATCATATATAAATATCATATATGTTATATATATATATATATAACATTTACAAATATTACATGGTACAATCCGGGTACACGATGCATGTCCATAGTTGACAAAGCCTTTACTACACAGTCTGTTTTTGAACCATGTGCATGAGGATATCCCTATTTACTTTGAAATAACAGGTCTTTTAGAATAGAGAAGTACTATTTAGAAACGTGGATGTATGGATTCATTAACTGCTCCAAGGAAAGAATTCTTGAATGCGTGCGTGACGAAGTTCAAAACGAACGCAGAGGACCGGTCGGGGCGTAAAGCGTGACTCGTACCCTTGGCTTCTTTCTCTCCATCGTCGACGAGTTCTCGGTGGAGTCTTCAAGCACACGCTTCACCCGCTCAATGGTCTCTCGTCGTGCGTCACCGAAAGAATCTCACGAGATCGAGGAAGCCACGTTGCCCTTAAACAGGACCGAGAGCTGCCGAGAGGAGCCGAAGGCAGCCGAGAGGTGCCGAGCGAAGCGGGTCGTTTTAAATAACGATTATTACATAATGATTGTGATCTTTGAGATATTTGCACAGCCACGTGAGCAGTGGCCCTACGCCCCCACGCTGTGGAAGGTGAAAAGAAACTAAACAGTGATAAAATGTCTCTTACAGCCTAATATCCATATTTCCCAAGTGTTTAAAAAGAAAAGAAAACACAAGCCACAAGTCAGCCAGGTGGGCTCCAGCCATCTTATCGCCCAGGATCTAAGGATTCAAAGCCGGAGGCCAGTTGGAGGCTGAGGTCACTATGTAAGTAAGTTAGTTACTCATTATCGAATCAAGCATGAAGAAATATCAGTGGCTCTATGTATTAATTTATTTCACATCTCGCCAGCAGGAGGCGCTGCTGCGTTTGATGGGAACACAGCTCTGACGTCATTTCCTGGCGGGATTTCGATCTGAAAAGGGACGTAAACAACACGGGGGAACTTTTCACCTGCGATGCCGCTGATGAGAGTAACGTCAGTGTTTTCCTGGTAAACAAGGCTTGATTTGGGGCCGCTGCTCGGAGCTTTTTGTTAAGTGATAATAAGTGATGATGTAACGTAACGGTGATTATCAAGTTCACAGCGGTTTCTTTCCGAATAGCGTTCATGTCCGTCAATCTCTTTATTTCATCCATTTAGACTTATTTGCAACGTCAACCTCAATCAAAGAAGGTAAGACATCTCAACCACCCCCGATCTTTGGTAACACGTTATATATTATATAATGCTAATGTTAAGAACCCCTCAAATGTCCTGAAAATATTCTCTGTGCTCGAAGGGATGTTGATTTTGACTTCATTCAGTGATGCATATTTTGCAGTTATAGTTACCACTTACTTTGCAGACTAGTATTTCTTATATATTATAACTTTAATTTACTTTAAATTTAGTTTAAAAAGTCCTGCTGGACAATTCAATGAAGTACTCACCGTCGCCCTTGTTTTAATCATCATTCACTTTGATATTATTGTAAAAAAAAAAAAAAGCCAAATTCTATTGACCATAATTGAACATATCGAAACAACAAAATGGCAAATCATCAAAGTGTGTGAGTTAATTTGTCCCGACAGGCACGGCCACGGTTTTGTGATGGACCCACCTGACGATGAGGGGACGCTCCATCAGACGGTGGAGGCGGTAGCGCTGAATCACGGGCCTCCTCCCGACACCTCCAGCGGACCGAAAGATACTCAGCCTGCAGACATGCTGAGGTTTATTATTGATAAATCACGCCTTCACACCAGTGTTTAAACGTCCCATCCACTTGGATCAAACATCCACGGCAGCACATTACATCTTGTCATTGGGCGATGAATAGAATCCTTTTTAATTGCACAACATTACTGTTTTCAGGATAAAACAACAGATGTCCAACCAGTGCTTTGAGATGGCAATACAGCTACAAGCAGGTATATGACCAGCATTTTCCCCAACATGTTCAATTGTCAAAAAGTGCACAAACAAAGCATTTCTATTGTTCCCTATTACAGCAAAAAGTAAGCTATCATGCAGTACATCGGAAGCTGAGAGAGAATTGTGAGTATTTAGAACGATCTTGTTCGTGTTGATCTTTGACCAATTGAAAGATTAGTCAATTTAAAGTTCTATGGTGTTAATTTATATATTTCTTAATAAATGTTGCAGGTCAGAATATGTCAATGAGCTGGAAAGAGTCAAGACAATTCATTTTAACAGCACATTTACGCTGCACAGGTAAACAAAGTCCTTATCCTTTTTGATTAGTGATATTTTCACTATAAATATATAAAATAAAGAAGTACTACACTGACCAGTCATAGATTCCACTGATGTCTTTCAGGATGCAGATGTGGCACGCTATTGGAGAAAAACTGAAACAGACTGATTCAGACGCACTGTAAGTCAGTTCACAGCGTATTGACAACACCCGAGCAACATTTATTTTTGATTATTTTGACAATTGGATCATACACTTGTGTTTTTCCTCAGCGCCCTGAAAGCTGTGAGTGATCGCTGTATGTCTCTTTGTTCACAAATAAAACAGCTTCAGCAAGTAAGCAGCCTCATTATCCATGGTCTATATACATATATATATATATATATATATATATATATATATATATATATATATATATATATATGTGTTTTTCTCTGCAATTATACGACATGTGTTTAAAACATTATTAATTGTAAATATTAAATCCTTTTAGAACTGTACTTTGACTATTAGCTATTATGCTGCTGTCTGTGGCTGTCACATTAGATGAACGAGTGCATTTCTGACTGTCATTGTAGACAGTAGAGCTGAGAAAAGGTGTAGACTCTTTTATGAGTTTATCATTCAAGAAAATACATGATGTATTCTGGGGAGTACAGCAAGAGTCGTACAATTTTTATTACGAGAAGCTAAATGGGAGAATACACTGAATGTACATGTAAGTCATATAGGCCAGTCGTAAGCATATCTATTTACTTATCTTTATTAATCAAATACAGATTGCGCTCAATGTGGAATTGTATATATTGAGAGTGTTCTATGAGATTGAGAGAACTGGATTCCCATCTGTTTACAGGAGACGAGAGATTTTCAAGATGAAATCACCAAAATACAGAAGAAGAGGCTTGGTAATCGCGGAAAAGTAAAATTACATTCTGATTTAGTTACTCCACTGTTCCCTTTGCTGATGTTTTTGTCTGTGTGTGTTGGCCTGTGCATATAGAGATGAAGCGGCTCACGCATGAGAAGATGAAGGAGATTGATGACTTGATGTCCAAGACAGAGCACCCAGATACAGAGAAGTACAAAGCTGTGTTGGAGAAGGGCCAGGCCAACCTTGAGAAGTACAAAAAGATGACTATCATCACACAGAACGTCCTCAGGGTAAATTCTGTTCAAATGAAAGAGAAAATGGTTGTTGCCTACGATGACATTTCCAGGTACTGTATTAATGCAAGTGTATATCCTCAGGGCATCCTCTTGGCCTGTAAAGTCAACTGGCTCGATGACCCAAAACTTCGAGACATCGCCATGACGCTGGAGGACTTTCCCATTTCTGACTAGTCAAGGAACCAACTTACTACATATGTGTCTGTATTATATTATCAAATAAATAATAAAGAAACCGCTTGAATCAGTACTGAAATATGATCAATAAAAACAAGCAACGGTGATGACGTCCAGCCACCACGGGAGGGCGCAAGAAGGGCAGTAAAGAGTTTGACGCTGCTGCATATTCTACCAGAGAAGAAGACCTCGAGGCTGCACGCGTGTTTACTCGGGACAGACGTATCTTTTGATTAGTTTTTAATTTTTCTGATTATTCTGGATCTTCGACCGGAATAAAAATGCCTAAGGTCAAGGCGGACAAGAAAAGCCGGCAGCACCAAGAGGTCAAAAACCAAGGTATATTTCCGCAAAGAAGCATTTAGCGTTAGCATGCTACATCAAGCTAACACGAAACATCACTTTCTGCTGCTGAAGAGCACGAGCTTTAAACTCCGCCAGCATGTCGCTGCTGACGTCACCCGGTTAATTTAAGATTACTAGTGTCCGAAAGAGGCCGATCCCCGGATCCCCACTGTTGTCACGTACATGGTCTTTGTCCGTATTAAACATTCCTCTACTGGACCTTAACGCGTATTCGTCATTTCTGTGAGATTTGACTGATCCGCACATCCACACCAACGTCCCAGTTACGCAATAACATCCCGGAGTTATTGATCTTCTGTTGGTTATTTCGGCATTGATGCTGTCCGCTAAATAATGAGTGATGTCAAACTTTTTTCCTTTTAGTTGCTGGGTTGAATAACTAATTTATAGCTGTAACTAGTGGGGATTGGTTTTAATCTTGGATTGGTGATGAAATATCAGTTAGCTCTACATGGATCACTAATTACCCTTTTCGAAATCTGAATCAATTTAATTTACTCATTAAACGGTGCTTTAATGAAGCAAAGTATTAAAAACTATTCTCGTGGCAGGTTTTCTCTTGGGGCCAAACACCTGAGAGCCCTTCACCTCCACTTATTTCACCACGAGTTGCTGTTCATTAACATCATCTCGTGTGTTGCAGGGATCATGTTTAACACCGGCATGGGTCAGCACATCCTGAAGAATCCACTGGTTGTCAACGGGATCATTGAGAAGGTACTCACCGGTTCACTCAGATACTCTGACAGCTCTGCGTGGAGATCGTTTTGTGACCCTTCGGGAGGCGACTGGACTCGCTGTGCACAGTCTAAACCGCGGTGGTCATGCTGGTGTTTTTTCAGGCTGCCCTGAGGCCGACTGACGTGGTTCTGGAGGTGGGACCCGGTACTGGTAACATGACGGTGAAGTTGCTGGAGAAAGCCAAGAAGGTGAGAGAACTTGTACAAATTCTTTCCCCGGCGCTCACGCACCTTAAACGTGTGGAGATGTATCGGAGGTGAGAATCCCTTCAGCGTAAATGTTTTTATCACATTGAGCTGATTTGCATGTGGCTTCACCAGTATCCAGATTTCCAACATCATCCAACAGACTAAATTGTAGTTCCCCTGGTGTTACACATTAACGATTCACACTTTTGGGTATAATGCATTTCATTATCGGCAGTTTATACCTTTTATTTGCCTATGCACGTTTCAAAACCTATGAACACACAGCAAAGAGAGGGCGGATGGAGGAGTTAAGCCTAGTTTATGCTTCTGCGTTTTCTGAGCGACGCAGACGCAAGCCCCCCTCGGCGTGTCCCTTGCGTCGCTTTTCACACCTCCTTGCGTCCTTGCGTGTGTCGAGCCATTTTTCTAGACGCAGGCCTCCCGCAGCGCATCAGGCTGCGATTGGTCAGCTAACTACGTCCTTTACGGAGTCTCACATTTCTGCTTTCATAGACCGATACCGCCATTATTAAAACAAAGAATGTTTACGAGAGAACGGAGCAGATTTAAGAACTTCTGTCGGAAGAAATGCGTAAATTTGGCCGCTTATACAGGCCGTCATTGGCGGGTTGTAGAAGCGGGTTGGATTCACGGAGGGAGATCGCCGCAAACGCCGGTTTGCTGGTCGAGAGGTGCACAAAGTTTTGGAGGAAAATACGGGACAAATGTGTCCGCGATGAAAAGCAGCAGTGGCGACGGACGGGGCAATAAAGTCTATGATAAATAAATAAATAAATAGATATGACTCTCTAGGTCGTCTTCAACAGAAACACGTTACTCCGCCTGTTGTTCTGGCGGTGAATTGCTCTGCAACACACGCAGAACCATGAATTGAAACGAGTGCGTCGACACAACGACGCAGAAGCATGCGCCGGCCTTTAGGGCGTTTCTTTGATCAAAATCTATCTGTGTTGCCAAAGTTACCTCAGTGAAATGGTTATTTCCATCGATTTTAATGTTTTGGTTTGTAAAACTTAACCATTCAAGTGTAGCTGCTTAATAACTTAAAACACACTGCTATGTATTTAAATTCATAGAAAGTACATAGTTCCAAGTGAGGTGATTTCTTTGCCCTTTAAACAATTTTGTCCACCATACACTTCTCATTCACCTCTTCTGTTCCTCCGCTGTGACAAAGTCAGTGATTGTCATAACAGAAATGTCCGTTTGTGCAGGTGGTGGCTTGTGAGTTGGACAGCAGATTGGTGGCTGAACTTCAGAAAAGAGTACAGTGCACGTGAGTGGAGACGGGCGCACTCTGCCACCACATATATTTGCACATTATCTGCATTAAATAAAAAAGTACTTTACCTAATTAAAGGGCATTGCGTTTTCCAACAGACCCATGCAGGCCAAACTTCAAATATTAGTTGGAGATGTACTGAAGACAACTCTGCCGTTCTTTGACGTGTGTGTGGCTAATTTACCGTACCAGGTAAATACTTGTGTCCTCCACGCTGCACTACAGTCGATTCAGTATCATTCCCTAAATGTGTTTCACACTCGACTCTTCTTAACTCGGCAGATTTCATCGCCGTTTGTCTTCAAGCTCCTGTTGCATCGACCTTTCTTCAGGTAGGTGTCAACTGTGACATTTGTACTACCAGGAAATGATCAACTCATGGGTGTTTTTTTTTGGCTCAGGTGTGCCGTGTTGATGTTCCAGAGAGAGTTTGCCATGCGACTTGTGGCCCAACCTGGGGACAAGCTGTACTGCAGACTGTCCATCAACACTCAGCTGCTGGCCCGCGTCGACCATCTCATGAAGGTCAGCGGGCGCTTATGTTTGTCTCTGTAGGGCACAGGAACCTCACCAGGAGTGCTCCTCTTGTTTAAGATGATCCAGGTGTTGCAGCGACTGCGTCTCGGTGTTGATCTTTTCCCCTTAATCAGGTGGGGAAGAATAATTTCCGTCCTCCTCCAAAAGTGGAGTCAAGTGTTGTCAGGATAGAACCTAAAAATCCTCCTCCTCCCGTTAACTTCCAGGTGAGGTTTGACTCCTTTTTGATGGTTTTCTCACATGCAATATTTAAAACAAGAGGATGTTTACCCTTGTTTTCTTTCCTCCTGAAAGGAGTGGGATGGCCTGGTGAGAATAGCCTTCGTAAGGAAAAACAAAACTCTGAATGCAGGTTTCAAGTGAGTACCTGCTTTTTGCACACGAATCAGTCTATTCTGTGTGTGTGTGTGTGTGTGTGTGTGTATATATATATATATATATATATATATACACACACACACACACACATAAAGAATCATTGACATCATCACTTTCAGGTCCACTGCCGTTGAACAGCTGCTGGAAAAGAACTACAGAATCCACTGCTCCGTGAACAACGTGGTGAGTCACAGTAGTTTTCCAGTCGTGTCAAACTTGATTGGAAACTGCACTATTAAGTTCACTCTTCAGCTAGTTTGAATCTAAGGACTTTTCCTCCATCCGGACAGGAAGTGCCAGCAGACTTCAGCATCACCAAGAAGATTGAGAGTGTTTTGCAGGAGGCTGATTTCAGTGAGAAGAGAGCCAGGTCCATGGACATCGATGACTTCATGGTGTAAGTTGAACATCATCTACGGGTTAATTTTGAACCTTTTCTTCCAAAAAGTCTCCTAAAATGAATGTCCCTTTTCACCATTTGTAATTGTTTTCTTTCATCCTAAGGCTGCTTCACGCATTCAACGCTGCAGGGATCCACTTTTGTTAAACGGCAGAGCGACTCTCCCGATGCGGCGGCTACGGTCACATCGTGACTAGAGCTTTGTTCAAATAGTTGGAAGAGACTTAAAGGGCTCATATTGAGTGTAAAGGTTCCCTGGGATGTGGGCAGCGTCTGGGTTGCACGAGGGCCTGCCAGCCAGCGAGTGAGTCAATCCTGTGAACAAATATCTGTAATGGGTTATTCTCAGCAATCTACATTTGTTTGACTGACCTTGTTATAGTGGTAGATATTTAATATTCAAAGATTTTTGGTGTCTCCCTAAAAATAAATTCAGATTGTACAGAAGTATTCACTCTTTTGTTCTTTGAACAAGCTGAGGCTGATGGTAAAGCTGGTCCGCGTTAAAGTCTCCTTGCTTGAGACACTTAACGTGATGGAACAAGTGATATATATTTAGGTTGTGTGTGAAAGGAGTCACGTGGGCTTGTGAGTGGTCACAACTCTAGTCGGGTGCTATAAAAATGTAAATGTTTTGGTGTTCTGGTGGAAGATGTTCAGTACTTTGTATTTGGATAAGTTCAATGTCACAAAAGCCATTTAAATGAAACACATGTATCTTTATTCTTCATCCAGCATTACATCGGGTGCAAACACTGAAACATAACCGATGGTAGATCAGTGGTTTATTACTATACATGTATTAATAGCTGATTTTTCTAATTTCAGTTTTATAACAAAGTGTTAAACAGGGGTTGAAAACATTGTTTACGTTGAGTTTTTAGTTGCCACGTGGAGCGACATGGTACACGCTGAAGCAAACTACATGTAAAATCATCAGGGACAGAAACAAAGCCAGAAGCCCGGTGTGGTTAGAAGCTCTGAGGATGAAGGAACAGAAAAGAGACCGCCTATAATATGAAATCACAGTGCCAACTGAGGAGCCTAAAACATAAAAACCAACGACGGTGTCGTGCGTACGTACGTGATCACAGAGTGCACATGCAGAAATGTCAGCCAGGACAACCAGGAATAGAATACTGGTCTTGTAAAGTAAACCTTAAAAACATGTTCAATGACGATCTCTTCTGAAAACAGGTGAAAAATATTCTGTTCAAAGGAAGTACAAACAAGTATAAAAGAAAATAATTTAATATGAACAGAGGAGACTAAACATTCTCCCTGAAGGAAATGCAACTATGTCCTTCCTAGGTTTTCTAACCAGACCAGTTTTGTTAAGAGAGGGAACAAAACAAATGAAATTCTTGAGCATGTTGTTACATCAGACTGTCCTTTTACTTCCAACTTCACAGCTGCTGGGGGCAGCTCGAGTTGTGCTGAACATCTAGTGCTTTTGCTTCTGTATGTGCCAATTTCACCTCTTCAAGTCTCTAAAGAGCTCGCGGCCTCTTGGGATTGATCTGCTTACTCGCTTGCTCCTCCTCCTGGAGTGTAGAGCGGAATGACTTCACTTTATCTGAGAAGAAAAGGGAATCGCAAAAACATGCATTAGTGTTTGCTGGGGCATGATGCATGCATCAGACACGGGCCCGGCGTGTGTCGCAGTCACACCTCGGAGCTCAGTGAGGATGTCGATCTTCTGGTCGAGGATCTGCTCCAGTTGAGTTGCGTATGACTCCACATCATAATCCACCTCCTCAGTCATCTCCAGCAGTACCTTTTCGTCCTCCAGCCACCTGATGGACTCCTGCACAACAGAGACACGTACAATTGTATATTTAGTATATGACAGCCAAGATCAAATTGTACCAGAAGCAGAGAAGAACGGGTCTCAATGCCATATGTGACACTAGGTTTTGGATTTGTGGACTGCCAGAAGTTTTCAAGAGAGAACATGGAAAACTGCTTTTATTTAAAGTTCAGACAAGTCAGCATCTCCCTTTATTTGTGTATCTGCATCAACGTCCTTAAAAAGGAAGATGACACGTCTGTCATCACGTAAGCGGACATGAACGTATGAGCCGGTATTTTGAAGAGTTGTTTGGTTTTGTCGACATTCCCACCTGGAAAACAGCTCGGTGGTCCTCCAGGACCTGCTCCTCCATCTCCACTAACTGAGACACTGCCTCGTGGAAAGTAAAGAGCTGCGGGGACACTTCCTCCTCCTGGGTGACATAATGACCGTTGAAAACAAGGTTAAAAGGAATCCAACCATTCAAAATAATGCGAGTTTCCATATGCTGGTGTACTTACATTCTGCTCACAGAGCAGTTTGAGGTCATCTCTCTGCGGAGACATACTCAGCCATTCCTCGTCCAGGTCCAACTTGTTGACGGCGTGGATGTTGGGTCGACCCCCCTCCATCACTTGGTTGGTGTCCACGGTCAGCTCCTTCACTCTGAGGAGGAAAACACGTTGAACTGGTTGGGAACATTTCTGTCACAGCAGAGCCGCTCGCGGCCGCTGCTTGATTCGGGCTGTGACGTCGACCGGGGGCTCAAAATAATTCACAAGAAGCACAGGATGGGAGCGTCATGACATGCATTGGCTCTGCAAACCCTGATGTGATGGTTTATTCACTCATAATGGGCGTGCGGACTGGATTCGGAGCTCATGGTGCGCATATAACGCAGGTCCTATAGATCGATGTGTGTATGTGATACATCACAGCTCATGCTTAATGCAGACCTGACGAGGTACTGGGACTGTAGCTACAGCAATGATCAGTTAGGACTACATGAGAGCTGAGACGCTGCTTACACAAAAGCTAATCCCGGGAAATTGTACCAAAAGTCTTTGTTGCCAGTTTAACGTAATTGTCAGCGCTTAAACAGCACCAGCCACGCATTCATTTGGAGTAATGCCACCCAGCTTTCAAAGTTGTTGTCACACAGAACAAAAAAATGAAAGACCCACACTTGGACAGACAGATGAACTGGTCTTCAGGTGTCAACCGAAAGAAAAAAAAGAAAAAAAAAGGTTACGCCCGCAAACACAAAAATAAAAGCAGCAGCGGCCGGGGACGAGGATGAGAAGTGTCACGTCATGCAGATGATGAGACAAAAAGGAGAGGACGACAGTGGAGGTCTCACAGTGAGCAACTGATGAAGTGCATGACATCGGTTAACGTGAGCTGATGGATGTAAACACATCAGACTGTTATAAATACCTGGAGGCAGAGCATGCATTGTGTGTGCTTTGTGTGTATGCTTTGACCTGCTGGGAGAGGTAGCAGCAAAGTCATCATAGTCAAAGGTATTGGTGGGCGAGTGATCAGCGCGACTCCCCTGGGAGAAGGGGATGTCAGACGGACTAATCCCCAAACTCCTTCACTCTACACCGGCCACACCACGGCACAGAGGAGGCGAAGGAGGAAACGAAGCAGGAAAAGAAGTGGGGATACAAGAGAGTCAGACACAACTACGGAGAGTTGGCAGAGAAATGTACAGTAACAACATTGGCGGAGCAAATTTATATCCATACAAAAACCACTGGCGACTGTGGAGGCAATAAAGGAATTGCAATTATACTTGATTGCACACGTTCTATTGGTCTGTGGCGCATTAAAACATTGTCTAAATCACTGGTGATCAACACATCCCCACCTGTTGGCGTAGCGTAGTGTGTTGAGGGTGTTCTCACAGGACGTCATACCGGGAGAGATTGTTGCAATCTGTGCAGAGAACAAGAAGATCATTCAAATGAAAGAATTCTATACATGGGTCAAAGACATGGACGGGATATTAAAGGCAATCAACCCACCATGCATGTGCGTGAATTCTCTCCGATGAAAGAGTCCCGTAGGACCTGAGTCAGTTTACTGGCTCTGAACGGAGTGTGAGGCTTGTTACGGCCGAGGGCCCTGATGCACTCCTGAAACCAGAGAAGCGACACATTGTAGGGTGAAAAAAAAAGGGATTTTACAGTCAGTAGGAAATGCAGCTTCTGCCGTCGATGTCCACAAACCTTGAGGGCGAGTAAGCTTTTGTTGATCTCAGCTCCCTCCAGACGAGTCTGGCGGTCGGCACTCGATGTATCAGCTCCCCTCTCGTTGCCCGCGAGGTCGATGAGGGAGAACTTGCCGTGCATCTTCCCCTTCCGCCGGAGAATTATCTGGAAAACGGCGTGGCTGCGAGAGGAGTGCGCGTTGGCTGACGTCTGCCCTGATGTTCTGGGAGTGAGTCAAAAAGAGGCATTAACATGGACAAAGGGCAGACACGAGTAGGGAGAGAAGAAAACACAGAGGGGAAAAGGCAAAACATGTGCATGACATTGTTAATTTGCAAAATAAGTGAAGAGACTTCCTGTAGAACTAAAATAAGAGCCGTGCTGCAATCAGCTATCTATCATAACCAGAACAAACAAACATTTTAAGTCTTGAACCACGGCAACTAGAGGGGAAAGTTTCGGTTGTTATACCTGCAGCTGTTCCCCACTTCTATGAGTTTCAACACATCCTCTGTGCACTTGACATCCTTCTCCTGAAGCCCAACCACCTGGACTTGCTGCTTCCCGTCCTCCAGCACCCTCAGCTTAGCTTTACGATTCAGCAGGTCAAAAACCTGATGAAACACAAGCAGTCAGCATTGATTCGTGCTTTATTTCTGGAGGGAAGTAACCAACATACCATTAGCCAGTACTTGCCTTTCCGCTGTAGATTTCAAAGAAGGTTGCGTACACCTGTAGATCTAACTTCCTGTAGTTGGGTTTCTTCAACATGAGAAATACATCCCGAGCTGCACGAAAAGACAAATTTCACCAGAGGAAACCAAAACAGTAATAACAGAATAATCCATGTAATTCTATTTACTCACTAAGAGGCAATAAATGAGAGAAAACACAGTTCACCGACTTACCAGCTAATGCATATATTCCTTTAGAGCAGTCTTGGTTCTTCCCGGAGAAATCTCCTCCCATAGTCTGAAATGTGGCAAAGTAATTAATTATTAGGGCAAAATTTGATCTTGAGTAAGTGATTTTGTCATTGCATGTGACTCACGTGTGTTTTTCCACTGCCTGTCTGCCCATATGCAAAGCAGGTGGCCATGCCCCTCTCAAAGATGGTCTCCACTAGAGGTCTGGCAGTGAACCTGCAGGGAGACACGGAGGCACATTTCTTCATGACGCTCTCTGTGAACACAAGCTATGACAGCCAACTGTTTTGTACACATACAAGAAAGAGGTTCATTCAGATGTTCTCCTCATATTGACCAACTGGGTGTATGTTCTGCATACTGACGGAACAAACGCATCAAACGGTTTGTTCTATGTGCTTGTAATAATAATAATAATACCTGTAAACCATCTCGTTGGCGGTGCTGTCATCAAAGGCGTAGTCAAAGCGGAAAGTCTGGTTTTCCAGATAGCGGGTCAGGTCCACTTTCTGCTTT